GTCAACACCGAAGTGCTGATCACTGGGCTGGTGATACGGGTACCTTCGGGTGGAAACGAGAACAATAGTGTTGAAAGTGGCGTTATACACCAATCAATCAATCAATCAATCAATCAATCGGGTGGAAACATCTACCAGCAGTGGCATCGACCCAGTTGTTGTATGCAAACTCATCGTAGATACCAGGATTAAAATTTTGTACACCAGAAGCGCGTTTCGTATACAAAAGACTAATCAGTGAATCTTGAATCAAAATAATTTTAAAAAGCCAAATGACGTACTCAGTTATAAAATGCTCCCGGGGCACAGCTTGATACGACCGCAGAGGTTGAACCTTGAACAGTTGGGGCAAGTATGGACACTACATTCAAGCTTCATACAGCTCTGAATTTGGATTGTGATTGAATATTTGACGCAGCATAGGTTTCTGACACAGATTGAATGTGGTCAAAGAACTGAAAATATAGAAATTGGAATTTTACCTATCATGGTCCAATATCCAAAATTTAAATGCACGGTTAGATTCAGCATATCCAAGTACACCAAGAGTTTTATTCATTTATTCATTAATGGATAATATTAGCTAAGCTTTAAAAAAAGGGTTCGCTTCATAAATAAAAATTTATATATATACAGCATTCTGAAAATTAATTTATTCAGAATAACAAACAAACCTACCAGGAAGTTCTTCAAAAAATTTACAAAAAAAATTAAAAAAAACAAATTCCAAAATATCATTCCTCATTAAAAAAAAATGTCTTTAAAAAAATCTATAAATTTTGCCTTTGATTATTTTTTTAAATATCTAATAATGAACAGTAAATTTCAAACTATATATATACATAGTTTCTTCTCTAAAATTGGATTTGATGTTGTATCCATTTTTAACTATGACTCTACTTACAATTTCTATTAATTGATGCAATACAGCTCTGAATTCGCATTGAGATTAAATATTTGATATAGCATAGTTTCTGACACAGAATGAATGTGGTCTAAGAACTTAAAAATTTGAAATTGGGCATTTACCTGTTATGGTCCAATATCAAAATCTAAATACATGGTTAGATTCAGCATATCAAAGAAACACAAGAATTCATTTTTTTATGAAATCAAACAAAGTTTAAATTTGGACCCTTTGGACCTCAATGTGGACCAATTTGATAACAAGGCCCTAAATCCAAAATCCAAAATCTAAACACACGGTCAGATTCAGCATATCAAAGAACCCCATATATTCATTTTTTGTTAAAATCAAACAAAAGTTTAATTTTGGACCCCGATTTGGACCAACTTGAAAATTGGACCCAAAATCAAAAATCTACATATATGTTTAGATTCAGCATATCAAAGAACGCTTTGAATTCATGTTTTGTTAAAATCAAACAAAGTTTAATTTTGAACTCTTTGGATCTTAGTGTGGACCAAATTGAAAACCGGTCCCAAAATCAAAAATCTACATACACGGTTAGATTCGGGATATCAAAGAACCCAGACAGTTTAATTTTGGACAACTCTCCATCCAATTCACAATGTGTAAAAAGTAAACAATTATAGGTCAAAGTACGGCCTTCAACACGGAGCCTTGGCTCACACCGAACAGCAAGCTATAAAGGGCCCCAAAATGAGCAGTGTAAAACAATTCAAACAGGAAAACCAACGGTCTAATCTAAATAAAAAAAAGAGAAACGAGAAACACTTATGAACCACATCAATAAACGACAACCACTGAACAACGGGCTCCTGACTCAGGACAGGTGCAAACAAATGCAGCGGGTTTTTACATGATTGTAAAATTTACATTTCTAAACAAACATATTAAGAAACCACATGATAAAATAATATGGAATTTTTGTTTTAAAAATTGTGAAAAAAAACAGTTGGTTCTAAATTTCATCAAAGTCAATATAAAGAGCAATATTTGCACTTAACCTTAACAGTCCATGAATTTCCTGTTACCCCAGGGAACAACAAAATATTTTGTAAGGCAAACATTTCATATCACAAGGACTCAATCTAAAAATGAAACTTTTGGAAATGCATGTAGTGAACTGTTAAAAACAGCCACACATTTACACTCTACATGTCCTTAAGCATGAGTATACTGAAACTGAAATTATAAAATAATTAATAGGACCAATCATAGTGAACAATAGTTTGATGATTTTTTTATTTATGCTTGTATATAAAAAAAATAATATGTGCAATTTGTTATCAGCAAGTAATCATATGAATGTAATCTAAAAGTAATCATGATAACGCCTGTTTTTTTTTTTGCATTTTGATTGATTACATTACAATGACTTGTAATCAGAAAATGCATGATTACTGATTACATGTGATTACACTGCAAAATGTAATCGTTTACAGCTGATTACGATTACAGCATGCCTGACTACATATAGGTCACTAAGAAAGGAATTAACTTGAAATAAACTTAGAATTGACTGTATGCAATAATAATAATTGACACGCGTTTGAAATACAAACATGGATCAATATATTATCATTCTGAAAAATTATATTCAGTGAAATAATTACTTAAATGATTAAAATTTACAATATCTATAAAAAAAAGATATTTTTAACAGTATTTTATGAATGTATTGCTTGAAATTATTCCGATATACACACTGCGATTTTTAAAAATGAAAATGCACATTTTGTTTCATAACTGAATATTTAAAAAGTAAAATTTATATTTCTATATTAATTGATTTTGAAATACTTTTTTTGCTTTTGTATTAGATACACCTTGAGGGCGTTAGCTCGAATGTGTGTATCTAATTTACACCAAGATATTATTGTCAATGCAGAATGATAGTTTTTGATAATTTCGGAGGGGGTCTTTCAGCAATTTGACCATATGTTATTGAAAAGCAAGATAAATACAGGGTATCCAATTTCATTTAAAGATATCTTGATGTACATGAAAATATAACAAACATATAATAGTACAATAATAGAACTTTAAAGTTATTAGAATAAAGAAGGAAAACGGGGAATGTGTCAAAGAGACAACAACCCGACCAAAGAGCAAAAACAGCCCAAGGCCACAATGGGTCTTCAACCCAGAGAGAAAATCCCGCACCCGGAGGTGGGCTTCAACTGGCCCCATAACAAATCATTAAATTGGTTTTCCTCAAAGTCTCTGTTGTTCTCTGAATATAATGCATTATACATACTATTCTTTTGTATCCTGTAAAGTGTTGTTGTCCCCCCCTCCCCCCCCCCCCCAAAAAAAAATTGTCTAACTAATGAATGATGGTCTAAACTCCTCTTGGAAATTTCAATTTCCCTTATATTGAGCTTGCTTTCAGTAGCAGCAAATTTCTTTGGACGATACCACTGCATGTGGACTGTAAGTCTCCGATAGTATCATTAGCTGTGTAGTTGGTGATCGGTACTGACATGATTTATATCATCTATTCTAAATTTCCAGATTGAATGAAAAACAAAAAGTTTTTATGAATTTAGGTCATATATCTCTTAACGATTTTATGTATTTATACATCCTTTGCTTTCAAGTGTTTAGATTTGAGCGTTCCTCATGAAGGTAATCCCAGAAAAGCGCATCGGACGCTCGAAGCAATCCAAGAGGGCATCTAAAGTCAGATAGCCAGTACTTTTGTTCTGTATGATAATGGTTTGATATCGTTACTTGAGAAAATGTTAGTTTATAAATAGTCATGATAATATATTTAAAAGACTTTTTTTCAAAATACATGTACGAATACATATTATATTTTTAGACTATTAATTTTGCATGATTACTATAACGACATATACACTTCTAGATGGGAAAAAGGCTTACTGACGTTGAATGTTAGCTTTTTGTATTATATGTATATGTTGTGTACAAGTTGGATATTTTTACAAATGATAATATGTACAGACTTTTGTAAAAATTATCAGTATTTTGACATGCAGCTTGATATTTTACTAACACATTTAAACAGGACCACCTCAACCAAACATTAAGCACTGTCCTCTTTGACATAAAGCTTCAAATAAAGACTACAGATTAGGTTAAATTTTATTCATATTTTTTCGCTTATACCAGATTTTAAGTCCCAAAAATATCTTATTATGTCCTTATAAAAACTTTGATCAGTGTTAGGTTTAAGACGGTAGCATGTAGTCATTCGCATATGACATTATGTTAAGAGGTTAGCAAAATACTGATTACTTATACATTAAGTCTGTGAAAATTATATTGTTTGCGTTTATACCAGATTATAAGTCCCCAAAATATCTTAAACAACATATACATATTTACGCCGCCACAAATTCGTGTGCATTTCCAAGTTAGTAACCTTGTCAGTAGTTGTCTAATGCAATATCTTATTTTTGTTGTTATTATATAGACACCAGCCTATTGTTGTTATAGGATCATAAGTTTTCTGTTTTTGGCGTTTGAGTCGTTGGGTTGCTGTCTTATCATCGTACTACATAGATCTCCTTTTATGCATATGCCCAATGATTCAAGCCAAGATCAACAGGTTCATTATTCCAAATTCATCACAAATTCATCACAGTGTTACATATATTATCCAGTTTTTCTTTTTAGACTGTTCATACAAAAATGTAAAACTGGTTTAACCCCGTCCCTTTATGTTTCTGAACCAAGTCAAATTTTCCGGGCCGTGTGCTGTTTGTTGTTTTCTTTGTTTCTATTTTTTTTTCGGAAGGGTTTGATGTTTATGGTTGGTGTGGTATGTTGTACTTATCCATATTTTGTAATTTCTGTTAAAAAGTAAGGAATGTTTATGTTTTTTTTTTTAATTCAATTCACTCAATCATGAAAACTTTTAATAATGATTTTTGCAACAGAAGTTTAAAAGAAAATTACCCTCTTTAGAAATAAACAGTCGACCGACTAAATTTTGTTGGTGATATTGTTTCCTGACACAGCATAAAATACCAGGGATGTCATTACTTAATAAAAATTGATTTTCATCCTAATGTTATCTTAATGTTCCATGTTGGTATAAAAGTGGGTTACATTGCTTTACCTTTTGAATTTGATACATGGACTCATCGTAGAAAGTAAGTAGTAGAATGCATTTTTAAAAAGAAAATGAAAGAAAAGATCATTGTTTAATTATTTATGATTATAATTTTTAGGGTGTTGTTGTTATAATATTTCGTTATTTTTTGTTCATTTTATTTGCGCTTTTTTTTTTTTTTTTTGCAATATTTTGTTTGGCTTTTCTTCATAAAAAATGCACGATTATTTTTCTTATTACAGAATGACTTCTGTCTTACGATTTACCTTCTTCGTGGTTTGTGTGGTGTGCGGCACTGTATTTTCGTTACCATGTTTAACAAACAAATCCAAGCAAGATTTTAACAAAGCCAGAAACGCATTAAAAAGCCTTGAAAACTACCTGAAAAGCCAAGCCAATTCTATCAAGTACAAGGTACAGGCTTTAGACAAGGACATGACCTCGATGGAAGAGGACTTCAAACGTGAGGATTTTTTGGTTTTTTTTGTTACTCCCTTCAAAGGAGAAAAATTTATACAAGATTTTTTCAAAATTTTTTGATAAGAGGAAGGATCCGATTCCAAAACAAATTAAATAACAAATATTTATTCAACTGACATCAATCTCTCTGTTTCCACTCTAAATCTTCTGACATTGCAAGTATTGTCAGTTTTCTTTACTGCTTTCTGTATTTTTCATTCTAATTGTTGATATGAATTTGAAATGTCTTTCAGGTAGACAATGGATAAAGTACAACAAACACTGTTATTATATTGGAGATGACAGTGTTAGATGGACGGATGCAGAGGTAAGCTTCCATCTATAATGTCATTATTGTATTTCATTTCTTGAAGAAAATCCGTCTGCTTCGCTGTGGCAAATTATCATCTCTGAAAAAAAAAATCATCCAAAACTATGATTTCATTTTGTTTCTCCCATTTATTTCCAATTACGGATTAGAATTAACTTTGTGCTTTTATCTATTCATGTAAATGATGTGTGAAAAACATTTCACAAAAAATAAGCGAACTTAAAATTCACATTTGTCAAAGTATCTTATTTTTTAGAGAAAATGCAGAGAGATCGGTGGATATTTAGTGAAGATTGATGATTCGTCAGAAAATAATTGGATAAAACAGCAAATAAATAAAAGCAGCAGAAGTAAGTCGAACATTTCTAGTTTATATATTTTGTGTAACAAAAGTGTATAAATAAATATAAATAAAGGCATTATTTATAACTTGCACCATTGCAGAAATGAATAAATAAACATGTGCAAAAAAAATTCAGTGCATTTTTGAACACAAATCAATGAATAAAGTCACTATGAAACAGATCAGACATCATTCGACACCTGTGTATCATTGGAGACCTTTTGTTGTTTTGTTGCTTTCTCATTGAAGTATTTCCGCTTAATTCCTTTTATGTTTATCCCTAACTTCGTTATTTAAAGATTTAATAACTAACTGCATATTTAAAATTCCTGACTTGTCTAGTTCGAATAAGTAAACTTTGGATTTGTGATGCAATGGTTGTAGTACATACCGCAATCATTTTATGAATATTCTTTATACATGAGAACTGTAATCTTTAATTTTCCAGAGTTGGTTATAGTAGAGAGATAAGTCAGAGTTTGACACTCGATGACACAGGAACACGTGCTCCAATCTATTTTTAAATGGCATATGCTACCGTTTACATTGCGCGAGCTACGTTTGTTTGGAATAACTTTCGTCAGTTACGTTCAATACCAAAAACTTGGACGGCTAAATTACATAAAAGTTTATGAAAAAATTGTATGTTAGGATAATTATGTTTCCTTTTATCTCATTTTAGGAACAAATTTCTGGCTGGGGTCTACAGATGTTGTCAACGGTGACTGGCGATGGATATATGATCAAACTCAGTTAAGCTATAAGAACTTTGCTTCAAGTAGACCTTTTCCAACCAGTCATTCATACTCCAACTCGTATAACTGTATTGGAACACATTACAGCAATGGTAAATGGTACGACCTCCCATGTCAGAACCACTATCTCTATGTCTGTGAAAGTAATTTCTGTAAGTTCTATACAGCTGGTTATAGTTAGCAGATAAAAGTATTTGAAAGTTCTAATATGTAATTTTATCTTATTTCGAATTTAATTCTTAAAAGTGTAAACAAAGTGAACTTTCATTTCATTTTTTAGACTTGATTCATTTTTGTTTGTTTCTTGGGTGTTTTTATCAATTTTGTTGTTTTTTAGGGCTTTAGGGGAGCAGGTTATGTTTGCATCGTTCATATAATCATGATCTTTTTAAACAATTTTCTTGTATGTGAATAATTAGAAGCATATTATTGTTTTTTCTGTTCGCATGTTACCTAGTGGGTAAATAAACCATGATAATGTTAATCTTGCATATTGATAACAAAGTTTGAAAAAATATATACCCAGAGAATCTTTAGGCGACGTGCAAGTTATAAGCATTATTTGCATCGCAACTTTTCGCCATAATCTAGGAAAAACTAAAAAATATTGTTATGATAAGTTTACCTCAACTTTTGATATCAGAAGAAGTGTCATTGCACATGTATGGCAACTCGAATAAAAGCCATTAACTATTTTAAAGTGACCATTTAGCTCTTCTATTCATTTTTGTCGAGCGTCGCTGTCTGTGACATTCGTCGCGGAAACGAGAAATAGCGGTCCTACATTCCTTTGTAGGCAATAATAAGGTGTGAATTTTAAGAAACTTGGACTGATGCTTTTTCGTGATCAAAGGCAGTACCCAGACTAATATTTTGAATTTTATTTCTTTTGCCGTTCTTCACTGATAAATTAACGATTAAATAGTCTAAAGTTAGGTTTTTCGACATCAATAACTTTAACAAGCCTTCTTGGATTATGTCACTTGGATAGGTGCGGTGCTGCTTAATGATTAAAAAAAAACAGTATCAGTTAGAGCAGAATTTCGAAAATATATTTTTTCATTTTTCTTTTTTTTTTCACAGATAGCTTTACTTATCTTTATGCAGTTAGCATTTACATACAGTCTGGGTTTCTTTGTTTTAAACATCAATAATTTATTTGAACCTTCCTGGAATATTAGGGAACTTAGAAGCTTCTTAATGACCAAGTATCAAGAAATAACAACAGAAGAAAAAAAAACAAATATTTTTGCGTATATACTATTACAGTGCTTATCCTAAAGGCTAAAATGTCAGTTGGTGAATTCAAACTGCAATCTTGGAATCTCAATTTTGGTAAAAAAAAAAATAATTTTGGTATTGTGAAAGGGCAAAGCCTTAAGAATACGCGCAGTAAAGAGATTTTCTTTTTGGCAGGCAGTTTGACACTCACTCTGACAGCAGCAATCGGAGGCGAGACAAGGGGTTAAGGGAACACTTTGCGGGTTTTTATCTTATCATTTAGCAGGACATTTTAGTGAACCTGATTTTTAAAAGCATTCTCGTGGAGAATAAACAAAAAGTTGAATTGGAAGGGAAAATTATTATTATTATTATTATTATTATTATTATTCTACTTTCTTTCCATTTCAGGCTTCCAATAATGACGAATGTGTTTCCGCTAACAGCAGACGACAGAATAAATATTTTTCAATAAAGTATCATTACTACCACATAATTCTGTTGTGAAGTTCATGAAGTTAAAACAAGTCCCCTTATATATGAAAATAAGGAGCTATGATATACACATTCTAAACAAATTTCAGCTCTATGTCTCTAAACTTTCAAAGTTCCGGAAGTTCATTGGACTTAATTTTTCAGGTTCAATAGAACAAAATTTCAGTTATATTTTGAAAACAGGTCTAAAGATCCGATTGCTAAGGCCGAGAGAAAAAAAATCTGTGTTTCCGGTAACCCGACCGACCCTGTTTTTTTTTTTAGCCCCGACCCTAATTTTTTTATTGAATCTTCAAAAAAAAAAAAAAAAAAAAGTATCAACCGACCCTATTTTTGACACAGGCTTCTGTTAATCGACATAATACACCTTATCGCTATTTAGTCCAATCCGGAAAAAAACAGTCATTTAGACAACTTCCTGTTTGGGTCAACAGGCCGCAAACAAAGGTCATCAGTAACGAGCTGAGGGAGGGAAAAATTAAGAAAGCGATCAATAGGAAACTTTGATAGATTATGATCCACTTTTTCCAAACTCAAATTATAGTCAAAAAAATATTGTGTTTGAAGTATTTACGATGTTTTAAACAGGTCTCATTAAAAAGTATCATGCATGGTGCATTGTTTAAACAGGGTCCCAGATAGCTTCAACTGGATGAAAAAGTTGTGTAATTTTAGAACTTATCCGGAATGGAAAAAATAGCGATGAGGTGTATTATTTATCTAACTTGCTTCTACTGGCACAGAAAGCCAGTAAAACATTTTATTTATGTCAAAGGGTATTCCAAATAGGTTAAATCCAAGAAATTTGCACAGCAGGTGCTTCAAAAACATTGCAAATGGCCGCACTTCCGGTATTTGAAACTAATTACGGACACGGACTTGGAAAAACCATGATAATTTTCCGGATTTCGTTTACAATGTCAAAAAAAAAAAAAAAAAAAAAAAAAAATCCGACCAACCGACCCTATTTTTCAAAATGATGTTACCGGAAACACAGATTATTTTTTTTTAGGCCTAATGAATGTTGTCACAAACATAGATAGTGCACGTTTTTTCTCTCAAGAAATTAAGCTGCTATTGTGAATAAAATATATAATCTGTATGCAATGTTGTATCGAATAAAAGTTGTATTTTAATATGTTACATATATATTGGACATACTATATTGCTACTCCCAGCATACACTGAAATGCATTAACGTAACACTGACAAAACGTAACCGTAGACACAAAATGACAAATATTATTCTTACGTTCTTAATTTTAAATCAGTTTCTAACCCAACCTAGCATTCCGGAAATTAGTGTCAAACGTAACAATAACTTTTCAGCTCACCTGGCCCAATGGGCCAAGTGAGCTTTTCTCATCACTTGGCGTCCGTCGTCCGTTAACTTTTACAAAAATATTCCCCTCTGAAACTACTGGGCCAAATTTAACCAAACTTGGTCACAATCATCATTGGGGTATCTAGTTTCAAAATGTGTCCGATGACCCCGCCTGCCAACCAAGATGGCCGACATGGCTAAAAATAGAACAAAGAGGTAAAATGCGAGTTTTGTCTATTATTTTGAAAACCGTTATAAATAGAAATCTGACGGGGGCAAAAATGTTCAGAATGTTGAGCTCTACCAATTGTCCATATACGTCAAGACTGTCAGACGACTTCTTATAGGAGTTATTGTCCTTAAATGACAAATTTTAACTTTTTATCATATTTGCCTACTATCTTGAAAACTATAATAGATAAAGAGAAACTTTAAATTGCAAAAATGATCAGCAAGACAAGTTCTACAAATAAGTCAAACATGGTCGAAATCATCAGTCGGATCATTATTAGAGTTATTGCCCTTTGATAACAATTTTTACCATTTTTTTGCGTGTTTGCCTTATATCAAGATAGATAGAAACTTAAACAAGCAAAAATGATCAGCAAGACAAGATCTACAATTAAGAGGGAATGGAGGAAATCATCTAACAACTCCTTTTGGGGTTATTGCCCTTTAATGACGATTTTCCATTGTCTGTTAACTTTTACAAAAATCTTCTCTGAAACTACGGGGCCAAATTTAACCAAACTAGGCCACAATCATAATTGGGTAACTAGTTTCAAACCGGTAACCCCGCCTGCCAACCAAGATGGCCGACATGGCTAAAAATAGAACATTGGGGTAAAATGCAAGTTTTGTCTATTATTTTGAAACTGTTATAAATAGAGAAAATCTGACAGGGGCAAAATGTTCAGAATGTTGAGCTTTACCAATTGTCCTGATACGTCAAAACTGTGAAAAGATTTACTTGGAGGAAAAAAAACCCTTTAAACAATCTCGTTTAGACATTTTTCTGATTTCTGATAATATTTTTCACTTTGTTAGTGATGTTAAAATTGATAATAGTTACAGGTCTGATCATTCACCAGTGATCTTTTCTTTCAAGATTAATGAATTTATAAAAGGCAGAGGCCTTTGGAAGTTTAATAATTCCCTTCTTCAGGATACTGACTATGTTAAAGAGATATAAAAAAAAACTCAAAGGTACAGTAAAAGAACAATATGCCATCAAGATATATAGAGATGAAAATTAACAAAATATTGACAACCCTGAAATTGAATTTACTGTTGATGACCAGTTATTTTTCGAAACTTTACTCACAGAAATACGCGGTAAAACTATTTCATACGCCTCTTATAAAAAAAGGAGGGTATAAAAATTGAAAATGAGATTATTTTAGAATTAAAACAAAATTAGAAGAAAATGCACTAACAGAAGAAAATCTTGGATGGATTGATCAGAAAAAAGCAGAACTTAAAATGTATAGACAATAGAAGGTTCAGGGACAATATGTTAGGTCAAGAAGTCGGTGGATTGAAGAAGGAGAAAAACCTACCATTTTTTTTTTTAAATCTAGAGACTAGAAATTATATTAATAAGACTATTCAAAAACTCACTTTAGAAAATGGTGTTATAGTGGAAGAACAAAAAGAAATCTTTAATCAGACAAGGGTGTTTTATGAGAAACTTTATAAAAAACAAGATTGTTTGAAAAGGGTTGATTTAACACGGGACAATTGTTATAATGATATACCAAAGCTTAACGAGGATGAAAAGCAGTTATTGGAGGGAAAGATTAGTTTTTCTGAATTAACTGCAGCATTAAAGAGAATGAAAAATAACAAGAGTCCGGGATCTGATGGTTACACGGCAGAATTTAAAAAAAAATTTTGGATTGATATTGGTAAATTTGTCCTTAGATCTGTAAATTCTGGATATGGGAAGGGCCAAATGTCTGTCACCCAGAGGCAGGGAGTGATTACATGTATTCCAAAAGATGGTAAACCAAAACAATTTCTTAAAAATTGGAGACCTATTACTCTTCTAAATTCTACATATAAATTGGCATCAAGCTGTATAGCAGAGAGAATAAAATCTGTTTTGTCAAAATTAATAAGTTCTGATCAAACTGGTTTTGTTCCAGGTAGAAATATAGGCGAAAATTGTCGATTAATATATGATATTCTACATTTTACTGAAGAAAATAATATTCCAGGAATTCTCTTGCTGATTGATTTTGAGAAGGCATTCGATTCCATTTCTTGGTCCTTTCTTTATGATACACTAAGATATTTCAATTTTGGTGAATCAGTTATATCCTGGGTTAAAACATTCTATAACAATATAACAGATGCAGTGACACAAAACTGTTTTCTGTCAGAATTCTTCACTGTAGAGAGAGGCTGTACACAGGGAGATCCTTTATCCCCTTTTTTTTCTTGCTATGTGCAGAAATATGAGGTATTTTGGTAAGAAATAGTAAGGAGATAAAGGGTATAACTATAGATGATACAGAATTTGTACTTTCTCAATATGCAGATGATACATCATTGATATTAGATGGCTCACCAGAATCGCTTGATGCATCTCTTCGTGTTCTCCAATTGTATGCTGAAATCTCGGGACTTAAGATTAATATAGAAAAAACAAGTGTTATTTGGATAGGTAGCAAAAAACATAGCCAGGATCAAATTTGTGTAAAGTGGGGATTGAAATGGGGCTCCAGTACATTTAAGCTCCTTGGAATTACTTTTTCAGTCGACCTCGATAGAATGATTAATTTAAATTATAGGCCAGTTATAGATAATATAGACAACACTTTGAAAAAGTGGTCAAAACAGTATCTCACCCCCTTTGGAAAGATAACCATTTTAAAAACTTTGGTCATATCTAAATTAAATCATCTGTTTCTATCTATCCCTAGTCCAGATGAGAATATGTTACGTAATTTAACAAATAAAATGTATGCTTTTATCTTGGATAATAAACCTGATAAGGTCAAGCGAGATCTTTTATGTCAAGATTATTATATGGGTGGTTTAAAAATGCGAAATTTAAAAGCATTTATACAGGGACTGAAACTTACATGGGTAAGACGGCTGTATAATTCGAATTCAAAGTGGGTGAGATTAGTCTCTATTGTGGAGCAAATAAATTTTAGTGAACTAAGTTATATTGGGCCTATTGAAAGGTCATCAAATAAATTTTGGCAAGAGGTTTTTGATGCTTGGAAAACCCTTAATCAAATTAGAAAACCAAGATGTATTGATGAAATTCTATCTTATTCTTTATGGGAGGTAGAAAACATTAAAATTGGTGGTTCAAGAGTCTACTATAAAAACTGGGCAAACGCTGGAATTTGGACAGTGCATGACTTGTTAGATTATCAGGGCAAAGTTATGTCATTTCAAAATTTCCAACAATTATATCAATTAAGGCCAAATATTTTACATTATTATGGAATAGCACACTCGCTTAATGAGTTGTTAAACACGATCAATATTGAAGTAAAGGAGAAAAAATTCAAGCAATACTACCTTTTAACATAAGTATCTTCTTTGAATCAAAAAAAGGTTCAAAGGACATGTACAAAGTATTGAATGAGAAATATATTACTTTTGCTGCAAAGGAAAAATGGGAGAACCATCTTAATATGACTGGTATTAACTGGAAAAAAGTACATACTTCGTGTACAAAATATGCTAGAAGCACTAAGCTTTGCTGGTTCCAATATAGAATTATACATAGAATTTTAGGAACTAGTTCACTACTTTACAAGATGAAAATAAATAGTAGCAACATAATGTACATTTTGCAAAGAAGGACAAGAGACCATAGAACATTTATTTTGGAGCTGTCCGATGGTCGCCAGTCTCTAGCATGCACTAAACATCTGGATTTTTGAAATGACAAATATTGAACTGCCTTTGAATATTATGATTATTCTATTTGGTATCTACGAAAATGTTAAATTGAATTTTGTTAAAAATAAGATTATTCTGCTTTCAAAATACTATATTTACCGAACAAAATTACAAGAAGTTTTGCCAAATTTAAATGCTTTAAAAAACTATTTAAAGGAACACTTGAACTTTGAAAAATACATTTCATTTAAAAACCTCTCTGTAGATGAATATAACAAATACTGGAGTCCCTGGGCCCCTATTATAGAATAAATAATAAATGTCGAATTTTGATTGAAACACCACTAATAGATATTGCAAGAACAAATAAGATTCCAATGTTATAAGAAAATTATTTATTTTCAACCTATTGTTTCACCATCATATATTCAATTGTTGCTTAATTATTTAATACTTCCTTTGTGTGAATATGCCATTCTGTATACCTTTGTTCATACATGGTGTGCTAGTCTATTTGTTACAATAAAGAAAATTCATTATATAAAAAAAAAAAAAACTGTCCGACGACTTCTTATAAGAGTTATTGCCCTTAAATGACAAATTTTACCATTTTTAAAATTTTTTGCCTATTATCTTGAAAACTATAATAGATAAAGAGAAACTTTAAATTGCAAAAATGACCAGCAAGACAAGTTCTACAAATAAGTCTCATGGTCGAAATCTTCAGTCGACTCCTTATTAGAGTAATTGCCCTTGATGACCATTTTTTAGCATATTTTGCGTTTTTGCCTTATATCTTAAAAATTATAATAGATAGATAGAAACTTAAACAAGCAAAATTGATCAGCAAGACAAGATGTACATTTAAGACATCATGGAGGAAATTGTCCGAAGACTCCTTATTGGAATTTTTGCCCTTTAAAGACGATTTTTGCCATTTTTTTTTGCATTTTGCCATATATGATATAAAATTATAATAGATTAATAGACACTTTAAATCACAAAATGATCAGCAAGTCAAGATCTTCTAACAAGTCAAATTTTGTCGATATAGTTAGTAGACTGTCACTCTTTATAGGAGTGATTGCCCTTAAATGAGGATTTTTATGTGTTTTGAGCAAAAACTGAAGAAGATAAAGAGAAAATAAACAGACTAAATGATCAGCAATACAAGATCAACAAAACAGATTTTTGTTGTGAATTCTATTCTCGTCTACAATGTTGGAGAGTGACCTTTGTTGAATATGCACATAGACCCAGATGAGCAGCACAGGCTCTTTGGAGCCTCTAGTTTGTTATTGTTACGTTTTTCAACATAATTGTAGCCAGTGCCTTATTCAAAATCATATAAAATGGCTTTGTAGAAAAACATGCATAAGACATATAAGTAAAGTCCCACAACTCTGGAACGAGAAACAAGAATATTAAATAAACTGTTGACACAGAGATATGTCTCGCCTATTGGCATAAAATTTAGAAAAAGACAATCTGATGGACAGCAACATTGCTTATTAATTCAGTCACTGGACCGTGAGCTAGCGGGCATGGCCTGAAAATGGTCGACAAACTGAGATGTACAGACAGCAATGAAACTTAATAGAAAATATAAGTGTTTATTGTAAGTACAAAATTGTAGTTCCTATCAATATAGCTTAAGCAGAAAAACTTAACATTGAAAATTGCTATCATTGATCTATCACAAGTAGCTCTTATCAAACTGACTTAAACAGAAAAACTTAACATTGAAAATTGCTAATTAATTCAAAAGTCACTGGACCATAACCTAGGGGGCAGGGCCTCAAAATAGTCGTCAAACAGATATGTACTGATAGTAATGCAACTTAATACAAAATATCATTGATCTATCACAAATAGATCCTATCAAACTAACTTAAGCAGAAAACTTAACACTGGAAATTGCTAATTAATTCAAAGTCACTGGATCATGTCCTAGGGGACAGGGCCTAAAAATAGTTGTCAAACTGATATGTACTGATAGTAATGCAACTTCATATTAAATATCATTGATCTATCACAAGTAGTTCCTATCAAACTAACTTAAGCAGAAACTTAACAATTGTTGACACTGGAGCCGGAGCCATTGTTGCCGGAAAAGCAATCCCTTTGTCTCACTTTCAAAAAATCAAGAGTACATTCATTAATCACAACAACAGTGTCAACTTTGTAGTAATTTGATCCAAGTAAACTATAGCTAGTGCATGACATTTAATTAATACCTTTTATTTATCTGACTGTCAAATTCCCATAACTATGGAATGACAAATCACCAATTCAAACAACTATGTAAAGTTGTCAGTAACTGTAAATCAATCCAAGGAAACTCGCTTCCTTTGATCAATAACAACAATATCTAAAGTTTTAAGGATAACTATCCAGGCATACTGGAGATAGTTTGCAATTTTTGAAAAATTCAAACAGTTGAAGTTCCATAACGCTGAACAACAAATCCAAATATTTTTAAATTCGAAAAGGGAGCTTTTTTTCTGTAAATCCTAATGTTGTGTCAAAATTTCAGGTTAAAGCAAATTTCAGTTATCGTAAGATGTGTTGACAGAGAGATCCACCCCAAAATCAATAGGCCATTGGTACAAGTTTAATTTTTATCAAGCAACAGACACTCAATATTTTATACAAGATACATTTGTTGCAGATGGATGGACTGACTGGTGTACAATGGGAAGACTATATGCATTAACATAATAAAAACATGGCATGGTTGAATTCTGTTATTCCAGGATATTGTTGCCTTCCTATGCTAAACAAGAGTTCACATGCTGAAATGCTCACCTGCTTTACTTATGATTAAATTTATATGTGGAAAGTAATATGAAGGTTTTACTACAAGTATCACATAAACTTAACATGAAAATGAGGTCAAGGTCAGATGAACCATGCCAGGCAGATATGTACATCTTACAGTCATTCCACACACCAAATACAGTGGTCCTATCACTTATAGTACATGAAAAACAATATCAAACCACAAAATCTTAACATTGACCAATGAACCATGAAAATGAGGTCAACGTAATATGAACCCTGCCTGACAGACATGTACACCTTACAATTATTTATACACCAAATATAGTTGACCTATTTATAGTATCTGATAAACTGACAAAACCACTAAAACTTATCATTGACCAATGAACTCTTTCTTTTCAAGCCATCACTGAATCATGAAAATGAGGTCAAGTTTAGATGAAACTTGCCAGTCATACATGTACACCTTACAAACATTACATACACCAAATAAAGTTGATCGATTGCTTATAGTTTCTGATATACAGACTTGACTAACTTTAACCTTGATCACTGATCCATGCAATTAGGTCAAGGTCAATTGAACCCTACCTTCTGGACATGTAGACGTCGCAAGGAACCCATTTAATGAATGGCTATTATTTATTTTGAATTTATTGAACCATAAAATTAATTTTTGACTCTTCACATTTTACATAATCCGCGAATTTTTTACTCTTCACATTGAATAATCCGCGAAGCGGATTATGTAAAATGTGAAGAGTCGAAAATTAATTTTATGGTTCAATAAATTCAAAATAAATTATTATCATTCATTATAAATAAATTTCTATCAAAAATAAGGCTCAAAGAGCTTTTTATATTATTTATATTAACAATAACAACTTACACACATATTGGCGTATGAATACACAACGTCAGAGTGGGCGTGTCGCCATAAAAATTGACAACATTGAAAATGAAGGTAATACTTTTTTAACCAATCAGAAGACAGAAAATACACCAAATTTATTTATATACCAAATATAGCTATCCTATTACTCATAATAAGAGTATTTCACTTGAAAAAAAAACACTTTTTTTTCAAGCCGTCACTGAACCATGAAAATGAGGTAAAGGACAATGGACATATGACAGACGGAAACTTCATAACATAAGTTATCTGCATATAGTAAGGTATGAAGCATACAGGTCTTCTACCTTCTGAAATATAAAGATTTATACAAATAATTTACGCTGATACCGCCGCCAATTTGTTATCCCTATGTCTCGTATTCTGCAACTTTTGTTGCATGCAAGACATAGTAATCTTTAAATTTAATATCTAAATATAATTAATTGTTGAATAAATTTATTTACTGGAAAGCTAGGATTCAAATTAGTTGGTCCAACGTTCTACTGATTGACTCAGCATTCGGACTAGATTATTCAGAATAATACATTATAGTTTGATGAATGGGAAACTGGAAATCTTTCTGCTAACCACTTTATTTGATGAAAACCCATGCTTGGTTGCAGAACCGTATTCCTGAATTCATGATTACGCACATACCACTCATTTGTTCTGAGAGTGCGTTTTATTTTAATTTAATTAAATTCATTTGTGTGTGTGTGTGTGTGTGTGTGGGGGGGGGGGGGGGATTAGTTCGTTTCTTTATGAAAATACAGGAACAATATTAGTTTTTTCACCTTTTTTCCCTGAATGATTGAGGGACTGCTTAAAAAAAGTATGTATCCCTCCGAAACATAAATACATTTAATCAGGACAGGTACACTATCATTCATTGGCCTACTAATGTTCCCGCTAATATAATTGTTTGATTGCATAATAAGCAATATTTATTGACTTAGAGGGCTGGGGGGGTAATGGAGCTTCATACATGGTTAATGCATGGACTTTTTACAAGTCCTACTCCTAACGTTGTCTAGTTTGCCCCACCACCCCCCACCCCCTTTTCCTTTTTGTAATACTGGATCTGTATCTGATTTCCTTATACCGATATGCAATATTTAGCATTCTAATGTTTCCACCAATACATGTATCAGTGTTTGTTTACAAATAATGCATTTTTTTCTGTACAAATTAACGGACCAACCCACTGAATGAGTTGCAATGCATGATGGACTACTATGTGTTTACAATTGTTTATAACTGCACGACATACAACACAACTTTTAACACATTGCTGAAAAAAGAATTCATCTTTATACCTTTTCTTCATTTGTTTTTACATTTATAGTACAAAATAAAAATCAACATGTTTTACATTTAATATATTTTTCTATAATTTAATGATATCAGCTTTGCATTTTTATTTCAAGTGAAACTGTTGGGTGTGATGACCAAACGAATGTTTAAAACAAATTCCTTTTAAATTTTGTTGAAAGAAAGTTTAATTTTATGTATCGAAATGTGACACAAGTGATTATTTAAATCCCCACTGGAAGGCCTCTGACAGACTGAGTGAGCGTAAAATCATTGTTATCGATAGTCGATGACAAACAAGTTAAAGGTAAATGATTCGGTATTATTAAAAAGATAATCATTACAGTTGTCCACACTGTTATGGGACTACCTCTATGTGCATAGGCTTTGAAACACTTTTTAAAATATTGGATGGATACTAAATAAATAAAAGAAGGATGCTTTTCAAACACTTTTTATCATAAGGAACTCAGACCTTAACATTATAGGATTGATTTTTCGTCTGGTCTGTTACAACATATATTATTTTTTATTTTACAATTCTAATGTAATCACCTCAGATTACCATGTGCAGGTGCAGGAATATGCTTTTTACTCAAGTCCTTAGCAGAACACTAATAGCCTTCCCAACTCCAATGAATCAATACAATATTTCAAAGTATTTATCATACTATTTTGAACTGAAGAACTTGCAAGAATCAGAAAAATGATTTGAAATAATTTCTTTATTTAAAAATATTTCTTGAGAGGTTCTCCCAATGTCTTTTCCATTTCAGCTATCACAGACTGGCATTTCTTTTCTACCTCTTCACTATCATCTGTAATACAAAATAATATTCAATTTTTTAATATCCCTTTAGCATGTTATAATGTGTCTTCAGCCAGCGTATTTGGAAGTGTAAAATTAAAGAAGTAAGGCAAGAATCTACCAGGTCTTGCTTCAAATGTAACAAAAAAGATATGACACAAAACAGTGGGGGCAAAAAATTGTAACCATTGAAATTGTTGTCACGCACTAAAACCACCATGGGGATTTTCAAAAGTTGGCAGGTATGGTAAAATATTTTTCATTATAATATTATAAGCTCAAAGTAGCTTTTTAGCACTCAATTGGTTAAAGACATGACCCTCAATGAACATTCCCCATTCACATTGTAATATATCTTTGCTTTAAAGAGCATGCATGTTACAAATACCAATTGTTAGTAAAATACAGCAACACAAGGAAAAACGCAAAAAAACGTTTCAATCAAGTTACAGTTACAACTATTAAGAACAGCAACAAGTACATGGACAAAAGATATCAATGTACTGCATCAATTACATGTACCTTCAGTCAAGTATAAATAATTGTGAAGGTCATTGTATTTACCTTCCATTAACTCTGCTAAGAATGGTATGGCCTCTGGCAATAATGGCATGAAATCTTCACCTAACTTCTGATGGAACGCATCAATACACTGCAGAGCTGCATACCTCACCTAAAAAATCAGTTATAGTTACTATGTGTAAATAGTAATAAATAGGGATATTTCAAGTTTGATGAATACCTATTTAATAATCCTTAGATTATACACACTACATCAATATGGTGTTTTACAATAATGTAAATACAGTTGTTACAACAAATTAGGCTCTTGTTCTGGTAAAAGTTATATTTTGAAGAGAATAAAGAACTAAATACAATGAAATATGACCAACATGGACAGTTTTGTTCTGCATCAAACATCTGACCTTAAAAATTTCAGATGTAACAAAATGCCTATAAATTATTACAAAACTTGATGACATTCCACCACATGAAATAAATGGCAAATTGTATACACACAAACAGTATAAAATTCATCTTGATGAAAATATTATGATAAATGAAACAAAATAATGAATCATATGATAAAACTGGGAAAATAAATTGACCACATTTACACAATAGAGGTTTACATCCTTGTTTGTTGTTTAATATCAGGTGGAAGCTGGCAATCATAGCTTATCTTCTTTATTTTGTACTATCTTCAGTTACGTAGCCAGCAATATTTTGAATCCATTAGATTTAATTAGATTTTGAGCCATTGACTCACAAATATACCTCTCCATTTTGATCCCAAAGTAAAAGGTCATTCAATACAGAAAACAAATAAATGGAAAGAAGGTAAATTTATCATAAATAAAATTCAGTCCTTAATTAAGAGTGAACATTTCTACTGTGTTTATATTAACAAATATTCTACCTTTGAGGTATCATGCCTAGTTTTCAACAGAATCTGGTAACTAATGCTCTTCCATAAAGAATCATCTTGAGAAGAAACAGCAAACTGTACTATACAGGGAACCAGATGGTCTGTAATTCTCTTTTCATAATGTTTATCTTTATGATGGAAATTCTCAATCTAAAACATTGATAAGATAGATAATAAAGTAAACTTAGTACTGTTTGAATTAATGTGGATTACCTTCACTGGCAAACCTCTCTCGTAATGTTTTTAACACTTATTTTTACTTTTCATACTGCTGCTGTCCCGCTGAAGATCCTTGCTCACCCCAAAATCCACAGAAATAAACCTGTTTTGTCTGATGATATAAATGAAAGTACACATTTTGTTGTCCTACGGAATCATATCTTGAAATCTCTCTGTTGATTTTAAGTTTTATATGTTATCAAAGGAATTTATCTAAAATAAATCACAATTCAATGAATTTCATATGCTTATGCATGAAATTTGATTTATTGGTGTTTTAATGCCACTTTAAGCACTATAGGCTATTGTGTGGAGGTTGGTTTTTATTGGTTGAGGAAGCTTAAGCCTGAGTGCCTAGAGAGAACCAAAATCTTCAGCAGGAAATTTGACAATCCTTGTCAACATAAAAATTGAATATGTAAAACATCTAGACATTTTAGTGAGGCACAAAACAATACGGTTAAATTTCACTGTTTTGTTTTTGAAAAAAACATATTTGTTTGTAACCCACTTGTATCAGCAATTAAGTCAACTACCCTATGATAGTTTTACTATTTTACACTACACAGCTTGCCTTTCTTTTCATTTTATTATTGCTATTTAGTCTTTGTCAAGGTAACAAAGAGTTCTTTTTTTTATTTCTTTATTCTTTTAAACATCCTGTAAACAACAGCTTCGAGTAAACTGGAAAAAGAATACAGGGGGTCTTCAACTATATTAAATGTCATCAATATCAATTAAGCCGTTTATGAGAAGTTGCATTTAAAATTATTACCACATAATGTTACATTGAAGTAAGTAAATTCAGTTATCTCCCCTTTAACATGCATGACAGATAATATTCATTTAAGTGCATCTTCAGGAAGTGTTGAAAGCTGTGAAAAGAATCATCAATATCCATCTAGCTTCAATGTTGCTCTTACGAGAGACTATCACCATACATTTTGTAATATTGAAGTAAGTACATTCGATTATCCCTACTTTGACATGTTTGACCGTCATATTCCTGTATGCACCTCAGACATTTTTCTAAAAACTGTGTTAAGTTACATCAATATCAGTCTAGATGTTTAGGAGATGCGCTTACAAAGCATATGGACAGACAGAAGGACGGACTGATATGGTGATTTCTATATACTCAAATCTTTGTTTCAAAGGGGTATAAAAAGAAGTTTTGTTATAAATATTATACCTGATCAACCATTGGCTGCATTAAACTATCAAATCTCTCCTTTGTAACAAATCCTTCAGTATCATATAAGAAACACTTGTACAAACAATCAAATATGTAACAAAGAAGCTGATTGGACAATCTCCTTCCTCTGTTTCCTTTACAAAAATATGGTTCTTCTGAAATTATATTAATATTTTCTTAAAATCATAATAATAATAAGATGTTTATAAATTATAACATTTCTTTTATGATGCAAAAATATACTTATCAAGTAAGATGTAAATACAAAAATACTCTTTAAAGAAACAGGGTTGATTGATAATAGAAAAGTCATCATTTTAACAATCATAAGCAATGGTTATGGTGTCACTAACTGCTAATGCTATTAATAATAATGGTCAATCTCAAAACAAGATGTAATTGTACACTAATAAACAGACATCTAATTCAGTGACTTCTGAAAGATATTCGGTTTTTTTTGTTATTGGGTTTTTGGTTGTTTTTTTTGGTGGGAAGTGGGGGTGTTTTTTTTTGTTTAGTTGAAAGAGATTTATACAAGAAAATAAAAGATCTCTCACCTGCTTTTGAAATGTTATTTTTCTCTATTATGCTTGCAGCATGCTGAACTATATGACTAGCAAATAATGTAAACAAACTTCTCAATTTCTCTGCCAACCTACAAATTCAACATTCTACTGTTAGAAAATTAAATAATGTGCCCCTACTACTCCAACACCTCTTACATTGACCTTAACCTACATTTCTGAAAGTAAATTCTGTTTATTTGGTAATCTAAATGGATCTTTTTTGTTAAAATTTGATTTTAAAAAAAACAGATGTACAGTAACAACCCAGACTCTATTGCTTCTACCTTGATACAAAATGAAACAGTCCTTGGACCTCTGACTTTCTGTAGAAGCATATTAGAGGCAGAGGAGGCCTTTAAGAAATGTAAAATACTAGTTTGACTTCCTTAAGATGTAGTGGACTTCCATAATTTATCCTGTAAATGGAGATCAGTGTGGCTATGCCTTATGTATACATATTTTAGAACATGCAAGGTTCTCTGGATGTATAAATCCCTTTATTCTAGTCTTTAAGATGGGCTGTTCAGGATGTACAAATAAACAAACCCCTCAAATATGACCATACCCCATTTGGTACATTAACTCTCAGAACATTACAGGAACTGAAATGACTGGGATTCTAGTGGGAGGTTGAGCGCACTTTAAAACATATTTCAATTATAATTTAGCATTATATGGCTCTGTTTGTATAATGTGGATTCATTATTATTTGGTTGATACCCATCTTCGTGGATTTCATGGGTACAGATGAACAACAAATTTAAATGTTCAACAAATTACAAATTTTCTATAGGCTTTGTATGCAGAGATTGCCATACCACAAAATCAATTATCCACCAAAAAGCAAGTTTTCCTCAATCCACGAAATTTGATACCCACGAAAATAAATGAACCCACAGTGACTATTATCTCTCATGATGGATAACAAAAATATTGAATAGAAAAGTATTTGTCCAAAATATATTACTATGATGTAACCTTCAACTTTTTCTTTGAATACGGTAGAAAAAACAAAAACCTGTCATTCTTTATAAGTGATTGTATGTTATAGATTGACACATTCATTACATTCTGTATGATTGAGTAAACCCTTAAAACTACTCTTACAATCTTTGCTGTATCTGTATTCCAACTAAATGAAAGAAAGGGTGTATGTGTTGTTGTCTAGTGTGTATTCTGCAATCATTGTATACTCTGCCAAATGACAATGGACAACAATGTTGTTTTACCTCTACTGGTCATGATATTATAGGCAAATGGACCTCAAACCATCTCTGCATCAAATAGAGACATATCCCAGATGCGGATCCAGGATTTTGAAAGGAATGGCCAACCAAAATGGCAACATTAGGAGTGGGACTTGAAAAAGTCTATGCTAGAACCGTATATGTAGCCCCATAAGGGCCCCCCTCTAAATCCACCTCTGTCTCTCAATAAGACCTACCTATCAGCCAGTCTGTAGAACACCATTACTCTGTATTTTGTTTCTTCATCTCTACTTGCCCAGTCATATAACTGTAAGAAGAAATATCACATATTTTCAATACTGTTTTGAATATCATATTTAATGTTTTTTTTTTTAAAGTACTCTAACAAGAAACAACCATTTAATTTTCCTTTTTATATAATTGATGTGACTATAAATGTGCTTTATTTACAATTAGATTTGTCTTTCCCTATTTCATGGAAACTAAAATATATTTCTTATTTTTTTATTCAGTATAAATTTTTCAAATACCTTATATATCAAACAAATATTCAAGTATCAATAGATTTTACTGTTATTATAAGTATCATAAATGCTATCAATTTATCTGTTGCAATGATTTTTTTAATGAGGCATTTTGTACAAATTCAATTCTCATATATAAATAAAAGTAGAAAGCTTAAATTACATAAAAAGTATACAAACCTTAAAGAGAAGTGGTCTGAAAGTTGATTCTGACAGCTTCATCACCATGGTGATAAAAGTTTCTATAATGCTGCCTTCTACTGCTGAAATCTGCTTCTCTGGGTGCTGTAAAAAAAAATTAAAAAAATGCACAAGTAAAAGATTACAATCCTAAACCAAATATCAGTTCCAAATCTACTACAAAGACTGAAAAATCGAAGAATGATTGTAATTACATTTGATTTGAAGAGAGGCTATTACTTTTTTTACATTTTAAGTTGACATGCATCTACTGATAACCATGAGATTGACAATTGACCACAGAGGTCAAATATGCTGTATGATAAAATCACATTCCCTGGAGTAATAAACTTCAAAGAATATTTTTAAAAACCAGTTCTGATAAATTAAGAAATTAAATTAATATAGTATGAGTAAAGTAAAATGTACTTACCTCACAGTATAAGAACCTGAAGTTAAGACCATCTAAGAAGAATTTCTGTAAGTCTTGTATGTGTGCTGTTAAATCTTCCTTTGACATGGACTGTATATGCTCCTCTAACACTGACATCACAGAACATATACTGGACTGTAGAAAAAAGCATATGATACTTTAGTATTACAATTCATTTGTTTCCATGCTACATTAAACCTCACTTAGTTCTAAGAGATACAGAAGTGGTTTAAGGTAGATTCGTGGTATACCGCCATCTTGGATTGTACAATCGCAGTACAAAATCGGTCTAGTTATTTTCCCAAATCTGCAAATTTGGAGACATAATTGCAATAAGGAAAACTTGGTGATTTATTGTATTATTCAAATTATTAAAACAAATATCAAATTCTGTGATTTTAGAATTAATTTTTTCAAATAAGCCATTTAAGGGGAGATCACTCTTTTAGTAAAAAATTTATACTGGACTGATAGGGAAATTTTTAATATTTACTTGTAGCAAGAAAACAAGTTCGATGACACCATTTTTTCTTTTTATTTTCTTAAAACATATTATAAAACCTATCTTCTCACAATTTATTTCAAAATTCTTTCTCATAGATTTCTTTTTATGCACACAAATTTGTTTTTTCATGAACAATCTAACCAAATTTAAGCATTTTTCAAAGACTCATATCTTGGAAAATAGCACGGTGACCCATACTTTTTATTATATTTTTGATAAAAGCATAGTAAAATCTTCATTTTGGCAAAATATAAGAAAATTCTATCTCAAGAAATATATACCTATGATCTACCTTAAATACTGTGTTTGAATATAAATTAAATGGTTGATGAATTTTCAAATTTTTTATGAGAGAACATTTTTTCCATTCCATCTAATTGAGTGAAACACTCTTTCATAAATTAACTTTTTTACTGACCATTTAATTAAAGCTTCAAAGGGCATAACACATTATATTTATTTTTCTTCAATTTACATATTGGTCCTTGTAAGTATTATCAATTAAATTAACAATGCTGGATTTTCTCGCTGTATTGAAGACCCATTGGTGGCCTTGGGCTGTTTTCTGCTCTTTGGTCGGGTTGTTGTCTCTTTGACATTTCCCCATTTCCATTCTCATTTTTATTATTATGAAAGGAATGAAGATTTTTACCATTTTTGATTATTTAAAGGCAAAATAACGACTCTCATTAGGAACTGCCTTCAGATTTTGAAAGATTACAATGCAAAGTATACAACTTTTTAAAAGAAAAATGCAAAAATAACTGTAAAATAGATAGGCATTGGAATACTCACAGCTAATTAAAAGTTTAATCAATTATAATAGACAATTTTTGGGGTATTTTCATAGTATAGTTATATTTTTAATCTACTTCACTCTCTGTCGTGGATAGTTGGAAATAGAAAAATTTCAGATGGTTTACAGCCTACAACAATGCACTTAAGGGGAGGTGGTTGGAATTTTAAGAATTTGTCTCCCACCCAATCACAAAGTAGATGATTGACTTGTCCAGACAATTACATGCTGAACTGTATTTACGATAGTAACATTTCAAATTTGTTATCCTTTTCAGAAGACCATCACACAAATGGAGTAAGAATAGTGGTAATGTTAATACCAATTTCTCTTTCTTTTCCAGTCTATGATAGCATGATGCCACAGTAGGAAGTAAAACTCTTGGTGGCAGTGTTGTGGCTAATGTATGTCTGATGGACTTCAGTCGAAGTTGTAACTGTGGCTTCTGTAATGCTTCATCATTTAAACTGTCTGTTGATAAATTACAAATCTGAAATATAACACATATGTATGAATAATACAAATATACATTGTATAATTTAACTGAACTGGCTTTGGAAATCTAATAGGTTGCTATCATCAGTTGATGATTTTACTGATAAATTATTATTAACCACATAGTAGCCATCTGAAATAGTAACTTAAATTTCAAGCAGATTCACAATAGAGTTTTGTTATTTGGAAATCCCAATCTTAACAAGCATTCTGAGAGTATTGCATGGCAATACATAGTTCCCTACCGGGTAAAAATTCATTTTACTGGAACAAAATGCTAACTTGTTCTATAACTTGTCATGGTGTAAACAAAAAGTAAATATCATGTCAATATCTTCAAGCATGACTAAAAACAGTGTGGAAAACTGAGGGAAAAAAACATTAGATATGATTAATAGCTCTCTAAAATTAGATATGATGTAATACAGTGTATATCTATTTTCAAATTATAATCAAATATAATTAATAGTTCCAAATATTTTTTCTTTCATTTGTCACAAACTAATATAGATTTGTAACTTATCAATAAAATGTCAACAACTTTTATCTACACAATGTAATGTATTGAAATATATACATTAATAAAAATAGATTATTATCTAATTAAAGGATTTCTCTTCATAATTTTTTTTTACATCTATAGCATTCAGAAAATTAGTTTATACTAAATAACAAACAAAACTGCCAAAAAATTCTTCAAATAATTTAACAAAGAATGTCTTTTAAAAAATTAGCTCCCTTTGTACAGAAATATGGTCTAACATAGTACTCTAACATTAGATATGGTCCAGAGTTATGGTCCATAATTCTGGACTAAATCATCAGACCGGAACAAAATTCGAACTTGATCTATAAGTTGTCATGATAAAACTATATACCAAATATCAAATCAATATCTTCAAGAACGAAGAAAAAAAGTGTGGAAAGCTGATTTGCCGGACTGACGGATGGACAGACGGACAGATGGACAGACGGACAGACGGATGGAGTGCAAACCTAAAGTCCCCTTCGACTTCGTCGGTAGGGGACTAATAACCATTATCTTGAGTGGAATTAATAATATGTTGTTCTTGAAAAAGCCCTATGATTCTCACTTTCCCCTTTATATGACTCTTTAAGCATTGATTACTTCCAATGAATTGCCTGCACACCTTATTTTTATTTAATATGATACAGAGCACATTTTGTTTGTTGGTGTTTAACCCAACTTTCAGCAATCCTGGCCATATCAGGATGGCCAATTTTATGTAATTGGAATATCCAGAGGATACCACAGCCTTCAGATGAAAAACTGGCAATCTTGTTGATAAAGATCGTAGCAAAAAAAAACAACAAAAAAACAGTTTACTTATTTAGAATGACCAAGCTATCTGACATGTTGCTTTATCTATCCATCTATTTAGGATAGGTGCTTTTTGAAGTTATAAATAATTTTTCTTTCAAAAAATTCATTGTGAAGCATAACATTAAGTATCTGAGAATAAATGTTCTGAGACAAAAGTCCAATCATAGTTTCATCAGAATGAATCTTTCCATCTAGAGGTTCAGAATAATAACAAAGTCTAAGTTGCTCATTAAAAAATTTGAAACCAGGACTATAAATGAAAGTTGCGGTATCCTGAAAGTAGCAAATTTTACATTTAATGAGTCCAGGACAATACAAAACAATTGATCATTTTTGGTTATTTTTATCTTTGGGTTGCTGTCTCATTGCCATTTATACCCTAAATCTCACTCTATTGATTAACAGATTTCATATTTGTAAACTTACATGGAATAAAATGTCTTCAAGATAAGGACTAAGGAATAGAGATAAATTCTCCACAACTTTCTGTATTGCTGTCACTATACTCAACATATACAGGTCATTACTAAATAGATAAACAAAAAATAATAATAATTTTATGATTATAATGAACAACATGTAAGGAAATGGTATTTCTTTCAAACTATGTTAAATGCAAACATGACTGTGGATTCATTATTATTTGTGGGATGCCAAATTTCATGGATTTCTTTGGTATAGGTTAACCATGAATTCAAATGTTGAAAGAAGTACATGTTGTCTATAGGATTGTATGCAGACTTTGGCAAAACCAGGAAATCAAATATCGACGAAAATATGAGTTTTCCTCAATCAACAATTATTAGTACCCACTAAATTAAATGAATCCACAGTATGAATCAAATATAAAAAAATTATAAGAAAAAACTTGATTTAAAAAAAAATGTTCACCATTAAAAAGTAACATAATCATTAAATTATACATCAATTACAATTAATTTGTATTTTGTCATTGTAATAGTTAATGCTAAACACACATATATTGTTGTTGAAATATTAACTTTGAATGCATCAATAAAAAAGCTTTTACACTGTATCTTTGTATTTCTGTTGTAACCAAGGATATGAACTTTCTTGAAATAATTGATGGTATGATATTACCTGGTTAGCCTCTCTTCATTCTTCATTTCTTTGAGAACCAATGGCATAAACTCTGACAAATGAGGAATAGCATGAGCCTTGAGACTATGGCATAACTCTGCTACACACAATAAAGCACAACCTGCTACTTGTAAGTTATCTGATCTCCTCTTAAACACCTTAATGGCTAGCTTTAAAACCTGTTAATATATCAATATTTATCTGTAATGGTAAGCTTTAAAACCTGTTAATATATCAATATTGATCTGTAATGGTAAGTTTTAAAACCTGTTAATATATCAATATTGATCTGTAATGGTAAGTTTTAATCCTGTTAATATATCAATATTGATCTGTAATGGTAAGCTTTAAAACCTGTTAATATATCAATATTGATCTGTAATGGTAAGTTTTAATCCTGTTAATATATCAATATTGATCTGTAATGGTAAGCTTTAAAACCTGTTAATATATCAATATTGATCTGTAATGGTAAGCTTTAAAACCTGTTAATATATCAATATTGATCTGTAATGGTAAGTTTTAAAACCTGTTAATATATCAATATTGATCTGTAATGGTAAGCTTTAAAACCTGTTAATATATCAATATTAATCTGTAATGGTAAGCTTTAAAACTTGTTAATATATTCATATTAATCTGTAATAATTAGCTTTAAACCTGTAAACACATACATATTAATATGTTATGGTTAGCTTTAAAAGCTGTTAATGTATTAACATTAATCTGTCATGGCTAGCTTTAAACCTGTTTATTTATTCACATTAATGTAATTGTTAGAGTTATACCCATTTAAATATTCTGAATATTTTTCATTACAGATTTTTGTTTGTTTTTCAAAATTTTTCCTGGCATTAAGCAAACAACACTCAATCAATCAATTTTATACTTCCACCCTGAAATTAATTAATATTCTTTTGTCAGGTGTCATTCCTTTGTTTTGTTGAATAAAATTGTCTCACATCATTCACTTAAATTATTTTATGAAAACTCTTTTGTCATCATAAATATAGTGACATTCTTTTGTAAGCAGGTAATGAAATTCATTATTTTACATTTATCCCTTATTTGGTATGTCAGAAACGTGCGATGGTTTTGGTCTTCACAGTTATTTCATCAAATTTGACTGTTTTTACCTTAGTAAATGTGTGATGATTTTTGTGACCAAGGTGTCGACTCATTAACTTGAGACTGTAGAAAGCTGATTGTCCGTTTACTGCATTTTCCTCAGATGTCTCTCCTGTCAATGTTATTGTGGTAACCACTTCACATAACTGATCCACCAGAGGGAGTAATAGTGCTTCCTGAAAAGAAAAAAACAAATATGACTTTCAACATTTAATTACTGTGCACTATATATCACTGATTACTGATATTAGTACTTTTGTCAGGTTTAAGATAGTCTGTATAAACCACTTTTAATATTCTACAAATTTTACTCCAAAACAATTTAGCTTAAATCCTTTTCTGATCTTTATTTGCAAACATTCTCTAGATCTGTTCATAAAAAGAATAACACTACTAAATACAGTCTCGTATTGTCTATGGTCTTTTACTGTAAAATTATAATTGTCAGGCAGGTGTGCCAATTATAGAGTACTAAAAGCAAGAAAGAAGAGAAAAGCTCAATTTCAAGATGTTTGTTTACGTTCAGCAATGTTCATAATTGAAATTGTAGAGGGCACCTTTATTTCTTTTCAAAACTCTAACAATTTAACTAGTCCACATAAATATGTAATTCTAATCCTAATATTCAATATTAACTGATAAATATCAAATTTAAATGATTCATTGCAAATTTCTCATTCCTTTTCGTAGCATTGCATAGAGTAATCTGGAATCTGATTTTATTTAACGGTATGAACAAAGTGTATTATTCAGCAGGGAACCAGCATAACAATGTATAAACTACAAACCGTAATTGGTTATTCGTTCAGATTTGGTGTTTTATACTGCTGCATGTGTTTTGTTTTAGCAAAAGGTCCATCAAACATCAATGTGATGAATAAATTTAACAGTTTTTAACTAAAGGACTGCTGCGTTTTACTTTCAAAAACATATTCTTTTGTAATATCTATCAAAAACGGATTTTCAGTACAATCTCAGCGTATTTGCGATTTACACATTCTTTTCCTATTTCCAGTTAATGAAAAACACAACTTTTCCAATTGTTTTTTAGGTGATTTTGGTTGATGTTAGCACTCCTTATGTGTTCTAGAATCATTTACAAGCATTTTAAACTTCTATTTGGTAATGGAAAACAGAGTTTTGCATGAAAACACTGCAAACAATCACACACAATTTGAAATTATAGGAGTTTCACTTAACATTTTCAACAAGCCACAAAAAGAAAGTTTTTTTTCATGAATTACTGTGGCTAAAAAGGGTGTATGGACAATGAACTATTAAGTTTTAATAGCTTCTACTAATAAGCAGGATCTTTTTGGGAGATGGAAAAATACGGAATTTCTGCTCATGATCATTTTGCTATATATGTACATGGGATACTATCTAATCCTCATACATGTAGCTGGTAGAGTAATTAATAAGTACCCAGGGGTGGGGCAGAGACTTACCTCCTCTCCAGTAAATTCTGTTTTCTGTTGATGTAATCTACCATTCAGTAACTCCATTGCTTTTCTCTTAACATGTGACAGTTCATGAGCCATCAGACCAAATACCACTTGGAGATATAATTTCTCTGGTAAAATTGTTACCACCTGTCGAATAATATACAATTTTACAAATTCCTGCTACCAAATTCTAATCACAACACAAAAAACAATGCACAACAGACAGGGCTGCTACTACCATTTAATGAGAATAATGTAACAAAATATTTCCCTGATACCTGATAAAAAGTTATACTAATACATAAATATTGCAGTAATAGGGAATATAAGGTATCCAAAAATCTATAGAGTAAATTAGCTATATTTAATCATAGTTATATAAACATTAGTCTGGGAGAAACAAATAAATTATGCATCATTATCAAACATTTTTGAATACTTAATCTCATATCAAATTTTTATAATGTGCAAACATAACATGATTACCTTTTTCAACATTATATTATTTTTTAAAGAGATTTAATAAGAAGATTAAATATATTTTTATTTAAATTCAATCTTTATATTTCTGCTAAGATAAAAACATTATAATGTTATACTTTACCTGCATGATCCTTTGAAATACTAAAAATGGGATGTCAAATAGCATGTGTAGTGATTAAATCTTTATCCTTTATGTTTAAAAGAAAAATTATGAAAACTTTTCTCTTATTTAAGAACAGTGGGAAAAAAATCAATCGTCAAATTCAAAAAGATGATTTTAAAGTTTGCCTACATTCAGTGTCAAGTGTAAACTTATTTTCCAAATTATCATTTTTTTAATGACACTTCAGGTTCTGGTCACAATGTCAATTACTGCAGTAGTCATCAATAAAATAAAAGGCAACTCTCAAGGGAGATAACTCATTTAATAACAAAGTTGGAACTATCTGTTGTATCAACATTTTCAACAAGTATATCACTCACCAACCATCAACCCTATTTCAAAGCTCCAAATTCCCATAAAGAAAGGGAGAATTCACCAAACAGAAATCTTATAATCATATTTTTGTGAATTTCTTCCTAAAAGGGACTCTTATAATGACAAAGAAAATCTATGTAATAGAGTATCTAAATATTAAGAAGAACACAATATGTAGTTTATAACTTACCTTATCTAAGAGTTCACATATCTTATGAAACAAAGCTCTCCAGAATTTTGCTGTTGGTTTATCTGAATGTTTCTCTACAGATTTTGATAGCTGAGCCAGGCATCCCATTATTACTTCTAACAACTTCTGGAAATCCTGCTGTAAATCTTCATTTAGTTCTCTTGATACCTATAAAATCAATCAAGATTACAAAAATTCTATCTATACTCGATTTCTATGATACTTGAGAATTTATGTTATTACAGTATTAGAATTTCCCTTTCTCCTAACAAATTGTATATAAAAGCCTATGTTGTTAAAGAGAACATGGAGACAGGATCCATGATTTTCCAAAAAAAATGAGTAAAATATTTTACACAAGATATAGTATATTTCGTATATAAAATAATAGTGAACAATATTTTGGTATCCTTCTTAATTTTTTCTCACAATAATTATAGATTACCAATGGTTTTTCAAAAGAGAGAGTGTTTTTCAGCTACAATCTCATTGAAGGGCAACAGCCCTGAGATGAGAAGTGGCAGAGAAACATCCTAGAGGTTGTAAGACCATTGATAACCAGTTTATCGCTATTTTGCCTATGACATCATTGATGTTTACATTGACAACATTCACCCTTAGTTTCTGACAATAATTTTCTATCTCAAGCAAGTAGCATGATATGAAAAATTATCACAAAAATAGATCAAAGGAAAAATACACAAATTGCTATAATTTATCCTTTCTCAGAAATTGAATTTTTGTTGGTGAGACAAAAAATCATTCATAGATAGAATTCATATTCATGGTTTTTAGCAATGTTGTTATTGAAAACATAAAATAAGACCTGAAAATGTAGATTTTACAAGAGAAGAATTCACTGTAAACAAATGTGTTTACTTTTGAAACTGTAATAATTCTACTAATTGATTCTTAAAAATCATTAGAAAAAGAGTATATAATATTAGACAAATGAAATGAATTGAATTCGATTAATGAAGTGTAATGAAAGTTAATTATTCAAATTTTGTATTTCTATTAAGCTTTGCAAGGTATAGATCAACCTTAGTGAAGTTGAGTATACATTCTTGCATAATAAGTGATCATAATTTAACAGCTGACATTTCCATTTCTATAAAACATTACAAAACATTTAGAGGCTCCAAGGAGCCTGAATTGCTCATCAGCCATACTGATATCTAAGAAAAAAAATCAGGCTATCAAAATAATTTATTTCCAAAAATGCTTCTCCAAATCAACCACTCCCAATTTCCAAAATGGGAAAAAAGCCATAAAAATACAATTTCTGTCTATCTAAAATATCAAGATAAAAGCCAAACACTTAAACTGGTAAACAAAAATCATTCAAGGGCAAAAATTAACACAAGAAGTCAACTGATAGTCTCAGTCATATTGGTATTTTTGTATATTTTATGATTCTTATAATCTGGTATGAAAATGAGATATCAGTGGCAACATGGGATATTTCAAGGTACCTGGGAGAGGAATGATGTAACGTGAGATATCAGTAACTTTAATGTTTCATATTTGCAGTTACTTTGGAACAGGAAAGTTGGACATAGGGACAGTATTATAAATAGCTGTACAGAATTATAGTTTAACTTCGTGCGAGAGGAAATTCAAACAAGTAATGAGAAGCCTAAGTAACTTTACATATCCGTTTTTACCTGTGTCCTGTGACAGGAAAGCTAAATATAAGAAGAGAGGTGTCAATAGCTGTACAAATTCATATTAACAGTTACCTGTGACTGGAAGAGAGATATCAATAGCTACAAAGAATCACTTTGCAGTTACCCATACCTGTCAACCTCTGACAATGAAAATATAGACCTGCATTCAGGAAGAAAAAATCAGGTCATAATGTGTACAAACTTTTTCAGTTGAATTTTAGTACATAAGGAAATGCCTGTACCAAGTCAGGAATATGACAGCTGTTTTTCATTTGTTTGATGTGTTTGAGCTTTTTATTTTGCCATTTGATTAGGGACTTTCTGTTTGGAATTTTCCTTGGAGTTCAGTATTTTTGTTATTTTACTTTTTAGTATTTAGAGGGTTTAAATATTCTACGACATATAATAGTTTCCTACAAATATTCACAATTGTGAAGTATTTTCTGAAAATTATTTAAAATTTCAATTTATGTTTTCATTTTAACTTCATTTTAGTTGTTAAATATTTATCATTAATCAAATATCAATATAAAACAATTCCCTGTTATTGTTTCATTCACAGTGACACTATTTTTTATTAATTAATTTTATAAACCCCAAATATAATAAAAAATCAGCTATAGCTGATGTGCTCCTATACACAGAAGGAACAGGTCATTTGATGAAATCCCAGGTTATTTGATGACTGCAAGGGTATCGAAAATCTTAGGTGACCTGGTAAATTCATGTGGCACACCTGCAAATTACAGGTCAGTTGACAGGTATGGCTACATGTGACAGGAAAATTAAACATGTGTAAGAATGATATAAATAGCTACAAAGATTCATATTAGCAGTTACCTGTGACAGGAAAGTTGAACTTGTGAAGAGAGATATCAGCAGCTGTAAAGATTCATATCTAAAGTGTCTCAGTTGTTTGGCTGTATGAAACTGTACATTAAACAGTTCTACATCATCTTTCTTTAGTTGTCCCAGAGATTTGGGAAGAGATACCGTCTTTGCTGAAGATTCTGTAAATGAAGAGATAAACAATGAAAATTTTTTCAAAATTTGTTTACTCTCCAAAATTGACAATCAATCAATTAATTATGACTTAATTTAAAATATAATGAACATGTATACTAACAAGTGCTTTAAGGTGAAATTAAAAATTTTGTATGACTTGAAGCTGTACAAATGTTCAGAGTAAACTTTATTGAACAAACTCAACTCATTTTAAATGTATCACCGTTGGCAGTTGTTCCTACAAGTTACTCCATTAGCAATATGATTAACATTAACATCTATTTTAGGGGATTTATTTTTGTTCCAAAAAGATTGCAACTCGGCAAATTTAAAGATGTTAGTATTTTTTAGACAATTATTCTTTGTCTTTTGAGACTCTTTTCTTCAATAATTGTGAGGGGCCTTTTGGTGGCCAAGCGGTCTAAGCAGTTGAAAGACTGTATCACTAGCCTACTACTAGGGGGGTTTTTAACAACCTTGAATCCCCACTAGCCTGTCAAGTCCCGCAGTTGCAAAAACCTTTGTCTTCAAACTTAATTGACTAGGATTGTCAGTTTTCCTACCAAAGGTTAGTGGTGCTTTCCAGGCACTCTGGCTTCCTCCACCAATAAAAATTCATAAGGGGTTCCGCAGAACCCTGTGTCTCCTACGATTGTTGCTGTCAGTGTAAATGTGTAATGTTGACTTAGAAAGTGAGTCTATTTATCAGTAAAAAAAACAGAATTTAAAAAAAAATTCAAACTTTCTCTTTAGATGCTATTTCTTGGTCTCGAAGATTAGCTTCTGTCCAAGTTCATAACAATCCATGAAGGTTAACAAACCTATCATGTCAAAAAAATTTAATCCCAGACGATCTGTAAATGTTAACTGTAAAAAAAACTAAGTCCATCTATCAGAAAAATACTGAAAATGAAAATATATTTTCAAAAGTTTGCTTCAGACATTATCTCTGAATCATAAAAAAGTTTCATAAAATTCTATGGTTTAACAAAGTATTTGATGTGTAACAAACTTTAACCCCAGACTGTATCTACTTGTTAAATGTAAAACAAGAGTGCACACGCTGAAATATTTCGCCTGCTTTACTGACCATTGATTTTATGTTGATAGTCCTAAATATAAAGCTTTACTACAAGTATCACATAAACTTAACATGATCCAAGATCCAAGAAAATAAGGTCAAGGTTAGATAAACCATACTGGAAATACATGTACATCTTACAATCATTCCATACACCAAATATAGTTGACCTATTGCTTATAGTTTCTAAGAATCAAACTTAACCAGGAAAAGTTAACATTGACCAATGAACCATGAAAACGAGGTCAAGGTCAGATGAACCATGCCAGACAAATATGAACACCTTACAATCAATCTATGCATTAAATATAGTTGACCTATTGCTTATAGTATCTAAGAAACAAACTTAACCATTAAAACTTAACATTGACCAAATAAAATGCTCCGCTGGGGCGCAGCTTGATACGACCGCAGAGGTTGAACCCTGAACAGTTGGGGCAAGTATGGACACAACATTCAAGCTTGATACAGCACTGAATTTGGATTGTAATTAAATATTTGACACAGCATAGGTTTCTGACACAGAATGAAAGATGCAGGCTCGACAAAAATCTAAGTCCATTTATCAGTAAAATACGAAAAAATGAAAATAAATATTTTCAAAATTTTGCTCTGGATACTGTATTTTGGTCATTAACAAGCTTCTGTCCAAATTTCATAAAATTCCATGAAGGTTTGACAAAGTTATTGATGACTGAAAAATTTTAACCTCAGACTGAATCTGAATGTTTAGTGCGAAAAAAACTAAGTCCATTTATCATTAAAGTACGGAAAAATGAAAATAAATATTTTCAAAATTTTGCTCTGGATACTGTATTTTGGTCATTAACAAGCTTCTGTCCAAATTTCATAAAATTCCATGAAGGTTTGACAAAGTTATTGATGACTGAAAAATTTTAACCTCAGACTGAATCTGAATGTTAAGTGCGAAAAAAACTAAGTCCATTTATCATTAAAGTACGGAAAAATGAAAATAAATATTTTAAAAATTTTGCTCTGGATACTGTATTTTGGTCATAATAAGCTTCTATCCAAATTTCATAAAATTCTATGAAGGTTTGACAAAGTTATTGATGTCTAAAAAAACTTTAACCACAGACTGAACCTAAATGTTGACGCAGCCGACGCCAATGACGGAATCTAGGATCGCTATGTCTTGCTTTCGGTACATAAATGTTGTAGGCTCGACAAAAACTGGCCGCCACGAAATAGCCAACAGTGCTGAAAGTGGCGTTAAACACCTATCAATAAAATGAAATGCTAAATATTTATCTTATTACTTAGAATGTATGTGGATTTCCAACAAAGCTGTAAATAATCAATAAAAAATCAGTTAACTCTCTTACATAACAACACCACCATGCAAACAAAGAAAAATTTCTGTAAGTTTTTGTTTCATGTTTAGTTCAATCTTATAAATAGTCAATGTTACATAGTTCACTCCTTAATATTGAAAAGCTGAAGAAGTCTTACCCATGTCCTTATCATCTGGAAGCTTCATTATGTAATCAATTATATCTATGGCAGCTGACAGTTGTACAGGCAAAGTAAAATGGCTGCAGAGATTTAATCTAAACTCTCTGTCTGGTGCAGAGTCAATCTAAAAATAGAAAGATTTAGTTAATAATATCTGTTGCAGCTGACAGTTGTACAGACAAAGTAAAATGGCTGCTCAGATTTAATCAGAACTCTCTTTCCAGTGCAGAGTCAATCTAAAAATAAAAAGACGTAATTAATAATAATTATAACCGATGACAGTTGTACAGTGTCCAATTATGTTCTTGTAAAGGGGGCAAAACTAATATTCAACATATGCATTAAAACAGAAACTTTGACAGCCTTGTAATACAATTCCAAATAAAAGTTGTATATAAACTACATAGCAAACAAGATTTAGTTACTTAAGACAAAAAATGTAATTTCTGACAAAAAGGTATTGAAATGTCTGATCTTGAAAACTTTCAATATAATTCTGAATGCATTTTGAATTTGTGTTTGTCATTCTATTCTTAATGGCACCAACTATTATTTTTTTTTATCCTTGAAAAGAACGTTTATACCTTATCAAATCAAAACATTGTTATCTTTGGAATGTAATGGAGAAGATTGAATTTTTGCTCTGAACATACATTTTACTGCTGGTGACTTTTAAGTAAAATCAGTAGGCCTGCATACTACAAAACATTTAAAACTAACCTTTTCTGTGCTTTCATCCTCAGTGTCCACTACTGGTCCTTTACTGACCACTTGTTCTGTCATTAGTAACAATGTTCTCCACAGATAAGATAGATCACCCTCTATAGAAACTAGTTTAGTAAACAACATCAGACGTCGGTGATTTGGTATATGTGGGAAGGCATCAACAAATACACGAATCACCATGGTGATGACATCTTCTGGTTTGTTAGATACAGTCCTGTGTACCCTTTTTCTTTGTCCACATGCCTAGAAAGTAAATATTTGAATTAAATTTCTACTACTAACACTGTAGTCAAAGAAACATATACATTATATGTACATTGTAGGTAAATATCAAATAAATTTGTACATTAAACTTTAGAAACAGAAACTAGAGGCTCTCAAGAGCCTGTGTCGCTCACCTGTATTTACTGATGCTTTGGAAATCATGTAAAATAAGGTTAAAATCATAATTAATAGTATTAGATATTAGATATTATAATGATATCTAAGATAATAACAAAAAACTGCAAAATTTTTGTAAAATTACTAACTCAGGGGCAGCAACTCAACAACGGGTTGTTAGATTCGTCTGAAAATTTCAGGGCAGATAAATCTAAATCTGATGAACTTTTTTGCCACCTGTCAGATTTGCTCTAAATGCTTTAGTTTCAGAGATATAAACCAAAAACTGCATTTTACCCCAATGTTCTATTTTTAACCAAGTCGGCCATGGTGGTTGGAAGGCGGGGTCATCGGACAAATTTTTTAAAGTAGATACCCTAATAATGATTGTGGCCAAGTATGGTTATATTTGTCTCAGTAGTTTCAGAGAAGAAGATTTTTGTAAAAGATTACAAAAATTTACAAAAAATTGTTAAAAATTGACTATTAAGGGCAATAACTCCTTAAGGGGTCGACTGACAATTTTGGTCATAACAACTTATTTGTAGATCTTACTTTGCTGAACATTATTGCTGTTTACAGTTTATCTCTATCTATAATAATATTCAAGATAATAACCAAAAACTGCAAAATTTCCTTAAAATTACCAATTCAGGGGCAGCAACCCAACAACCGGTTGTCAGATTTGTCTGAAAATTTCAGAGCAGATAGATCTTGACCTGATAATCAGTTTTACCCTATGTCAGATTTACTCTAAATGCTTTGGTTTCAGAGATATAAGCCAAAATCTACATTTTACCCCTATGTTCTATTTTTAGCCATGGCGGCCATCATGGTTGGTTGGTGGGGTCATCGGACACATTTTTTAAACTAGATACCCTAACAATGATTGTGGCCAAGTTTGGTTAAATTTGGCCCAGTGGTTTCAGAGGAGAAGATTTTTGTAAAAAGCTAACGACGACGGACGACGACGGACGACGGACGACGGACGACAAGTGATGAGAAAAGCTCACTTGGCCCTTCGGGCCAGGTGAGTTAAAAAGGGTTGGGTCCAGTTTCATAGCCAGACCAAATATATTTTATATTTTCTGACATTGTACATTTATTGTTTTTATCTTGCAATTCAACCTCCACATTTTAACATCGGGCTTTTCAACAGTTGTCTTTTAATTCTCCTAGGAATTTGCATGGCTTATAGTTGTTGAAGAGGACCCCAAATTGAACTGTGACATGAACAGTAACTTTAACACAACAGCATATTCAACATAGAAGCGGGACACCAGGAGACTTTATACTATACAAATAATCAATACTTGTTATTTGTACAACAGTTGGGTTATTATAGGATAAAATACAAATAAATGGAGCTATTTTCAAAAGTATTTACAAATTTAATTTAAAATTGATTGTATTTCTACCATTATTTCATGCTGCCAAGGGATTTTTTGGATTTGTTTAAATACCTCTTTTATTGAAGAAAAGTATTATTAACTCTTAAAATCAGACTATAAAGTGTATTTAGCATCATTTACACAGTGTATCAACACAAAGTTCTGATGATAAAAACAACAAATGTGTCTAGTTTTGTAAATTTTCATTCCATGTATTCTACTGCTGATCTTTCATGTTCAAAATTGGCTGCTAGATTCTACATTGATTCCACTTCGCTCTTCAACTGTTTCTGTTCTTATACATCCTTGACTTTCAAATTTTCAGCTTTGAGGGCTCCTGATGAAATCCATAAAAGCGCCTCGGACCATGGCTTCCAAAACGGTCATATATTCCGGACTTGACCGAAATTTATATAAAAAGTCCAGCTGCTCTCAGCCTCAAACGGTCAAATATCATAGGTTTGCCACTTTTTTTTATTCAAGGCATTTTCATAAAACGGTCATTTCACTTTTTTTACCAACTATCGATCGGTAAAAATGTCCGTTTGTGCATTATAGTTTATAATTGTGGCAATCTATTTCACAAAGATATTTCGGTCATATTTGGGTTTAATTAAACAGATGCAGCATATTTCATACTTTGAAGTGTCTCAGTTAGTCTAATCCTCTGGGTACACAAACGACGGCTTGGTACATCAATAAAAAGTAGAAAAAAAAATTGTTCTTTTATTTAAAAAACAACAAGCTGTCAAACAATTATCCCTTCAATAAGTAATATTGAAGCCATAAATCATTCACTGATTACAGGTCATTACCTTTGATGAGAGACCTTAGCTTGTCTTAATCAATAGAATTGATGATGCATAACAATGAACATAAAGGTGATCAGGTAAACGAGGTCAAACATGTAAGCGTGTATGGAACAACATCCTATTTAATTACGCTTTGTAGATATTATTGTATATGACCATTCAGTTTTAAAAAAGTTTCCTTAGATTTTAAAATAATTCTTCAAATAAGAATATTTATAAATGAATTCTTATATGTATGATATTCATTATTATATTTAAAAACATTGTACATCGTGTTAAATACTGGGGTACGCTAAAGTGTATTCAAAGTTATTTTCTTACATTTCAGCAGGTTGCATCTAATTAATTTAGTCTAAAAGATTGAAATTATAAGAAATACGTTAATAAATATGATTTGATGAAAAATTTGAAAAGGTTTTAAACGAATAATCGTCAGAAGCACATTGTTTGAACTAGAACACGTGTGCACATGTGTCTATTGTCCGCTGGTGGGAAATTTAATTATGCATCCTAATTCTTCAATAATGCTAAAATTATCATTGATATCTTTATCAAACGATCATTTCGAGTATTTTCTTTAAGAAATAACTTGAAAAGGCTACTTAACTCAATCGTAAACTTACACGGATATTACGTATCCGTCTCTGATCCGTGATTTTCCATTGTCAAGTCAACATCCGGCATTAGGAAAATGTGATTTTAAAAACGAAAGTAAAGCTATTGACAGCGTTATTTTGCACAAATAAAGAGTCTAAAGCGGAAGTAGTACGCTGATGTTGCACACTTCGAATGCTGCACTTTCAATTTAACACTTTACGTTAGAACATCGAATTTATATCAAAGTAAAGTTTAACATCGTTTTAATGTCAATCATTGGTTATATCATATATGATGGCCAACTGATTATCATAGTTGCCTAATTTACTAAGTCTAAAGGGATTTAAAATCGGGATAAGATATGAAATGTCCGGCTGGCTCAAAAAATTTTTGGAAGCCCTGCCTCGGACACATGAAATTTAATTATAACATGTTGTTTTCATTTTTTCAACCTTTAGGTTTGCATTTTGAAACATTTGAATTATAAAAAATTGTTAAAAATTGACTATTAAGGGCAATAACTCCTTAAGGGGTCGACTGACAATTTTGGTCATAACAACTTATTTGTAGATCTTACTTTGCTGAACATTATTGCTGTTTACAGTTTATCTCTATCTATAATAATATTCAAGATAATAACCAAAAACTGCAAAATTTCCTTAAAATTACCAATTCAGGGGCAGCAACCCAACAACCGGTTGTCAGATTTGTCTGAAAATTTCAGAGCAGATAGATCTTGACCTGATAATCAGTTTTACCCTATGTCAGATTTACTCTAAATGCTTTGGTTTCAGAGATATAAGCCAAAATCTACATTTTACCCCTATGTTCTATTTTTAGCCATGGCGGCCATCATGGTTGGTTGGTGGGGTCATCGGACACATTTTTTAAACTAGATACCCTAACAATGATTGTGGCCAAGTTTGGTTAAATTTGGCCCAGTGGTTTCAGAGGAGAAGATTTTTGTAAAAAGCTAACGACGACGGACGACGGATGACGGACGCCAAGTGATGAGAAAAGCTCACTTGGCCCTTCGGGCCAGGTGAGCTAAAAAGGGTTGGGTCCAGTTTCATAGCCAGACCAAATATATTTTATATTTTCTGACATTGTACATTTATTGTTTTTATCTTGCAATTCAACCTCCACATTTTAACATCGGGCTTTTCAACAGTTGTCTTTTAATTCTCCTAGGAATTTGCATGGCTTATAGTTGTTGAAGAGGACCCCAAATTGAACTGTGACATGAACAGTAACTTTAACACAACAGCATATTCAACATAGAAGCGGGACACCAGGAGACTTTATACTATACAAATAATCAATACTTGTTATTTGTACAACAGTTTTAAAAAAGTTTCCTTAGATTTTAAAATAATTCTTCAAATAAGAATATTTATAAATGAATTCTTATATGTATGATATTCATTATTATATTTAAAAACATTGTACATCGTGTTAAATACTGGGGTACGCTAAAGTGTATTCAAAGTTATTTTCTTACATTTCAGCAGGTTGCATCTAATTAATTTAGTCTAAAAGATTGAAATTATAAGAAATACGTTAATAAATATGATTTGATGAAAAATTTGAAAAGGTTTTAAACGAATAATCGTCAGAACCACATTGTTTGAACTAGAACACGTGTGCGCATGTGTCTATTGTCCGCTGGTGGGAAATTTAATTATGCATCCTAATTCTTCAATAATGCTAAAATTATCATTGATATCTTTATCAAACGATCATTTCGAGTATTTTCTTTAAGAAATAACTTGAAAAGGCTACTTAACTCAATCGTAAACTTACACGGATATTACGTATCCGTCTCTGATCCGTGATTTTCCATTGTCAAGTCAACATCCGGCATTAGGAAAATGTGATTTTAAAAACGAAAGTAAAGCTATTGACAGCGTTATTTTGCACAAATAAAGAGTCTAAAGCGGAAGTAGTACGCTGATGTTGCACACTTCGAATGCTGCACTTTCAATTTAACACTTTACGTTAGAACATCGAATTTATATCAAAGTAAAGTTTAACATCGTTTTAATGTCAATCATTGGTTATATCATATATGATGGCCAACTGATTATCATAGTTGCCTAATTTACTAAGTCTAAAGGGATTTAAAATCGGGATAAGATATGAAATGTCCGGCTGGCTCAAAAAATTTTTGGAAGCCCTGCCTCGGACACATGAAATTTAATTATAACATGTTGTTTTCATTTTTTCAACCTTTAGGTTTGCATTTTGAAACATTTGAATTATGACTTTAATGAAAACAGGATGATTTAAAAACTAAAGTAGTATTATAATTGTACTTACAGTAACTAATGCTGGTATAACTGTTTCTAGTATTCTACTGATGATATGGAAGCTGTATGCATCGTCCTGTCTCAGTATAGTATCTCCCATGAATGTAAACACAGACATTATATTGTGTAACAGTTTCTCCTGAAAATTATGTAAATTGAGAAATAAGAATGTGTATATCTTCAATCATAGGCTAAGGGGGCACGGGAGAATAACAATGTTGTTCCCTCACTACTCCCTTTTTAGCCCCTCTATTTGAAGTATCTTTGCCATCACTGTCTGATTTCTTTAAAACTTATTTGCTTTGTGGTTTTATAAGGCTAGGCCTTGAATCACAAATATGCATAATTTTCAAAACAGTCTTTTTTCCAGGTTTTTCATTTTGCTCACTTTTTTAAATTGTGTATGTGTTTAATATTAGAAAGGACCCCATTTGACAATAAAAAAAACAAATATTTTCTTAAAGAGGGAATATGTTTAATATTTTACTCACAGGGTAAAGTTCTGCAGCTACTGTTAGAACCAGTAATGCCTGGTGATGTGTCTGTGGATTGTCAGAACTTCTTACGCACTGTACAATCAATTCCATGTTAAATGTTTGTTCTGGTATTAGTTCTACAAATAAAACAAACAATTTAGTAAAGTTTAAAAACAAAACACAAAAATTAAAAATATAAATGGGTGATACAGATGATGCCCCTGCTTGCATATCATATAAAGTTATAAAGGGACATAACTGAAGAACGGTAAAAGTGAGGCTACCCAAATTTGTACTTGATCTGAGTTTTGTGGTTATAAGTATTTTGTATAAGTTTCATAACATTTGGTTGAGGAAAACTAAAGTTAGAGAACAGAAACCAACTTTGGGAAGTACGGACGTACGTACAGACGTATGGACAGACGTACAGACGGACAAGGGTGAAACTTAATGCCCCCTCCACTACGGCGGAGGCATAAAAAGCTCTAAAAAATAGTCAATAGGTCTTACATTCCATTTAAGACTTATTATAAACAAGGACCCTTGAAGAAATGATACTTTGAGAAGTTTCATGTTTATGTGGATTTTGGCAATTGTGAAGGGGAAGTTAAAAGAGCATTAACTATAGCATATCCTGGAACTCATTCAATTGAAAATAATAATATTTTACTGTGTACTAAGATCTATCATTGATTTGACAACAGCTTTTATCTCATTTCTTGTTTTTTAACATCCACCTTAGAAAATAATGGAAGATAATGCTAGATATCAGATGTTTATAAGAAATCTTGTTTACTTACTTTGTGTTTGATCCACATCCACTTTACTACATACATGGTGGATTAATGCCAGGTGTCAGGTGTTTATAAGGGATCTTGTTTACTTACTTTGTGTTTGATCCACATCCACTTTACTACACACATGGTGGATTAATGCCAGTACCAATTGTTTGATGTATTCTCCTGAAGAGTGATCATCTGATTCCAAAATCCTGCAATACACATCAATATTTTAACCTTAAATTGAATAAAAAGGACAAATGTGCTTAGCAATCAATCTAACTTGTTTGTCTTACAATCAGGAAGGACAAGGCCCCTACACTTCTAGAGTGGGGTATAAAATAGATAAATTATCCCTGACCTAAATAAAAGTTTGAAATAAACTTAGGGAACCTGATAAGTAATCCCTTACTTACATAACAGTTTTGAAGCAGATGGGCAAGGGAGTACAATTTATCCTTACATAGAAATATATTTGAAGCAGATCTTAGATAATTAATCCTTACCTACATATAAGTTTGAAGCAGATGAGCAGAAGAACATAGATAATTAAACCCTTACCCAGAATTAGTTGAAGTAAATATTGAAAAGAACATGTTAATTATTCCCTTACCTAGACATAAGGTTGAAGCAGATGGGCAGAAGCACATGATAATTTTCTAATTTCTTCTTCCCCTGCACAGATTCTAGGATCACAGTTACTCGTTGCCATGACAAACTCTCAAACCCATCTTCCTTTGGTTTTACTATTTCTGATGGCCTGCTATAAATAAATAAACAAAAACACCGAATATAATGAAAGAAAAATTTTTCATATACTTTTTTTATAATATAAATACTTAAAGACTACAATATGATAAAAAAAGATAAAGAATATATTTATTTTGAAAGCTTTCAACCTTGTCCTATTATCAAGTTTCACTCTTTGCACACACATGCACAATTGTGTATGTAAACTGTGTGGTGCTTTAAATGAAAAGATAACAAGAGAAACAAATTCATAAAGAAAGATACATTATCTGGTTAGCAGGTATCTAATGAACCCAAGTTAACACCCACTTTGATATGAAGGAATCGGAAAAGGTCTCTTTTTTCAAAAACAAAAATTACATAATACGTAACATTTAATTACTGAGAAAGTGTTCCTATGTCAGGAAAAAGTAGTCTAGACAATTGTTACAAGTGTTTAAGGTTTTTTAAAATGTATAACAAAAAGGCTTTTCAATAAATCACCTTTTCTTCCTTTTAGCTTCCCTTAGGGTTCCAACATTTGAGACACTAAGACACTGTTCCAACTCATCAGCAACATGGCTACCATTTAGTGGAAGCTGAAATATAATGTTTCTCTGTAGACATTTCTTTGATCTGTGTATTTTTAAGTTACCTACAAAATCTGAATACATTCCTGATACTGCAAATTAACTGGACCAACTTTTGTATAATTTTGCAACAATTTCAAAAGATCAAGTGGAGAGAATTTAAAAAAATTATGTTAGGTTCCTTTATTTCTATCTTTATCATAGATCCTTTTGAGTTTATAGTCTTAACAACTGGTTGCTTATTTGGCTAGATAATTACTTGCCATTCAGTCTGTAATTGAATTTGAACAATTAACTGCAAAATGTAGAACTCACATGTCTAAGAGTTTTCCTAATAGAAGAGGGAACATAGGGATTCTCTGATTCTGTCCACAGGGAATATAAAGTTGATAGAATTTTCTTCTGTGATTCCATTTGCAGGGATGTATACAAATCTTTTGTTATCTGAAAATAAACATGAAATACTCTTAATTTTGAATAATTTGCTTTATATTCATTGGTCTAATATGAATTTACCATGAAGTCTCACATGTGGAATTAAAACAGCATTTTTGGAAAGCTTTGAAGAATAAAAAATCTATAAAATTCCTACAAATGAATGTCTTACCATATAAATAGAGAATTGTTGAATAGTATCTTCATTATCGTCTATACACACAGCAGATTTCAAGGCAGACATTAACACAGGGATTCCATCAGAATCTATGACCTCTCCAAACTCAGGGTCAAATCTCTCCAAAATCATCTTACAACAGTCAAATAATACTCTCATATTATTTCCATCCTCCAGTGCTTTCAAATCTTGCTGTAGCTTAGGTAACAAAGATGTCAGAATTTTCTGTAAATAAAGTAAGATGACAGTAATGATACAAGACTACTTTCAAAATGAAAATTAAGCAATAACACTGAGTCTTGTGTGTAGCTATGGGTTTACATTAGACCTAAACTTCCTATACACTATTTAAATACAGGACAATACTGGATACTCATTTTGGTCAGAAAAAAATACTAAAATCCATTAAAAAAACATCTACAGGGTCCCAACTTGGTATAACTCAACAAGTCTTTGTTACTTTGTTTTAAACCTACATTTATATAAGTATGGAGTCGTGTCATTGTACTGGTCCATTACCATCAGAAATTCATAGTTTTCCACAATTAACTTTTTACAGGAAATACTTTTTGAAATATTCTTTTATCGTGAAAAGGGTTCCCAAAAGTTAGATCTAGGACCCAAAAGTTAGGTCTAGGACCAAAAACTCGGAATTTAATTCCTTTAATAAACAGCGAAAAGCAGGTTACTAGTGTGCCTATTTTTGCTTTAAATTTTATGGGTATGAGGACCAGTAACAGTCACTTATGAATCTAGTTCCTACATTAAACAAGAGGCTCTCAAGAGCCTGTATCGCTAACCTGACTCTACTTTGGTTTTGGAAATCATGTAAAAACAGATAAAAATCATAACAGATACCCAAATAATGATTGAGGCCAAATTTGGTTTAATATTGGTCCCGTAATTTAATAAAAAATCCTGGTCGCCATTTTGAACAGTAAATTGGTAAAAAAAGTCGCAAAACTTCATCAGCACCTCATAAGGAACATTTATGCCATGTTTGGTTTCATTCCAAAGTTTGTGCTAATATATCATCCAGAATATACCTTCTTTCTAAAATAAAGAAATTTTTAGATATAAATGCAAGGAAAACATATTACAATGGGTATATTCTGCCCCTGATTGACTACTGCTGTATTATTTGGGGTGAATGTAAAAATGAAGGGATAACGAGAATTTTAAAACTCCAAAAAAGGGCAGCAAGATTAATTCTAGATGCAGATCCTTTATCCCCCTCAGCCCCCTTATTTAAAGAACTTGGGTGGATGACAGTTGACAATAGAATCAAATACCACAAATATTTACTTCTATATAAATGTATGCGTATGGAAGCTCCAATGTACCTAGTTCAAAAGTTTAAACTGAAATCAGATAATAATCCTTACTCCTTGAGAGGTGTCACTCAAGGTAATCTGATAGTTCCTAAGCCAAAAGCTGAGCTATTTAAGAAATCTTTTGTTTATTCTGGATCAGTGTTATGGAATGGACTACCACACAAAATGCGTAAAGCTCAAAACACTTATACTTTTAAACAAAGTATCAAGAAGTACTTAACACAGTCCTGATAAGATTATGTTTTCTACAATGTATTTGTATATTCTTTTATTTTTATTTTTATTTGATTTTTTGACTACATGTGCATCTTGAACAGCCTTATATCTTATCATGTTAGTAATATTACATTGAACTTATTGACTGTAAATTAACTATGTGTAAATATCTGTTTTTGATTGTATTGTAATTTGTATGTGAGGGCCTCAGGGAAGATTAGTTTATTGTAACTAACTGAGTTTACCCTCTTTAAATAAAGAATTTATTATTATTATTATTATTATTATTATTCCATTCAGTGGTTCTCTAAAAGAAGACATTTGTATGTATTTCCCGTAGGATCCTATGTTAAACTGAGTTCCCCGCTGGCGGCCATCTTGGATGATGGAACGGCTTCAAAGTAACAACACTTGGTCAGCACCTCATAAGGAACATTCATGCCATGTTTGGTTCCATTCCAATCAGTGGTTCTCTAAAAGAAGACATTTGTATGTATTTCCCTTAGGGTTCTATGTTTAACTAAGTTCCCTGCTGGCGGCCATCTTGGATGATGGATCGGCTTCAAAGTAACAACACTTGGTCAGCAGCTCATAAGGAACATTCATGCCATGTTTGGTTTCATTCCATTCAGTGGTTCTCTAAAAGAAGACATTTGTATATATTTCCTATAGGATCCTATGTTAAACTAAGTTCCCCGCTGGCGGCCATCTTGAATTATGGATCAGCTTCAAAGTAACAACACTTGGTCAGCACCACATAAGGAACATTCATGCCATGTTTGGTTTCATTCCATTCAGTGGTTCTCTAAAAGAAGACGTTTGTATGTATTTCCCTTAGGGTCCTATGTTAAACTAAGTTTCCCGCTGGCGGCCATCTTGAATTATGGATCAGCTTCAAATTAAAGTAACAACACTTGGTCAGCAGCTCATAAGGACCATTCATGCTATGCTTGGTTTCATTCCATTCAGTGGTTCTCTAAAAGAAGACATTTGTATGTATTTCTCATAGGGTCCTATGTTAAACTAAGTCCCCCGCTGGCGGCCATCTTGGATGATGGATTGGCTTCAAAGTAACAACACTTGGTCAGCACCTCATAAGGAACATTCATGCCATGTTTAGTTTCATTCCATTCAGTGGTTCTCTAATAGAAGACATTTGTATATATTTCCTATAGGTTCCTATGTTAAACTAAGTTCCCCGCTGGCGGCCATCTTGAATTATGGATCAGCTTCAAAGTAACAACACTTGGTCAGCACCACATAAGGAACATTCATGCCATGTTTGGTTTCATTCCATTCAGTGGTTCTCTAAAAGAAGACGTTTGTATGTATTTCCCTTAGGGTCCTATGTTAAACTAAGTTCCCCGCTGGCGGCCATCTTGAATTATGGATCAGCTTCAAATTAAAGTAACAACACTTGGTCAGCAGCTCATAAGGAACATTCATGCTATGTTTGGTTTCATTCCATTCAGTGGTTCTCTAATAAAAGAGGACAATTTATATGTATTTCCCATAGGGTCCTATGTTAAATTAAGTTCCCTGCTGGCGGCCATCTTGGATGATGGATCGGCTTCAAAGTAACAACACTTGGTCAGCACCTCATAAGGAACATTCATGTGATGTTTGGTTTCATTCCATTCAGTGGTTCTCTAAAAGAGGACAATTTATATGTATTTCCCATAGGGTCCTATGTTAAATTAAGTTCCCTGCTGGCGGCCATCTTGGATGATGGATCGGCTTCAAAGTAACAACACTTGGTCAGCACCTCATAAGGAACATTCATGCCATGTTTGGTTTCATTCCATTCAGTGGTTCTCTAAAAGAAGACGTTTGTATGTATTTCCCTTAGGGTCCTATGTTAAACTAAGTCCCCTGCTGGCGGCCATCTTGGATGATGGATCGGCTTCAAAGTAACAACACTTGGTCAGCAGCTCATAAGGAACATTCATGCTATGTATTTCCCATAGGGTCCTATGTTAAACTAAGTCCCACCAACACCTTCATTATTGCTTGAATGCAAGGTGATGATAACTGGTCCTGGACCTATTCTGGTATTATTGTAGTTGAGTTGTTATTTGTTATTTGACATTTGAAGTTACCTTAATATAAGTTTAGTATGGTCTTTGCTGCTTGCCTTAAACTTACTCTGCTATCAGCGTTAGAAACTTATTATTATTTGTTTGTATTAAACCTAATCGGATAACAGTGTTTGAGTTTTGTTTTACTTCATTGCTTAACCTAACCCACTATCACTATTTGAGCTAGTCTTTATATCACTGCCTTAGAACTACCCTGCCATCCCTATTACAGCTTTGACTTCATTGCTTCAAACCTACCCTGCTATGACAATGCCTAATTAACTCCAACAAAGATTTCTGTATGAAATGAGGGGTAGATTTATCACTTATAACATCCAGGATCATTGTGAGAGCTTCTTCTTTGTTGGCTTGCGTTATAGACTGTCTCTTCTTCTTTGGTGTTTTCTCTTTTTCTTCATCCATAGATTTGAAAACTGCTTTCATTACCTTAAATAAATCATCAGGCATACATCAAATGTCATTCCATGAGTTAATTGTTACTTAATGTTAAATCAGGTTAACCAAAAACTCAATTTTAGAGAAATAAAGAGTTCTTTTCACAGTCAGAGATATAACTCTAGAGGGTTATTACAGAAAATAACTTGCGTGTGTTATTACAGATACTTTCATGAGTTGTCTACTCTTTATTCCTTAAATTTTCTAAATCTGTAATAACATATGTTTGTTATTTGTAAAATTATTTCATTTATAGTGGCCTCTAGGGATCTCTTGAGACTTTGCGCAGAAACTAAATGCATAGCCTTGATAACTAATTTTTTAATTAAATTAATACATTTTTGATTAACCATGGTAAATCAATGAGACAAGGCTATTAAGGGATAAACTTAGCTGTGATAACAAGGCTCAGTTATTAAAGGAATTTAACTTATTATATAAGACACTTGGGAATTACTGAGAAACTTGCGCAGAACCTCATTACATGCTCTGGTCATTATTTCTTACAATAAATTAAAATACATTGTAATTAAGCATGATGTATGTCTGAGCAAATGCTTTGAAGTGATATAGAGAAGCTGTGATAACACCCTTTAGTTATTACAGGCATATTTTTTCTGTAATAACATATAGGTGTATTATGCAAAATTGGCAAACTATGAACTGTTATATCTTTCAATAGTTAAGTATACATATAGACAAAAGTAGTATCAATAGAACTTTTATACATTTTAACTAAACTAATGATGTATATTGTCTCTTTGAAACATATAACATACATAAGTTATCACAGTTCTTTGATTTTTTAGTCCACAATAACAAATGCATGTTATTTTTCTGTAATAACCCTATAGAGTTATATCCCTGACTGTTTCATGACATTTTCAAAACAGTGATATATCAAGTCTCATGCAATTCAAAAATGTTCCATCACTCTCTAAATATCAAAGTAAGGTGAAATTACATTTGACTGAAAGTTTTTGAATATAAATAGATTTGGGAATACTTAATAGTATGGATTTAATGACAACTGGAATGTTAGGGCATTTTTATATTTAGACTTTTTAAAATTTACTTGTAATGAAATGTGATTAACAAAACATTTTATTTTTCGTTTTTCTGTAAGAATTTGGAAACATGTTTATAACAAATGACCAATTACAGATTCAATGAACTCAGGGTCAGCCACAATTTCTGGTAAACATCTCAGCACTTTCTTGATGACAGGAGTGAATGCGGAGTCCTCCATCTTGTTCTGAACGATCTGTAGACACTGCACCGACATCTCTCGAATGGACTTGTTTAAACTTGTTGTCGTCAGGAATAAATTAATTATTGCTGAAATACATTCAAATATCATTTAAATCTTAAATTCAATTTTTCTTATTCTGTTTTGTGAATCCTATAGTAACTGCATGTAGAAATATTATAAACTTACATCACTGTTTAATGAATTTACAGATTTAAGTATAGAATATTAAGGCATCCATAATTTACAATTCTTCATTTCAGAATCTAATTGATTTTGTGTAATTTCATTGTAGGTACCCAAATTGAGGTTATAATTGTGACATTAATAACAATAAATTGAAATAATGGATTAAGGAGTTGATAAAGCTCACGCTTTCATAAGGATAATACCAACAGTGATTTGTGTTTGACTTTGAAAATATGTCTAAATGCATTAGATTCTAAAACTGTGAACTGTTATATATACATATATATATGTATGAAACTAATATTAGTGTGCATGGCACATGTTCTTGTTATAATGTTTATTAGGTACATGGGTCAAAACTAGAAAGCTTCTCCCATTTAAGGTCAAGGAACAGTAAATGGGCTATGTCACAGATTTTACAACCTTGGCTCGTTGAAAGTGAAAATCGAAAAAAATAATGCATTTATCTCTTTTATTATCTGAAATATCACTGATTGAATTCTTTCAAAATGAAGAAAAAAAGTACAAAAAGCACATGAAATTGGCGATAAACCTTCTTAAATTTGTCTTAAAATACATAGATTTTTCTTAAAAAAACTATATGTTGTTGATACATAAATTTCCATTTTAATGATGTAAAATAATGATAGGGTCACCGACATCGTTTTTACAGTATACATCATTGAAAGTGGTGTTCTATGTGAAAAATACCACAAAACGTCAAATAATCATAACGTCATCTCGTTGCAGGCTGTAAAACGTAAGTTTTTAACATTTTTCTCTACCAACTAGGTAGCAGATTGATTATTAGATAAAAAATGAAGTCAGTGACCATATGATTATTTTATATCATTAAAACGGAAATTTATTTACCAACAATATATAGTTTTTTAAAGAAAAATCTATGATTAGAAATTAGAAATTTGATGATTTTAGGACAAATTTAAGAAGGTTTATCGCCAATTTCATGTGCTTTCTATACAAATGTTCACGTATTTTGAAAGAATTCAATCAATAATATTTCAGATAATAGGAGATAAATGCATTATTTTTTTCGATTTTCAGTTATAGTTTAACAAGCCAGAGTTGTATGCAAAATTTTACCAAAACCTGTGACATAGCCCATTTACTGTAACTTGACCTTAATGTAGTTTGTTAAAAAATTTCAAATACACACAGATCTAGATTTATAAGATCAAAGATTGAAATAAAATGTCTATAAATGACAAGATTTAACAACCAATATATTTATATTACCTGTAGTCCAGTCTGTTTCTGTAAAACTTCCAGATCTCAATTCCTGGAGGTGTATTTTACCAATCTGTAATGCTCTGGCTTGTAATGGTAGTGAGATTTCAAGCTTTGATTCAGAGGTGTTACAATGCTGGGTCCAAAGTAGACCTAGAAATCTAAATAGTAAGTCTGAATCTGGGAAAACAACCTGTGAAAAAATAGTTCTGTTGAAACTCTGCAATATAGTAAAATTAGGGTAGAAATCTAAACAATAAGTCTAGCAATTTCTCTTGGAAAACATGTGAAAAATACTATTCTTTTTTTTGGGTCATTTTATTGGGGTGTAAAAGAGTCGACCTAAGCACATTTTGTAATGAAATTACATAGAAAGTTTTTATTTTTCCCATCTCAGTTTTAACCTACTATGAAAGTACATTTATTTGTGGGTATCAATTTTTGTGGTTTGAGCAAAAGTTACATGTTCCTTGGTTCTTAAATTTGTGGATTTTAGTTTTCTGATAAAATCGGGTGAAGAATTTAAAGCCATTAGAAACAAATATTCTTGAAAATGATCAGATGCTGTTTTATAATGATTTGTGGGACATTGCAAAATAATGTGTTCTTTTTCACTCACTTGTTTGTCTTTCATTACTGACAACATTTATAAAATTTTTAATAAAATAATTGCTTTGAATTGTAGAATTAATTCTTATGAAATAAATAAGCAAGATGAAAATGAAATTATTATTTTTTTTTATGAGAATTATAAGGAGATAAAATGAATACTTCATCATTGCATATCAGCACCAGAAGTCTGACATTCATTGATAAAAACTAATTTTTCATGAGAATTAAAACGTTAAAAGTCGTACAGTTTAGGATTTAAAAAAAAAATTAAATAAGTAAAATTCTGTCTGAAGTTGTATATAGTTCATAGTGCTGTGCGCTGATATTCTATGTGTTCTCTATATTATATACCCGTATCCATGTAGTCAAACCTACATGGGAATCTTTCCATGTCTTGATTTGGACAACAGTTGTTATATTTCGTTGGACACATAAATTCGTGGATAAAGCCACCCATAAAACCACGAAAATTGGTACCCCACGAATAAAATTACTTTCACAGTATCACATTTTTCAACTTTACAGAGGCAAGAAAATCCTGATAAGATCAACTTCAAGTGCAAGTCTAAAGTATGAGAAAAAGAGGATCTGAACAACTGCCTGATTAAGAACGAAATGGTCTCAATAACAGGGCTTCCAAAAAATATTTTAGCCAGCTGGACATTTTTTTGTTGTCTTTGCCCGATTTTAATCCCTTAAGACTTAGAAATAAAAGGCAACCACAGTAATCAGTTGGGCATCATATAAATTATGATTGACACAAAAACGGTATTTGTTCAGACTTGACTTTTAATACAAATTCAATGTTTTGGCGTTAACTGTTAAATTGACAGTGCACCATTCGAAGTGTGCAGAATTAGCGTACTAATATCTGCCTAAAGCTCTTTAATTGTGCAAAATGACGCTGTCAATAACTTCACTTTCGTTTTTGAAAAGTATTATTCCTATTACCGGATGTTGACTTGACAATGTTAAAACACGGACCAGAGACGGATACGTAAAATCTGTGTACGTTTACAAAGCACGATTGAGTTTAAGTAGCTCTTTCCGCGTTATTTCTACAGAAAAAGACTCTAAATGAATGTTAGATAAAGGTGTCAATGATATTTTTAGCATTTTTGAAAATTCGGATGCATAAGTAAATCTCACACCTGCCCACATGCGCACGAGTGTACTAGTTCAAACAACGTGGTTCTGACGATTTTTCACTTAAAACCTTTATTACTATCTTTTTAAATTTTCATCATATGATATTAATATACGTTTTCTGGTAATCTGAATCTTGTTGACTAAATTAATTAGATGCAAACCGCTGAAATTTAAGAAAATAACTATTAATAGACCGATCAATGTCCGGTACAAAATAGTTTACCTGTCACCTGAACAGGTAAAATCAGCTGTCAGAGAACTAATTAACCTCGATTGTAATGTATTGTTTTGATAGTTATTATTAATCATATCACTTATATGACCGGAAATGTGTGGCTGTTTAAGGCCAAAGGTCAGGTCAAAAAGATTGCATAAACTTCAATTTTTTTTTCTGAACTATATTTAAATGCCGTTTCAGCCTCGGCACAAGAAGTCATTTATATAATCTATCGGACTTGTCTGGAAAATACGACCGTTTTGGAAGCCCTGCTCAATAATCAACCTGTGTAAAGTTTGTGTTGAACAAATAATAAATTTTGTTTAGCTTGTTATGAAGTTGAATATTCTTACATATTTTGTATTAGCAGATCTCTCAAATATGCTTAATCTAATTTAATGATATTAATGAAAATCATTGATAAAGATTTTAATGCTAATGCTAACAAACCTGTTAAATTTCATAATTAAAATCTAGTCTTTGTAATAATCAAGCTGAATAATACCAAATGTCTTTTAACAAGAGTTGATGAGTTACCTTGAAAGTCTCTGAGATTAGATTTCTAAATGGCAATGAACAATGATTATAAAAAGAATTTACATGCAAAGTCTCACGATCAAGTTAAGACTTACTAACCTCAACAGTCTCTGTAAATAAATCTCTGAATGACTCTGAACAAGGTAATGCCTGGGTCGCTTTGTCTAATATATAATCAAACATTTCCACTAACACAACAAGAATCTGATCTTCTGCATTTTTATTACCATGGTAACACCAGTAATTTACTGAAATAAATCAAAACTCCAGTTCAAGATTTTGTGTACTCTAATGATAAATCCATGATTTTATTCAGACAAATCTTTGAATAGCAATTGTATTATGAAAAACTTATATTTGATATCAAAGACAATTCTAAATTATAAGATTTTTATGGCTATAACCATAGAGTTTTGAATCTAATCATTCAATGGATAAAAAAAGCTTTTACATTTACATATATTCCCATTCTTTCACTGTTAAACTTGATATGTTTAACACTTAGAAAAAATCACCTGATTAACCAAATTTTGAGGATTTTGTGGTCGATAAATAAACTACCACAATACAAATTGTCCATTTATTGTGATATTTCCTCAGTTTAAAATCCCGAATTTATGATTTCCTATTAAACAACAAAATAATATAAATAAAAATAAAAAATCCTACGACCATGAAAATTGGTGTCTACAAGGAAAGTTCGGTCACATTTAAAAAAAATCTATTTACCATCCTTGAGCTTTTTAGGTAAGGTAATAGCTGCCATCATCCTGTTTAAGACAGACAGTACAAGGGTGAAACTAATCGTCTTTCCATTAAATATCTGATTACAGGTGGAGTTTATAGCTTTACTGATTGTTGTTATTTCTCCATCACCCTCAATCTGTAACATTATAAAATCTTACTTAACATTCTTTTTTGTAGTAGTATTATATGTATAACTTGTTAAATATCAACATTCTACTCTTTTTTACAATTCAACAAAATAGCAATTGCTGTAAACAATGGGCCAACTGTCTCATTGATTGCTCCTGTTAACACTGGATATCCTGTCTCATTGATTGTTCCTGTTAACACTGGATCACCTGTCTCGTTGATGAACTGTTGCTGTTAACACTGAACCAGCTGTCTCATTGATTGTTCCTGTTAACACTGAACCAGCTGTCTCATTGATTGTTCCTGTTAACAATGGACCAGCTGTCTCATTGATTGCTCCTGTTAACACTGGATCACCTGTCTCATTGATGAACTGTTCCTGTTAACACTGAACCAGCTGTCTCATTGATTGTTCCTGTTAACAATGGACCAGCTGTCTCATTGATTGCTCCTGTTAACACTAGACCAACTGTCTCATTGATTGCTCCTGTTAACACTGGACCAGCTGTCCCATTGAATGCTCCTGTTTAAACTGGAGCAGACATTTCATTAATTGCTACTGTTAACACTGAACCAGCTGTCTCATTGATGGCTCCAGTTAACACTATACGAGCTCTCTCATTGACGACTCCAGTTACTTATCTATTTTTAGAGTTCAGGGAACTGTACTACATTTTTTACCAGTCTTATGAAGTATGTTAGTCAGCTAAACATGACCTTTAATATTTAGATATGTTTTGACAAAGGCCAGATAATTAACGTACGCCAAGAATTCTTTTGATTTCAGAGAAGCACGTGAATCTGATACATTCAGGGTTTTTGCTGGCGGTTGCCATTTTCGCATTTTTGGGAAAAAATAAAAATTGTGGCGATTAAAATTCATTATTGGCGAAAGAATTTGGCGACAGAAATATAACGGTTCAACTTCGTCAGTCCATCTTGTTTACTTTTTTTCAGGTTTCTCAGACTTTTTTCCTGATCAGGCAATACCGGGAATTCACCTTGAACTCGTTATGATTTTGATAGAAAATAAATAATCAGCTGATTGCATTTTATGGCTATCGGCAACAAAGGACTTATTAATAAAGGTGTTGATGGTATTGTATAATAAAATGGTGTGGTTAAATGGCGTCACATGTCACCTAAATTATTTATTTACAACTTTGATAGAAATAATTGTTTTGAAGTGGGTACAGCAAATCACGTGTTTGAAGCATAGTTTTATGTCTCGACTTTTGCTTTTGACGATGGTCCGGAAAAGAAAACTGACAAAATATTTTCTAAAGTAAGAAAAATCTCTGACTTTAAACTTTATCCTTTAACTTTGATAGAAATAACTGTTTTGAAGCTGGTTCTTTGCGATCGTTTTAGCAATGCGCTTGTTTGAAGCATAGTTTTACGTCATTGACTATAGATATGTAGAATCATAATAACAATGTGGCAAACTGACTTTTTGTTGTTGTTGGAAAGAATCTTAAACGAAACATATATATATATATATATATATGTTTATTTTAGTTGCTGAAAAAAAAATGAAAGTGGCGAAAAATGTATTGTTTTGGCAAAAGAGGTGGCGAAAAAGAAAATTGACCCAGGGGAAGCCCTGAACACATTACATCAAATATTCAAATATAAACATATCTTTTCTGACAACCACATGTTTTAATAATTTAACCAAATTCCAGTATGACAGTGAAAACCTAAAACATTATAACAAGACATTTAAACCTACCTCCAGTTTCTTTATCATGTGGAGTATCTGTAGACAGATAAATGCCTTTTCCTTCTGGGTTTTCACCAAAGTTAATAATTGGTCGAGTATCATAAGTATGAAACACTGCCCTCTACATTCTAAGTCTGCACTCATCCATTCAATAATCTGAAATAAAAACATAGAATCCAGTATGATTTGTCAAGTACAATTTTTTTGGGTAAATTTCACAGATAGAGACAAACCAATTATTTAGAGTTAAACAAAGAAGACAGTAACAATATGAGTGAATGATGTTCAGGAGACAAATCGCATGAAAAACTAAAAAACAACGAATAGAACAGGAAAAATCAATTTTTATGTAAAATGTCAACATTATATTTTCCTTATCATTATACTGGACACGGAATGATAAAGTTTGTTACTTTGCTGGGGTTTAATGTTCCTGCCTATGCATTCAAAATATTTAATGGCTGTCTGTGGCAGTACCAGATTTTTTACATTTTGTTTTTAATATCTGACAGTTGAAATCCACAATGATAATTGATAGCAAGGAGTAACACATAAGGTTGTGCAACATACACCCACTCATTACTATATACCCACTCATTACTATATCCCCACTCCTTACTATATACCCACTCATTACTATATCCCCACTCCTTACTATATACCCACTCATTACTATATCCCCACTCCTTACTATATACCCACTCATTACTATATCCCCACTCCTTACTATATACCCACTCATTACTATATCCCCACTCCTAACTATATACCCACTCATTACTATATACCCACTCATTACTATATACCCAATCCTTACTATATACCCACTCATTACTATATACCCACTCATTACTATATCCCCACTCATTACTATATACCCAATCCTTACTATATACCCACTCATTACTATATCCCCACTCATTACTATATACCCAATCCTTACTATATACCCACCCATTACCATATCCCCACGCATAACTATATCCCCACTCCTTACTATATACCCACTCCTTACTATATACCCACTCATTACTATATACCCACTCAATACTATATACCCAATCCTTACTATATACCCACTCATTACTATATACCACTCATTACTATACACCTACTCATTACTATATCCCCCCTCATTACTATATCCCCACTCCTTACTATATCCCGACTCATTACTATATCCCCACGCATTACTATATACCCACTCATTACTATATCCCCCCTCATTACTATATCCCCCCTCATTACTATATCCCCACTCATTACTATATCCCCACTCATTACTATATCCCCACTCATTACTATATACCACTCATTACTATATCCCCACTCATTACTATATCCCCACTCATTACTATATCTCCACTCATTACTATATACCCACTCATTACTATATACCACGCATTACTATATCCCTACTCATTACTATATCCCCACTCATTACTATATCCCCAATCCTTACTATATACCCACTCATTACTATATACCCACTCATTACTATATACCCATATATACCCACTCATTACTATATACCCACGCATTACTATATACCCACTCATTACTATATACCAAATCCTTACTATATACCCACTCATTACTATATACCCAATCCTTACTATATACCCACTCATTACTATATCCCCACTCCTTACTATATACCCACTAATTACAATATACCCAATCCTTACTATATACCCACTCATTACTATATACACACTCATTACTATATACCCACTCATTACTATATACCCACTCATTACTATATCCCCACTAATTACTATATCCCCACTCATTACTATATACCCAATCCTTACTATATACCCACTCATTACTATATCCCCACTCATAACTATATCCCCACTCATTACTATATACCCACTCATTACTATATACCAAATCCTTACTATATACCCATTCATTACTATATACCCACTCCTTACTATATACCCACTCATTACTATATTCCCACTCATTACTATATACCCAATCCTTACTATATACCCACTCATTACTATATACCCACTCATTACTATATACCCAATCCTTACTATATACCCACTCCTTACTATATACCCAATCCTTACTATATCCCCACTCATTACTATATCCCCACTCCTTACTATATCCCCACTCATTACTATATCCCCACTCATTACTATATCCCCACTCATTACTATATCCCCCCTCATTACTATATCCCCACTCATTACTATATACCCACTCAATACTATATACCCAATCCTTACTATATACCCAATCCTTACTATATACCCACTCATTACTATATACCAACTCATTACTATATACCCACTCATTACTATATACCAACTCATTACTATATACCCACTCCTTAGTCACACCTTACTATATACCCACTCATTACTATATACCCAATCCTTACTATATACCCAATCCTTACTATTTACCCACTCATTACTATATACCCACTCATTACTATATACCCACTCATTACTATATACCCACTCATTACTATATACCCAATCATTACTATATACCCAATCCTTACTATATACCCACTCATTACTATATCCCCACTCATTACTATATACCCACTCCTTACTATATACCCACTCATTACTATATCCCCACCCATTACTATATCTCCACTCCTTACTATATCCCCACTCATTACTATATACCCCTTCATTACTATATCCCCACTCATTACTATATACCCACTCATTACTATATATCCCTCATTACTATATACCCACTCATTACTATATACCCACTCATTACTATATACCCACTCATTACTATATACCCACTCCTTACTATATACCCACTCATTACTATATACCCAATCCTTACTATATACCCAATCCTTACTATATACCCACTCATTACTATATACCCATTCATTACTATATCCCCACTCATTACTATATCCCCAATCCTTACTATATCCCCACTCATTACTATATCCCCAATCCTTACTATATCCCCACTCATTACTATTTACCCACTCATTACTATATACCCACTCATTACTATATACCCATTCATTACTATATCCCCACTCATTACTATATCCCCAATCCTTACTATATCCCCACTCATTACTATATCCCCAATCCTTACTATATCCCCACTCATTACTATTTACCCACTCATTACTATATACCCACTCATTACTCTATCCCCACTCATTACTATATCCCCACTCATTACTATATACCCACTCATTACTATATACCCACTCATTACTATATCCCCACTCATTACTATATCCCCACGCATTACTATATCCCCACTCATTACTATATACCCACTCATTACTAGATACCCACTCATTACTATATACCCCCTCATTACTATATACCCACTCATTACTATATCCCCACTCATTACTATATACCCACTCATTACTATATCCCCACTCATTACTATATCCCCACGCATTACTATTTCCCCACTCATTACTATATACCCACTCATTACTAGATACCCACTCCTTACTATATACCCACTCATTACTATATCCCCACGCATTACTATATCCCCACTCATTACTATATACCCACTCATTACTATATACCCACTCATTACTATATACCCAATCCTTACTATATACCGAATCCTTACTATATCCCCACTCATTACTATATCCCCACTCCTTACTTTATACCCACTCATTACTATATACCCACTCCTTACTATATACCCCCTCATTACTATATACCCACTAAATACTATATACCAAATCCTTACTATATACCCACTCATTACTATATACCCACTCATTACTATATACCCAATCCTTACTATATACCCACTCATTACTATATACCCACTCATTACTATATCCCCAATCATTACTATATACCCACTCATTACTATATACCCACTCATTACTATATACCCACTCATTACTATATACCCACTCATTACTATATACCCAATCCTTACTATATACCCACTGATTACTATATCCCCACTCATTACTATATACCCACTCCTTACTATATACCCACTCATTACTATATCCCCACCCATTACTATATCTCCACTCCTTACTATATCCCTACTCATTACTATATACCCCTTCATTACTATATCCCCACTCATTACTATATACCCACTCATTACTATATACCCCCTCATTACTATATACCCACTCATTACTATATACCCACTCATTACTATATACCCACTCATTACTATATCCCCACTCATTACTATATCCCCACGCATTACTATATCCCCACTCATTACTATATACCCACTCATTACTAGATACCCACTCATTACTATATACCCCCTCATTACTATATACCCACTCATTACTATATCCCCACTCATTACTATATACCCACTCATTACTATATCCCCACTCATTACTATATCCCCACGCATTACTATATCCCTACTCATTACTATATACCCACTCATTACTAGATACCGATTCCTTACTATATACCCACTCATTACTATATCCCCACTCATTACTATATCCCCACGCATTACTATATCCCCACTCATTACTATATATCCACTCATTACTATATACCCACTCCTTACTATATACCCAATCCTTACTATATCCCCACTCATTACTATATCCCCACTCCTTACTTTATACCCACTCATTACTATATACCCACTCCTTACTATATACCCCCTCATTACTATATACCCACTCAATACTATATACCAAATCCTTACTATATACCCACTCATTACTATATACCCACTCATTACTATATACCCAATCCTTACTATATACCCACTCATTACTATATACCCACTCATTACTATATCCCCAATCATTACTATATACCCACTCATTACTATATACCCACTCATTACTATATACCCACTCATTACTATATACCCACTCATTACTATATACCCAATCCTTACTATATACCCACTGATTACTATATCCCCACTCATTACTATATACCCACTCCTTACTATATACCCACTCATTACTATATCCCCACCCATTACTATATCTCCACTCCTTACTATATCCCCACTCATTACTATATACCCCTTCATTACTATACCCCCACTCATTACTATATACCCACTCATTACTGTATACCCCCTCATTACTATATACCCACTCATTACTATATACCCACTCATTACTATATACCCACTCATTACTATATACCCACTCCTTACTATATACCCACTCATTACTATATACCCAATCCTTACTATATACCCAATCCTTACTATATACCCACTCATTACTATATACCCATTCATTACTATATCCCCACTCATTACTATATACCCAATCCTTACTATATACCCACTCATTACTATATCCCCACTCATTACTATATCCCCACTCATTACTATATACCCACTCATTACTATATACCCACTCATTACTATATACCCAATCCTTACTATATACCCAATCCTTACTATATCCCCACTCATTACTATATCCCCAATCCTTACTATATCCCCACTCATTACTATATCCCCAATCCTTACTATATACCCACTCATTACTAGATACCCACTCATTACTATATACCCCCTCATTACTATATACCCAATCCTTACTATATACCCAATCCTTACTATATCCCCACTCATTACTATATCCCCACTCCTTACTATATACCCACTCATTACTATATACCCACTCCTTACTATATACCCCCTCATTACTATATACCCACTCAATACTATATACCCGATCCTTACTATATACCCAATCCTTACTATATACCCACTCATTACTATATACCCACTCATTACTATATCCCCAATCATTACTATATACCCACTCATTACTATATACCCACTCCTTAGTCACTCCTTACTATATACCCAATCCTTACTATATACCCACTCATTACTATATACCCAATCCTTACTATATACCCAATCCTTACTATATACCCACTCATTACTATATACCCACTCATTACTATATACCCACTCATTACTATATACCCAATCCTAACTATATACCCACTCATTACTATATCCCCACTCATTACTATATACCCACTCGTTACTATATCCCCACTCATTACTATATCCCCACTCCTTACTATATACCCACTCATTACTATATCCCCACTCATTACTATATCCCCACTCATTACTATATCCCCACTCATTACTATATCCCCATTCATTACTATATACCCACTCATTACTATATCCCCATTCATTACTATATACCCCACTCATTACTATATACCCAATCCTTACTATATACCCACTCATCACTATATCTCCACTCATTACTATATCCCCACTCATTACTATATACCCACTCCTTACTATATACCCACTCCTTACTATATACCCACTCATTACTATATCCCCACTCATTACTATATCCCACCTCATTACTATATACCCACTCCTTACTACATACCCACTCATTACTATATACCCCCTCATTACTATATACCCACTCCTTACTATATACCCACTCATTACTATATACCCACTCATTACTATATCCCCACTCATTACAATATCCCCATGCATTACTATATCCCCACTCATTACTATATACCCACTCATTACTATATACCCACTCATTACTATATACCCCCTCATTACTATATACCCAATCCTTACTATATACCCACTCATTACTATATCCCCACTCATTACTATATCCCCACTCATTACTATATACCCACTCATTACTATATACCCACTCATTACTATATCCCCACGCATTACTATATACCCAATCCTTACTATATACCCACTCATTACTATATCCCCACTCATTACTATATCCCCACTCATTACTATATACCCACTCATTACTATATACCCACTCATTACTATATCCCCACGCATTACTATATACCCAATCCTTACTATATACCCACTCATTACTATATCCCCACTCATTACTATATCCCCACGCATTACTATATCCCCACTCATCACTATATACCCACTCATCACTATATACCCACTCATCACTATATACTCACTCCTTACTATATACCCACTCATTACTATATCCCCACTCATTACTGTATACCCACTCATTACTATATCCCCACTCATTACTATATACCCACTCATTACTATATACCCACTCATTACTATATCCCCACTCATTACTATATACCCCCTCATTACTATATACCCACCCATTACTATATACCCACTCATTACTATATCTCCACTCATTACTATATACCCAATCCTTACTATATACCCACTCATTACTATATCCCCACTCGTTACTATATCCCCACTCATTACTATATACCCAATCCTTACTATATACCCACTCATTACTATATACCCCCTCATTACTATATACCCAATCCTTACTATATACCCACTCATTACTATATCCCCACTCATTACTATATCCCCACTCATTACTATATACCCACTCATTACTATATACCCACTCATTACTATATCCCCACGCATTACTATATACCCAATCCTTACTATATACCCACTCATTACTATATCCCCACTCATTACTATATCCCCACGCATTACTATATCCCCACTCATCACTATATACCCACTCATCACTATATACCCACTCATCACTATATACCCACTCATCACTATATACTCACTCCTTACTATATACCCACTCATTACTATATCCCCACTCATTACTGTATACCCACTCATTACTATATCCCCACTCATTACTATATACCCACTCATTACTATATACCCACTCATTACTATATCCCCACTCATTACTATATACCCCCTCATTACTATATACCCACTCATTACTATATACCCACTCATTACTATATCTCCACTCATTACTATATACCCAATCCTTACTATATACCCACTCATTACTATATCCCCACTCGTTACTATATCCCCACTCATTACTATATCCCCACTCATTACTATATCCCCACTCATTACTATATCCCCACTCATTACTATATCCCCACTCATTACTATATCCCCATTCATTACTATATACCCACTCATTACTATATCCCCATTCATTACTATATACCCCACTCATTACTATATACCCAATCCTTACTATATACCCACTCATCACTATATCTCCACTCATTACTATATCCCCACTCATTACTATATACCCACTCCTTACTATATACCCACTCATTACTATATACCCACTCATTACTATATCCCCACTCATTACTATATCCCACCTCATTACTATATACCCACTCCTTACTACATACCCACTCATTACTATATACCCCCTCATTACTATATACCCACTCCTTACTATATACCCACTCATTACTATATACCCACTCATTACTATATCCCCACTCATTACAATATCCCCATGCATTACTATATCCCCACTCATTACTATATACCCACTCATTACTATATACCCACTCATTACTATATACCCCCTCATTACTATATACCCAATCCTTACTATATACCCACTCATTACTATATCCCCACTCATTACTATATCCCCACTCATTACTATATACCCACTCATTACTATATACCCACTCATTACTATATCCCCACGCATTACTATATACCCAATCCTTACTATATACCCACTCATTACTATATCCCCACTCATTACTATATCCCCACTCATTACTATATACCCACTCATTACTATATACCCACTCATTACTATATCCCCACGCATTACTATATACCCAATCCTTACTATATACCCACTCATTACTATATCCCCACTCATTACTATATCCCCACGCATTACTATATCCCCACTCATCACTATATACCCACTCATCACTATATACCCACTCATCACTATATACTCACTCCTTACTATATACCCACTCATTACTATATCCCCACTCATTACTGTATACCCACTCATTACTATATCCCCACTCATTACTATATACCCACCTCATTACTATATACCCACTCATTACTATATCCCCACTCATTACTATATACCCCCTCATTACTATATACCCACTCATTACTATATACCCACTCATTACTATATCTCCACTCATTACTATATACCCAATCCTTACTATATACCCACTCATTACTATATCCCCACTCGTTACTATATCCCCACTCATTACTATATCCCCACTCCTTACTATATACCCACTCATTACTATATCCCCACTCATTACTATATCCCCACTCATTACTATATCCCCACTCATTACTATATCCCCATTCATTACTATATACCCACTCATTACTATATCCCCATCCATTACTATATACCCCACTCATTACTATATACCCAATCCTTACTATATACCCACTCATTACTATATCTCCACTCATTACTATATCCCCACTCATTACTATATATCCACTCATTACTATATCTCCACTCATTACTATATCCCCACTCATTACTATATATCCACTCATTACTATATACCCACTCATTACTATATCCCCACTCATTACTATATCCCCACTCATTACTATATACCCACTCATTACTATATACCCAATCCTTACTATATACCCACTCATTACTATATACCCACTCATTACTATATACCCACTTATTACTATATACCCACTTATTACTATATCCCCCACTCATTACTATATACCCACTCATTACTATATCCCCATTCATTACTATATACCCCACTCATTACTATATACCCACTCATTACTATATACCCCCTCATTACTATATCCCCACGCATTACTATATACCCACTCATTACTATATACCCACTCATTACTATATACCCACTTATTACTATATACCCACTTATTACTATATCCCCCACTCATTACTATATACCCAATCCTTACGATACATTGACGAATAACCGATATCCTTGGTGGGTTTAAAAATAAAATCAAAATATTGCCCAACAGGAAATGACTGGCAGCATCTCTGAAAATGTCTTGCATGGTATAATTCAACATTGTAGTTTTAGACCAAATATCAAACCATTCTTTTAACCAGAAGGTAAAATGTAACAAATGTTTTGGAAAGGACATACAAGATGATTGCATCATACACTCTAGCTATCTGTAAGGGGTATAATATATGAGTGTACAAAGCATTAATAATTTGAATATACAAATATTTCCTAGAAGTTGAAAGGTCAAGGGACATAAGCTCAAAGAATCAACTCTTTAATTTAATAATATAAATATGAAGTTTATCATATACCATATTATCTCTCTGCTGTTCAGTACAAGCCATCAATCCATGTCCAAAACTGTCAATCATATTTTCTGCAAGATTATCATCTCCTTTATATTCAATTTTCTTCTTCCTGTGAGATTTGGGTGATTTTGGTGATTTTGGTGATTTGATAGGTGAACCAGATGTTTTCTGTACACCTATGTAAAAAATGGAATTAATCAAAGATTGAAATATAATTGAAGGACTTTAAATTAGCATCAATTATGCAATTTTGATAACTGATTACACTTGTTTATGATTTTGAACAACATTCTAGTATAATATAAAACTGTAAAACCAGTATTTCACAAAAGGGTCTTCAATTATAATGAGGTGTTCACCCTATAGAGTAGATTAAATTAAAAATCATAGTAAATGAAGTCTTTTAAACAGAGAATGTATAAAAGATCAAAATTATGTAAAAAGATAGGTCTGTATGTGTACTGTAACCTTACGGCTTTTCCAGAAAAATATGTATGGGGGGATGGGGGCACTTTGTTTTAATAATACATGGGTGATGGATATCAGAGCAACTTTTCACACTATAATGCACTATGATTCTGAATTATAATTGTATGGGTGGTGGGTGCTGAAACAAACTGCCTTCCAACCACCACATACATTTTTTTCTGGAATAGCCCTTAAATATTTCCATGTATCCCATAAAATATTGTTGTATATAATTACCAGTCAAATTATTAAAGTAAAATATGTGTGGTCTTATTTTGGGCAACAGGTCCATGTATATTCTCTGTAAAAAAGACTTTAGATTTGGGAGGAAAAAACGGCCTATAAGGCACCACTATAGTAATTGCTAACTTACTTTTGCTGACATCAGACATGGGGTCAATTACTTTTGAAAGTAATTAATTACATTCAATTACAATTACAAAATCTTCAATTAAATTACACATTACATTTGACTTTTTTTGACAATGTAATTAATTACTTTCCAATTACTTGGCAAATGTAATTAATTACTTCAATTACTTTTGAAAGGAAAATTTAGAACATGCATTTATTCTATCATATGTACATAATTATCATACATTGCTTTATAGTAATAACAAATGAGATCTACAGTGACTATTTTCAAATTCAGCCAGTATCAAAGAAGAGTAAAAGTTAAATATCTGCTGTGTTACGGGAATAAAGAAAAAAGAAACATAAATCTGAAGTGCACATAATACTTTGTCTATCAGGAATCGTTAGGACTAGATGTCTGGTTTAATTTAATGTGCAAAATAATAAAAAGCCTTATTCAATATTTGGAAAATATTAATTTTTGTTTAATTACCTATTGAAATTTTATGTTTTAATGTATTTCGTTGAAAATGATACAAGAGAGTCCTATAGATAAAATTTTATTTTTTTATTTTGATCACACAACTTATTAAAATTATTTTCCCTAAAGAAATGATTTAGAAAGTCTGACTTTTTTAAAAATATAATGTAGTTTTAATCACAATTAATTAATTTAAAAAAGAATCATGTACCTAGGGGTATATTTATCTCTCTCTAATGGGCTTAACACCTGTTTAGCATGTTAACATAACTGTTGTAAAAACAGTCATTATATAGTTTATGATAAAACAAATAGCCAGAGGTTATATTTATTGATTTACTGATGACCTTTCAAATTGATTATGCTAAATCAATGTCTAACAATATCAATCTGAATATACATGTAGGTAACAAGCTAATTAAGGTATAAGACAATGACTTACTAATGGTTTCTTTTAAACACATATTATGGCATGTTTCTACAATATTTTTTTTTTTATTTTTTGTTCATTCATTTCAAAATAAAAAATCTTCCATGGTTGTGTAATTACAGAAGGTATACTGTGTAGGCTTTGATTTGTCAGCTAACTACATTTGCTAAGGTCATGGCTTTTCATAATTTTTGTGAGAAAACACAAGATTCAATCTTTCTGATCCCAAATTTCAAATGTAATTGAGTTGTAATTGAAAAGTAATTGTCAATTACAGACATTTTTGGCTTTGTAAATCATTACTTTCAATTACTTGTAATTGAAAAAATGCTCAATTACACATTACATTCAATTACTTGAGAAATTGTAATTAATTACAGCCAATTACAATTACATATTTCAATTACCCCATGTCTGGCTGACATGTTTTAAAAGTTTATGTCTCTTAGCCAAAGGTGAATTAAGGATGAACGCCACATGTTCATATCCTTTCCAATCAGTGATCAGGAAAAATGGAAATAACGTTAGTAATATCTGATCATCATCTTTATCTTCTTCACAGCTACAGAGAACTTCTAGTATTGACAACATCATATCTTTCCTGGAAATTAAAAAAAAAACCCATATATTCCAAAATTATTCTGACTGAACTTAATTAACAGGTACTTATATACATAATTTTATTGGGGTAAAAAATCTATTATACTTGCATTAAGAGATGGTGATGAATGTTCTATTAAATATATTTATGAATTTATGAAGGATGAAATTTTATCTAAATTTTAAATCTATTGAAATAAAATTGTATTCCAAGGATTAAATTTGCTCCTTTTCAAAAATAATCAGTTTTCTTGAATTATATTGGGAACTTTTGTTGGATTGCTTTCTCAATGACTTATACCATAGGTTTTCTTATATTCATAGTAAAATATCATTATTAATACGACGTGAGTGATGATTCCAATTTTTTTTTATTTTATGATTTTATTATTTACATTTTCTGCTTTAACAGTAACAATTCTTGGGATTATACTTTTTGATTATTTCTTAAAACAAATACTGAACAGAACCTTGTTTTGATATCTTTATAATAATCTTACCACCCAGAATCTCTATCCACCTTCTCTAACAACAGTTTTAATACTTTCATCAATTCATCCTTCTCTGTCACCAAATCCCATATTTTCTAAAGAAAAAAGTCTTTAACTATTAACAGTAATTTCATTCGCTATGTAACTTTGTTTTTGTTTTGTTTGTGATGATGTCTTATGTAAATTAAACCTAAGAATATAGTAATTTAATTCATGCATTTATCAATGCTAATCTTGAAAAAAGAATACTAATACTTAACTTAATCTGATTCTTGTAAATGTTTAGCAGAGTTTTAATCATTGTGATGTTTATCCAGCAACAATTTTTGCATAATTAAAAACATCGCATTCAATTTTTGAATTAAAAGTATTTTTTTTCTAAAAAAAAGGTCTTTCTTACACCTAGTATCACATGGTCAAGAATACAGGTAACTTTGTAACCTGTTTTCTAGTGTGGGTCCTTGTCTTATTTTGAACATTGTACAGTGACTTGCCAATGTATATTCTTGACCTTTGAACTTTGGTAGATAGTTCTCATTGACAATCATACCACAAATTGTTATACTCATTTGTGACCACTTCATACTTTTAAGATATTTTGATAAAACCTCAAGAATACATACTGATCCTGATTCCAAAGCAGCTTTGACAACATCTTTATCGTCATCCCTCAGGCGGTTCAGTAAGACATCATTGACAAAGTCATCATCTGGTGCCTAAAATAAGTATAATTCAATTGTTATGATTAAAAATTCTAATTTATATTCAGAAACAGACCTAGTAACAATGTTACAGAACTCAAATGGAGTTATGTCTATGATGAAATGATAGTAAAATTATCCTTATTAACCCAAATCAGTAAATTTCTTTAAAACTTTTTATTAATATCTTAGAGAAATGAAGGCTTCAGAGCAAATGCAATGTGACTTCCATTATAATTAATATTTCAAAGAGGCATAACTCCTTAAAAATATTTGATCAGCACTTATTTTCGGAAGTGTCATAGACATTGCTGATATAAACCTATGATATAAGTTTCATAAAATTCTGTCAATAATTGTACACATGAGAATGCTGACAATGCAATTTTCCATATAATCAATATTTCCAAGGGGCCTAACTCTGTTAAAGATAATTAATCGGCACTGATTTTTGAACTCGTCAAAGACATTGATGATATAAACCTATAATATACAGTGTTCTCCCCAGAAATTTTGGATAGCATCACATTTTGCGTAAAAAAATAAACTATTTTTTTTCAATGTCATTTGACGCGTCGTGGCGATGCTCTATTTCCTTTATGTTATATATGTTTATATTGTTCAATTCATAACTAAGAATACAATTAAACTTTAACCATGATAACAGTTGTTTCAGCTTATGTTTTCTGTATTCATTTCTTGTTACAGAATTATTTTTTTCCTCTTGGGCCAAAAAAAAATATATGTGTGGTTCCAGTTACCCTACCTACTCAACTATATGAATGAATGAATAGTTTATTATAGTACAACCTGTATATATATATATATACAATACTAAATATCTAGCAAAAAAAAAAGAACTGTTTTTTATATAAAAAGGGAAGAGAAAGAATCATATAGCAATAAAATTTCTATTAAAAAACATTTTTCTTTATAATGTCTATGAAATTCATTGTTTCATGGTACTCAATGAATTAGTCCCAGTTGTTTCTTTATATCAAAATGATATATATTTTTAACAAAGTTAAGCTACTTTAGTCAGTATATTTCAATGTAATTTCAAAAAGAATACTTTTAGCAAAGATATCTAATAAATAGTCTGTTAATGAGTGTGGAATGCGTAGTTTTTTGTGATCATTTTTTTCTGTCTACTGTTCCATTTGTGCATCTATAGTTATTATCGTAAAAATGCGGAATTTTGTCATATCTGGTCCGGTTCCGATCCGCAGTTTACACAAATATGTCAATGGTGGCGGAAGAAAAATTTACGAAAAATAAACAATGTTTGACAAGAGATTGGGAATGAATATGACGCTTTTAATGCATTAAATGGATGAAACATTAACTAAAGCCAATTATGATCTCTTTCTAAAGAAGTATCAAACTTATTTAACTCAAAATCAAAATGTTTAATATACGCTCTCGATTAACTAGTAGTACCGGAAATGAAAGAAAGTAATTTTTTAAAAGTTGTAAAAATATACGACCTAACCTCTTTTCTAAAGAGAGAAATCGTTTGTATCTTTGAATATTTGGATTATGCAAACGTAGATTTCGAATTGTTTTTCGATCTTCTGATTACATTTTCTCCATGTAGAAATTTGCGATTAGACCACGTGGTATTAGTCATGTCACAAGTGTCAGCTTGGGGTATTCGTATCCATTCAGTTATCAGCCACAGGGCAATTAACACCTATTTAATCACCCTAAATTGCCTCTATCATCCCACTTGAAGGGATTACAATTAAAGGTGATATAATTTTTATGATCACAAGCGGCAATTAGATGAAAGTTCAAAATTTAGGACATGGTTTTGCGATATAGAGACAAGAAAAATAGCATCCTCAAAATAATTATAGCGTCGCGGAAATTATTATAGCATCACGGGAAAAAAATATAGCGTCTCGGTGCCGCGACGCTAAAACGGCCTGGGGAGAACACTGATATAAATTTCATAAAAATTTGGTAAGAATTGTACACATTAGAGCGCTCATAAGGCAATTTTTCATCTAATTAATATTTCCAAGGGCAATAACTCTTTTAGAAATTATTGATAGTCACTGATTGTCGAACTTGTCAAAGACATTGCTAATATAAAGCTATGATTTAACTTCATAAAATTCTGACAAGAATTGTACACATGAGAGAGCTAACAATGCAATTTTCCATATATTTAATGTTTCCAAGGGACATAACTCTTTTAAAAATAATTGATCGGTACTGATTTTCAAACTTGTCAAAGACATTGCTGATATAAATTTCATAAAAATCTGGCAAGAATTGAACAGATGAGAGCGCTTACAATGCAATTTTCCATATAACTAATGTTTCCAAGGTGCATAACTCTTTTAAAAATAAGTGATCGGCACTGATTTTCGAACTTCTCCAAGACATTGCTTATATATAAACCTATGATATAAGTTTTATAAAAATCTGGCAATAATTGTACACATGAAAGCGCTAACAAGACCGGACAGACGCCCTGTGTTTCAATGTCCACCGTAACGTGTTGCGCTGGGGACAACTACCACTTTTACACAGTTGTTATTTTACAAGAACTTGTTTCCTCTATAAGCTTTTACTCTCTCTCAATCTCTCTTCTGAAGACTTATATTTACTTTAGACAATTTTTTTCTTCCAGTAATTTCCAAACCACTTCTGGTGTATTGTTGTTAATGATAAATATTAGCATGGTATGCATAATTTTTTTACTATTCTATTTTCTTTAGTATCTATAGTACCCTGTTTTTTTCGTCAAGTTGTATCAGCATTTATCGAATAATTTTTTTATACTAGAAGTATTCGGAACAAAGCTCACAAAATGATTTAACTGCCTGTTCCAACATAAAACAATGGCAACTTCTATGATTAAAGCTTAAGGAAACTCCAAAAATAATTAAAAAAAAAAAAATAATGTGCACAATTACACTATATGGACATATTCGAATATTCTAATAAAAATTTAAAATCTAATATTGGGTTTAGAAGGAGTTGCTGATATATAATGTAAAAAGATAATGGATTATATGATGGTTTCACCAAATTCTGTCCAGTGGTTTAGGAGCACTTGCAGATATAAATAAATGGGGAATGTGTCCATGGGACACAGATGCTGCCCCTGCTTGCATATCATATAAATTTATAAAGGGACATAACTGAAGAACCAAAATTTGTACTTGATCTGAGTTTTGTGGTAATAAGTATTCTTCATAACATTTGGTTAAGGCAAACTAAAGTAACAGAACATAAACAAAAAAATTCATCAATTTTTTCATTTGCAAACAGACATAACTGTACTACGGTAAAAGTGACACCACCAAAATTCAAACTTGTCCTGTATTTTATGGTAATAACCATTGTGTATAAGTTTCATAACATTTGGTCGAGGCAAACAAAAGATACAGAACAGAAACCAAACTTTGGGACGTACGGACGGACATACAGAAGGACAAGGGAAAAACTTAATGCCCCCTCAGCTTTGGCTGGGGTATTAAACTAGAGGCTCTCAAGAGCCTGTGTCGCTCACCTGTATTTACTGATGCTTTGGAAATCATGTAAAATAAGGTTAAAATCATAATTAATAGTATTAGATATTAGATCTTATAATGATATCTAAGATAATAACAAAAAACTGCTAAATTTTTGTAAAATTACTAACTCAGGGGCAGCAACCCAACAACGGGTAGTCGGAATTGTCTGAAAATTTCAGGGCAGATAAACCTAAATCTGATGAACATTTTTGCCACCTGTCAGATTTGCTCTAAATGCTTTAGTTTCAGAGATATAAACCAAAAACTGCATTTTACCCCTATGTTCTATTTTTAACTAAGTTGGCCATGATGGTTGGAAGGCGGGGTCATCGGACAAATTTTTCAAACTAGATACCCTAATAATGATTATGGCCAAGTTTGGTTAAATTTGTATCAGTAGTTTCAGAGAAGAAGAGTTTTGTAAAAGATTACAAAAATTTACGAAAAATTGTTAAAAATTGACTATTAATGGCAATAACTCCTAAAGGGGTTGACTGACAATTTTGGTCATGACAACTTATTTGTAGATCTTACTTTGCTGAACATTATTGCTGTTTACAGTTTATCTCTATCTATAATAATATTCAAGATAATAACCAAAAACTGCAAAATTTCCTTAAAATTACCAATTCAGGGGCAGCAACCCAACAACAGGTTGTCAGATTTGTCTGAAAATTTCAAGGCAGATAGATCTTGACCTGATGATCAGTTTTACCCTGTGTCAGATTTACTCTAAATGCTTTGGTTTCAGAGATATAAGCCAAAATCTACATTTTACCCCTATGTTCTATTTTTAGCCATGGCGGCCATCTTGGTTGGTTGGCGGGGTCATCGGACACATTTTTTAAACTAGATACCCTAAGGATGATTGTGGCCAAGTTTGTTTAAATTTGGCCCAGTGGTTTCAGAGGAGAAGATTTTTGTAAAAAGCTAACGACGACGGACGCCAAGTGATGAGAAAAGCTCACTTGACCCTTCGGGTCAGGTGAGCTAAAAAGTGGTATGGAAGTATGGATGAATAGATGAATGAACAAACTGATGAACTAATGGACTCCCCAATCAGCATTAGTTAGATTTATAAAACCTCACATCATCCAAATTGAAAAGATTAGTTTACTTTAAGTGACTATGTAATCTTACCTCCTCAAGATTTTTCAATAAATACTCAGTAGCTTTCTGTCTGACTGTTGGTAGACGATGGTTTAATGATAATGTCAGACTGGCACTTGATTCTGGTACAAGATGGTGTTGTACAGAAAATACCATCTGATTCATAAATTGTTCCATTAACTCTCTTGTCTTGTCAGATTCTGCATTCTGTAGAATGTCTTCCATACTTCTGTCAACTGCCTTGGGGTATCTAAAATAAATATTGATAAATGTTCACATGAAACAATGAAATGTATGTCATCCTTTTTCTAAATTAGAAATCTTTTCGTCAAGGAGAAAATAGAAAATTGGTATTATGGCATTTTTATTACAAATTGAAAACATCATCCTTATCTGCCATTGAGAGAGAAGAAAATAATTCTTTGACCAAAACACATGCATCATATCACATTCATAGAATTCAGAAATATGCTACAACATCTGATATGAATTTAGTCTTTGCTTTGTTCCGAAAAATCTCCTATTTACTTTTTTTTCTTTGTGTAACTGTATTAATATTTCCCATTATTTGTATGACAATACCTCTTGAGGGCTTCATATATTGTTCCATATTATTTGGGGTAAAAAAAAACCAGTCTAATGGAGCAATTAAGATAAAGTACTGCATTATGGTGATGTAAATCTTGAAGAATTTTATGACTGCTTGATAATACGCTCACAATGATGCTCAATATAATTTACAAGAACTATAACTGAATGTTTGAAAAGATCATCTAATGAGATCAAATTGTGAAATGTAGAATTCAATGTTCATGTAAATCTTACTTGGATTCCAGCATCCTCATGGTTACAGTGAATTTGTTACAGAAATCCTTCACAGCTTCTTCATGCTCAAACTTTCCACTACATTTCATCAATTTATCCAAAATATTCCTAAAATAAAATTACAGTATGAACATAGTGCAATTATCAAAATTATCAAATAAAATCTTTTTATAAATACATGTAGCATTCTTTAAAAGGTCACTACACACAATATTTACTAATATATATTAAAAATAACTAATATTCTGCAAACTTAAATCTACTTCTGGTAAAGTCATCTAAAATACTTATTAACCCAAAGATTATCTGACATAATGTAATGAACTTACTTCCAGGGTAGGATACCTTTTCTTGTCTTGTTTTAAAAAGAATAAGGATTGCTATGTATCAGTCAAAATATTGAGGCTATTTTTTTTATGAACAACTCATCATGACCTCCCCTGGTCATCTTCTGTATATATAAATTTCTCCAAGGTCCTGCTATTCAAAGTTCATCTCTGCAAGTAGTTTTTGTTAATTACCTTATAACCACTTCATCCTGACCTTCCTCTAAAGCCACATCAGATAGAATTCTGTGTAGAGCCACATTTAATTCAGTACTGCCACCTACTTCTGTGTCTGACTCGTTACTATCACTGCCACTAGTCATGAAGTTTATTGGTTTAATGGCGGCAGGAATCAGCCTTTCTAATAAAGCCAGTATGAACTTGTCTGACTTGTACTGGTTACATAAAGGTACCAGTGTTTCTACCAGTGCAGGTTGACTACACAGCCTCTTAAAAGCCCTGTAAATTAATTCATTATCTAGATAGGAAACAGTAAGAGATATTTAAAATTGGTTTACAAAAAAGAAGAAAAATTAAATCCCAAAATCAAAAACATTCCATAAGTACCCTCCATTTCTGATAGGTACTGTGAAAGTATACCTATAAAAGAGTGAAAAAAGTACTGCATTTTTGTCAAGCCTGCGACTTTTGTCGCAAAAGCGAGACATAGCGATCCTGCATTCTGTCATCACCGTAGGTGGCGTCCACAAATATTCACTCTGTGGTTAAAGTTTTTGAAATTTTAATAACTTTCTTAAACTATCCTGGATTTTTACCAAACTTGGACAGAAGCTTGTTTATGATCATATTAAAGATAGTAGCCAGAAGTAAATTTTGTAAAAAAAAAAATCATGTTTATCTGTATTTTACTTATAAATGGACTTAGTTTTTCTGCCAGTTAACATTACATTCACTCTGTGGTTAAAGTTTTTAAAATTTTTAATAACTTTCTTAAACTATCCTGGATTTGTACCAAACTTGGACAGAAGCTTGTTTATGATCAAAAGCTAGTATCTAAAAGGAAATTTTGTAAAAATTTATTTCCTGTTTTTCCGTATATAACTTATAAATGGACTTAGTTTTTCTTCCAGTTAACATTACATACAGTCTGCAGTTAAAGTTTTTAAAACATTTATTAGATTCATAAACCATCCTGGATTTTTACCAAACTTGGATAGAAGCTTCTTACAATCAAAAGATAGTATCTAGAGGAAAATTTTTAATAATTTTTTCCCCATTTTTGTTGAGCCTGCGACTAACAGCAAAAGTAGGCGAGACACTGTCCGTGGAACCCTCACAAATTTTTTATTTACTTAATATGATAAAATTGCATTGCAATAATTTAAAATGATGAAAACATGCTGTGACTTCCGAAAATTAATACCCTTACTATACCTAATGCCATCCACAATTTTTCTTTTTTACAGAATCTGTCTATGTATAATTTTTCAAACATAACACAGTAAATACATTTAACATGTATAACTAAAATGAATGAGAATTTGATATAGCTTGATATGAGTGATTTCTAATAATTTTCTTATACTATCTAAATTAAATAACCAGAGTTGATATCAAGTGATATCCAATTCTCACGAGTTGTTAAACCTATTTCTCTTATGGTCAGCACTCACATTGTGTTTTATAAAAAATTCTGCGAATTGTTGATATAGCCTTTTGTACATACCAGCATGACGTCAAATGTCCTGTTCCTGCGTCAACCCTTAAGAATGTAATAAAATTTGTCAAAAAGATGATTTTCAGGTGAAAAGTGTGAGGGTTTTGTATATTATTGAAGAAATGTCTGTTGCCATGGACGAAATATATATTGTCTTAACCTTTGAAAGTTATCAATGACCTAACGAATAGCCATTGGAAATTTCGTAATATCATCTGATGATGCTTGATAAGCCAATCAAGTTAACACAGTTTTCGTATCACTTTTTTGAATCACACTTTGTGCAGTGTGATACGAGAAATATCTCTTCATGCAAGAAATAGATAACAGGCCACAACCATAAGAGAAATAACAAAAGATATATACTAACCTTTTTGACAATCCTGTAATATTCTGTGACTGGAACATCAACAGCATACATGACAAAGCTTCTGTCAATAACCGTGGTGAAATGTACTGTGAAATAAATTTCAAATTAATCATATGTATTGCTAATTTCCTTCTCCTAGTATTTTGTGTACAAAAAATAGTACTAATTAGGAGTGAAAACTCACACAAATCATATTCTTTATTGTATCGTATGTAAATACTCTTTATTGGTTGGTTTTAATTCTATTTCTTTCTTCACTTAATTATCAGGACATAACTATAAAAGAAAATGTACAAATACAGATCTTAAAACCTACTAGTTTACTTTTTATAAATTTGCATTAATCCTTAATTCTGTTAAATGTTTTAAAGATTTAGTGCAAAGGGAACATAAACTTGTGATCTGTGTAAAAACACATGTGTCAATGATAATGTATTTTTATGGTTCATATATTTATTTTAGAAATGAAGATTCTTACATGCCCCAAGTATGTTTGAACATGCACAAATATCAGCTTAAGTAGAAAGGTAACTATGGTTGTTTTTCAAAAATTAAAGTATTACTCAGAAAAAGGTTCTGCCATCTTACCTTACAGATTGTATTAAGCAGTATAGTCAGTAGTCTATTCTTCAAGGTGACTTTGTGAAACATATAAATTCTTCTTGTGAAACAGTTCTGCTATCTTACCTTGCATATTGTATTTAGCAGTGTAGTCATAAGTTTATCCTACAAGGTGACCTTGTGAAATAGTTCTGCCATCTTACCTTACAGATTGTATTCAGCAGTGTAGCCAGAAGTTTATCCTTCAAGGTGACCTTGTGAAACAATTCTGCTATCATCATATAAGTAGCTGCTTTATAGTTAGGTATACTAGATTTTAACCCTTGACTGATGTGTGGTAATATCATGGCTATAAATTCTTCCTTAATGCCACCTGTTTCCATGACACCTATAGCTGTGGTCATGTAAAAGGCAAACCATGTCCTTAATTGTGGCATTGTTTCGTCTACTGACTCCTGAGCCTGCATTATAGAAATATATAAGGTGTTTTAATTATGGCTGATATATAACTGATGTGTCTCTATTGTGCTAAGAAAAAAAGTAGTTAAAAATAAGAAAATGTGGAATGACTGCCAATGAGATAATTTTCCTCCAGAATCAAAGAGACCAATTTTCCTCCAGAATCAAAGAGACCAAAGGACGAGAAAGTAAGCTACTATAGGTCAGTGGGTCCGAGTACACAGTTATTTCATAGTGCATTTCTTTTAGACAATGAATGAAAATTAAAAAAATCCCACCTGCGCTTTCTCAATAATATTTTTACAGTGTGTTGTACTACTTTTGGGACAAATTATATCAAAATTATAGAAAACTTCATCGGCTCTAACTCAAAATATGGACAATTTCATGTTAAGGGGGTCTTCAAATCTTTTGACAGCTTCCGAAGTGCTAATTTTTAACATTTTTCAGCTGGACCAAATCACTACTTTACTTTAAAATTCATGACCCAAATATTTTTACAGTGTCATTTCACCCCCTTACTTACTATTTGAGTCGTACGACATAGAGAAATAAATTTGGAAGGGGTATAAAAAAAATCGACAAGTAACACACTGTCCACACTAGGGACTATATTCGTGGACAACGAAAATCAAAGGACGATAACTGTGTACCCGGACCTAATAGGGTAGAAAAAGTTGACCAATCTTAATGAAACTTGGTATGACCAAAGCTTATTAAATTATAAGACTGCTTACAAAGTTTCATGGCAATAAGATATATATTATAGACAATATGACTAATTCTATATTCAACTTTGCGTGTTAAATTTAGACGTTAAAATTGAAAATTTTCAACTATCAACATTTGGGGCTAAAAAAATTAAAATATTGCAAAAAAATACTTTTGAAATGCCTTAATATATATTATATTATGCATTAAAAGCAATAGAGTACTCATTTGATTTATCAGACTTATCATAATTATTAAAAAGTCAAATCTATATGAGCCTGTGGCTAAAAATGGAGGTTTTCCAATGAAGGGGGCCTTACATGAAGATGTAATATTTTCCATCAATTTTAAATTTGTAAAGCTTTTTGGTTATAAATAATCCTTACATATGTATTTAATGTACTTTAAATGGAAAGAAAACTTACAAATAACATATCACATTAGTTTAAAAGGGTCTTAGGCCAAGTAAGACTGAAAATAATTTAGGGTCAATTTAGGCCGTATCACATATTTACATTTAAAAATGCATATTGAAGCTATAGAAAATAAAATTTTGTGTCTTTTCTATCATTTCTATACTCAGTTGACATGATAAAATAAATCTGAGCACAAAAAGACTCTTGCATTCAACTTTTTTTGCAGACAGTATGGTCTGATACAAAGATTTTTCACTTTTTAGTGAAAAACATGGATGCAATTTTAGTCTCAACAGGCTTATATTTGAACCACTTGATATCCTACAGAAGAAAAGAAAGATATTATGTGGCATAAAACAGGTACAAAAGACATTGTTAAGTGCTTTTTATACAAATTTAGTGAGGTCTTTATAATAGACTTCAACTTTTATGTTCCAAGCTCCTCACATTTAACTTGATCCAAACAGGGCGTTAGACGAGGATCATAGATACAACACATTTTGCACATATTGTCCGAGATAATCTTCTTTTCTGTAGATTCAGAGTTCACAAATGAGTAATACAACTGGATTGAAGCATAGAAACACAAATATTGACACATAAAAACCTGTCAGATAGAAAGTCAGAATGCCACTTATGCATCAAAATTGAATAAAATGCTTCGCTGGGGCGCAGCTTGATACGACCGCAGAGGTCAAACCCTGAACAGTTGGGCAAGTATGGACACAACATTCAAGCTTGATACAGCTCTGAATTTGGATTAATTGTTATTAAATATTTGACACAGCATAGGTTTCTGACACAGAAAGAATATGGTCTAAGAACTTGAATTTTTTTAATTTACCTATTATGGTCCAATGTCCAAAATCAAAATACATGGTTAGATTCAGCATATCAAAGAACCCCATATATTCAATTTTTGTTGAAATCAAACAAAGTTTAATTTTGGACCCCAACTTGGACCAACTTGAAAACTGGGCCCATAATCAAAAATCTAAACACATGTTTAGATTCAGCATATCAAAGAACCCCAAGAATTCAATTTTTGCTAAAATCAAACTAAGTTTAATTTTGGACCCTTTGGACCTTAATGTAGACCAATTTAAAAAACGGGACTTAAATTTAAAAATCTAAATACACGGTTAGATTTGGAATATCAAAGAACCCCAATAATTCAATTTTTGATGAAATCAAACAAAGTTTAATTTTGGACCCTTTTGACCTCAATATGAACCAATTTGATAGCGGGGCCCACAAAATAAAAAATCTAAATTCATGGTTAGATTCAGCATATCAAAGAACCCCATATATTCAATTTTTGTTGAAATAAAAAAAAGTTTAATTTTGGACCCCAACTTGGACCAACTTGAAAACTGGGCCCATAATCAAAAATCTAAACACATGTTTAGATTCAGCATATCAAAGAACCCCAAGAATTCAATTTTTGTTAAAATCAAACTAAGTTTAATTTTGGACCCTTTGGACCTCAATGAAGACCAATTTAAAAATTGGGACCCAAATTAAAAATCTAAAAACACGGTTAGATTTGGCATATCAAAGAACCCCAATAATTCAATTTTTGATGAAATCAAACAAAGTTTAATTTTGGACCCTTTTGACCTCAATATGAACCAATTTGATAGCGGGGCCCACAAATAAAAAATCTAAATACATGGTTAGATTCAGCATATCAAAGAACCTCATATATTCAATTTTTGTTGAAATCAAACAAAGTTTAATTTTGGACCCCAATTTGGACCAACTTGAAAACTGGGCCCATAATCAAAAATCTAAATACATGTTTAGATTCAGCATATCAAAGAACCCCATATATTCAATTTTTGTTGAAATCAAACAAAGTTTAAATACTGGACCCTATCTTGGACCAACTTGAAAACTGGGCCCATAATCAAAAATCTAAACACATGTTTAGATTCAGCATATCAAAGAACCCCAAGAATTCAATTTTTGTTAAAATCAAACTAAGTTTAATTTTGGACCCTTTGGACCTTAATGTAGACCAATTTAAAAAACAGGACCCAAAATTAAAAATCTAAATACACGGTTAGATTTGGAATATCAAAGAACCCCAATAATTCAATTTTAGATGAAATCAAACAAAGTTTAATTTTGGACCCTTTTGACCTCAATATGAACCAATTTGATAACGGGGTCCACAAATAAAAAATCTAAATACATGGTTAGATTCAGCATATCAAAGAACCCCATATATTCAATTTTTGTTGAAATCAAACAAAGTTTAATTTTGGACCCCAATTTGGACCAACTTGAAAACTGGGCCAAAAATCAAAAATCTAAATACATGTTTAGATTCAGCATATCAAAGAACCTCATATATTCAATTTTTGCTAAAATCAAACAAAGTTTAATTTTGGACCCCAATTTGGACCAACTTGAAAACTGGGCCAAAAATCAAAAATCTAAATACATGTTTAGATTCAGCATATCAAAGAACCTCATATATTCAATTTTTGCTAAAATCAAACAAAGTTTAATTTTGGACCCTTTGGACCTTAATGTAGACCAATTTGAAAACTGGACCCAAAATTAAAAATCTAAATACACTGTTAGATTCGGCATAACAAATAAATAAATGTGATCAAAGATTTTACAAATCTTATGCGCCATACTGTGCAATTAAAGATTACTTCTTGAATTTTTTCAATATTTGAAATTTGAAAAAAAAATAATATTTGAAGAATAATTCTTTTTAATTTCTGAAATCTGAAATGAGAAAAAATTGACCCCCCACAATTTCTTTTTATCCCCCCCCCCCCTTTTTTCCCCAAAAAAATTCTTTCCCTCAAGATATGGTCATAATCTCAATTCAAATTTCCAATGGAGTTGGCAACCATAATTACCCATTTAAATTTACCATAGTGCTAACTTAATCTATTTTATAATAGAATTAAAAATATAGTGTCAAATCTTTCATATGGATTTTTTTGTAAAAAAAAAAGATGCAACATTTGCAGATATTTTTACTGGTCTTCCTTTATAAATATGCATTTCTTTAAACATAATTTAAAAGCAGTGAAAGGGAAGTAACCAAAACGTTGTATTTGGATTACCTCCCTTACACTGTTTTAAATTATCTTTATTGTTCATTAACCATTACTTTATACATAATTTAAAAGCAGTGTAAGGGAGATAATTTCAATGATGTATTTGATTTATCTCCCTTACACTGCTTTAAATAATGTTTTGTACTAAAGTATTTGTCCATTAACCAGGACAACCTTGTTTTTCCCCCTTTTTTGCCCCTAATTCCTAAACGGTTTGAGCCATAACCCCCCAAAGCAAATCCTAACCATCCCTTTGTGGTATGGATACTTGTAGTATAATTTCAGAGAGATCCATACACCGTTCCACAGTTATTGTCTGGAAACTAGAAAATGCTTATTTTTGGCCCCTTTTTGGCCCCTAATTCCTTAACTGTTGGTACCATAACCCCCAAAATCAATCCCAACCTTCCTTTTGTGGTATTTAACCTTATGGTCAAATTTCAAAAAGATCCATTCACTTAAACTAAAGTTAGAGTGCGAAAACCATTGTGTATTCGGACGACGACGACGCCAACGTCATACCAATATACGACCACAAAATTTTTTTGCGGCCGTATAAAAAGCTATGAAATGCTTATTTTGACCATAAAATGCCAAAATTGGTTATTTTTGCAGAAATTCTATCAAATAAAAGTTTAAATCCTTTAGTTTTATGCTATTTGATAAATTGACACCATCAAATCATTCAGGGAAGTTGCCAAAGTACAGATTCTATATTTCCTGATTTCACCTCTGAGGTCCGAGTACACAGTTATTTCGTAGTGCATTTCTTTTAGACAATGAATGAAAATTAAAAAAATCCCACCTGCGCTTTCTCAATAATATTTTTACAGTGTGTTGTACTACTCTTGGGACAAATTATATCAAAATTATAGAAAACTTCATCGGCTCTAACTCAAAATATGGACAATTTCATGTTAAGGGGGTCTTCAAATCTTTTGACAGCTTCCGAAGTGCTAATTTTTAACATTTTTCAGCTGGACCAAATCACTACTTTACTTTAAAATTCATGACCCAAATTTGTTTACAGTGTCATTTCACCCCCCTACTTACTATTTGAGTCGTAAAACATGGAGAAATAAATTTGGAAGGGGTATAAAAAAAATCGACAAGTAACACACTGTCCACACTAGGGACTATATTCGTGGACAACGAAAATCAAAGGACGATAACTGTGTACCCGGACCAGTGTACTTGGTTACATTGAATTATAACAATCTACTCAATATATAAATAAGTGATGTGTATGATTGTACCAAACTGTCATATTGTAAAATACAGAAAACATAGTTTTATAAGGAAAGTAAAAGTAAGATTAATAATTAAATATATAATATATGTGTTTTATTTACTGGAGAGAGCAACCCAACAACACATAAACTGTTATCACAGGGATATGTATCCCCTTTTTGTAATTTTGATAATGCAAATGTTGAAATTAAAATAGCAATACTTTTAAAAACCTGTAAGTTATGCAAATATTCAAAGTCAATGAACCATGACTGAAGGTACATGGCTAAACAATCTGTTTGGAAATGAGATGTGCCAATGCTAATACAACTGCATACCAAATACCATTGACTTATCATAAGTTGTTCCTTTTAAACAAACTCGTAAACTATGTAAAAGTTTCAAAGTCAATGAACCATGATGAGGGGGCGGGCTATATAATCTCCATGGATACGTGATATGCCAATACTAATACAACTGCATACCAAATATCATTGACCTACCACTAGTGGTTCCCCATAAACTGACCTAATCACAAACTAATACATGTAAATTAAGCAAAAGTTTCAAAGTCAATAGACCATGACTGAGCAGGCAGGGCCAAATAATCTCCATGGAAATGAGATTTGCCAATGCTTATACAACTGCATACCAAATATCATTGACCTACCACTAGTGGTTCCCCATAAACTGACTTAATCACAAACTAATACATGTAAACTAAGCAAAAGTTTCAAAGTCAATAGACCTTGACTGAGGGGGCAGGGCCAAATAATCTCCATTGAAATGAGATATTCCAATGCTTATACAACTGCATACCAAATATCATTGACCTACCACGAGTGGTTCCCCATAAACTGACTTAATCACAAACTAATATATGTAAACTAAGCAAAAGTTTCAAAGTCAATAGACCATGACTGAGCGGGCAGGGCCAAATAATCTCCATGGAAATGAGATATGCCAATGCTTATACAACTGCATACCAAATATCATTAACCTACCACTAGTGGTTCCCCATAAACTGACCTAATCACAAACTAATACATGTAAACTAAGCAAAAGTTTCAAAGTCAATAGACCATGACTGAGCAGGCAGGGCCAAATAATCTCCATGGAAATGAAATGTGCCAATGCTAATATAACTGCATACCAAATATCATTGACCTACCACTAGTGGTTCACCACAAACTAGACCTAATACATTGTTGCCACCGCTGCCGCCGGAAACAGCATACCTATGTCTCGCTTTTTTACTCCGTCAAGGCGAGACAAAAAACATCTAGATTGTTTAAGATAATATTTTAACCTTTAGATGTCTTTTGTTTTTTTTTTAAGACTGCCGGTTTGTTGTCTTATTAATGTGTTTCTCCCTTAAAATATCTTATTTGTTTTAATTGACAAAATTTTTCTATTTTAGTTACTGTAAAACTCCTGCACCATAGAATGACATTTTATTACTTTTAATACAATGCCACTGATTGGCATTTCATACCTTGATAACTTTGATCACAGTGTCACAGATCAAAGCCATAAATCCTGGATCAGTTCTACAATGGTTAACTAATGCTGACCTTGATAAATGTACTCCAGTTTTCTGTGGAAAGAAAGTAATAACTATATTTCTAAAGGAAAGATCTAGTCTAATGATGATTTTTTGTGATTTTTTTATTACATTATTTCAAAGTATTTATCCATCTGAATATTTTGTATAAATCTCAGAGTCACAACAGGGAGTAAATTGATAATTATATTATGTAAATAAAAGCACATGGTAAATACTTTACATATAAGAGCATATGGGAGGAGCTAATCATTCAATCATCTGTTGATACCAAGTGTCCAGCTGTTAATCTCTGACCACAAGAAAAATAATGTGGTTAATTTATATAATAATGGAGGTACATTTTAACAAAGAAAATTTAAAAGAGAAAAAAATGTAGAGGGAATAAAATCTAAAGTGAAGACATATATATATAGATATAAATGTGTAAGAGTAGCTTAAACAAAATTTTGAAAGCCTCTAACATATGTTCTTACTAAGGCAAAAGAACTTGTATCTGAATCTTAAACCAGCAGCAATCCTTATTCTAGACAAATCACCGGGATAAAAGTAGTTTTTTTGACTTGCACTAAAAATAAGAAGTAGCTGTTCTATTTTGTAGAGGACAGTAGGTAGTATGAAAATATCTTTTATTGCATAGTTTTAAGTTTCTAGTTAATTTCACAGTACACCTATATATCTTTTTTAAATATGAATAATAATTATTATTTCATACTGAGAATTATATCAAGTATTGATAATATGCAACTTATCACTCTTAATATTCTCTTATCTTATACTGTCTGGACAGGGGAGGAGCTATGGCTATATTTAATTACTACATTACAGATGGTGGTCAAATCTGTGACATCAGACTTCCACCAAATGCTAAATTATTGTTGTAAAGGGTTGGACAGTGCACAAATCATGCAAAATTTAAGTGTACAAAAGACACAACCTGTGTGGTTCTGTTGATAAAATAATAGTGTCAGAACACTCCTGGGGTGCTTCCAGAGGAATGTTTATATTTATGTTGCATTTATAGGGGTTCAAAGGGGGGTATTCATTTTTGAGGTAATTTTTCAGAACAATTTTTCATGGGAATTGTCATCAGAAAATGAAAATAGAATCATTATGGGTGCCCCCTTTGGTTTGGCTTTTATATATGTGAGTGAAGGGAGTATTTTCTACAAAACATTGTCCCATTTTTTGGATAATTCATTTCTGAATGAATTTATAGGTCTCCAAAGATGAAAGGTGAAATGAGGTTTGGCACCCAGCAGTTAAATTAATATATCTTCTAATTGGAGGCCAAAATTAATACAAATCTGTCACACGGTTATGTAGCTTGTGCATGGTCAATTAAAGGGATGAAAACAGAATTTTACTACCATTTGACCTGAATGTGCTATTTTCATCCCAAGTTGTGAGAGCACTTTTCTGGCAGGTAATGACATATATTTTTAATTGAATATACCAAATATAACTTTATCTATAGATTAAGAAAGAGTAATATTTTAGCTTTGAAATGAGTTAAAGATTTTAAAAATCCATTGAGTAGTTTTGGAGAAATTAATCTTTAAAGACTGTTGGTTGGAGTCAGAAAAGTCAGACTGCAGTGCTACCTTAAGTATGTCATTTTTCTAAACAGTTTTACAGTCGAATTTGTCCAAGATGTTGATGACAACTATCAAAATTTAAATCAGTTAAGATATGAGCCATACAAGAGATAAGAACTAGAAGTACTGTGAGTTTTCCTCAAATGGTACTCCTGTTCCTTCCTAGAAATACAGATCTTGATATGAAATACCACTTAGTTTTGTGTTGAGAATTGTTTATATCTTTTAAACAAGTAAGAAGCACTTGTGTTTACAAGATCAATATAATATAACAAATCAAACAAATGTGCAAGTTCTATTACCTCCCCTTAAGAGTGGAGTGTTTTTTTTTGGTTACATATCATAATTGTTTTCGTCTCTTTGTGTTCCATTAGGAATAATGACCCCATAAAAACAACAGGTAAGTATTGACAGTCAAAATAACAGGTGTCAAAGTACTGTTCACCAGCTACTTTATTATTAAAAGATGAAACAAACTCACACAATGTTTTCTTCCAAATATTATTTTGTAAAGTGTGTAAACAAAAACCCATTCTAGTATTTTCAAGGAGGATATCTCGCACTATCATTAAAACAAATTAACATGCAATGAAAATCAAACCTGAATCTCTTCCAGCCAATCCCATTTTGTAGCAAGCTTTGAATTCAGTTTGAGAAGTTGAACCACACGTACAAATATTTTACTCTCATGGTACGGTATCATACATAACATCAAACTGTCTACATTGTACTGGTGAATATGGTACCTGTTTATAGTAAAAAAAGATAAACAACTTCAGACTATTTACATTGCATATGGTTTCTGCAGCAAAGAAAAAAAGACATAACATAAGACTGTCTTGACCATTGATGATATACGTTTAAAAAAAATAATACATTTTAGAATAGAGAATGGAAACTGGGATTGTGTTAAAGACAAAATCCCGATCAAAGAGCAGAAAACAGTCCAAGACCACCCAGGGTCTTCAACAGTGAAAAAATCCTGCACCCGGAGGAGGGCTTCAGCTTGCCCTTAAGCAATAATGTATACCAATAAAGCGAAATGGACGCCACACTAAACTCTGAAACATACAAATGAACAAACATTTTTAAAAAAACGCACAAGATTAACAAAGGCTAGAGGTTACTGACTTAGGACAGACACAAAAATGCGACTGGGTTAAATATGCTTTGTAAGATCTCATCCCTCCCCTATACCTCTAGCCAATGTCTACATTCAAAGGTCTTTATTTCTCTTTAAAAAAATCTCAAAAACAGTTTTGACAACTTTAAAATATTCATACTGATTAAGATTAAATTGCCAATGATGTAATGTAGCTAACTTTTTCTAAACTCTATGAAAAAAAAATTCAACCAAAATAACTTTTTTTATTTCTGAATTTAATAAAATGCTCCGCAGGGCGCAGCTTGATACGACCTCAGAGGTCGAACCCTGAACAGTTGGGGCAAGTATGGACACAACATTCAAGCTTGATACAGCTTTGCATTTGGATTGTGATTAAATATTTGACACAGCATAGGTTTCTGACACAGAATGAATGTGGTCTAAGAACTTAAAAATTTTAAATTGGACATTCACCTATTATGGTCCAATATCCAAAATCTAAATACATGGTTAGATTCAGCATATCAAAGAACCCCAAGAATTCAATTTTTGATGAAATCAAACAAAGTTTAATTTTGGACCCTTTTGACCTCAATGTGGACAAAGTTGATAACGGGGCCCAAAAATCAAAAATCTAAATACATGGTTAGATTCAGCATATCAAAGAACCCCTATATATTCAATTTTTGTTGAAATCAAACAAAGTTTAATTTTGGACCCCGATTTGGACCAACTTGACCCATAATCAAAAATCTAAATACATGTTTAGATTCAGCATATCAAAGAACCCTAAGAATTCAATTTTTGTTAAAATCAAACTAAGTTTAATTTTGGACCCTTTGGACCTTAATGTAGACCAATTTGAAAACGGAACCAAAAATTAAGAATCTAAATACACGGTTAGATTCGGCATATCAAAGAACCCCAATAATTCAATTTTTGATGAAATCAAACAAAGTTTAATTTTGGACCCTTTGGACCTCAATGTGGACCAATTTAAAAACGGGGCCCAAAATCCAAAAACTAAATACACGGTTAGATTCAGCATATTAAAGAACCCCAAGAATAAAACCCCATTGAAATTGGTCAAGAAATAAGCAATTTATACGAAGTATCTTCTTTTGCACAATACTGTGCAATTAAATATTTCTTCCTATTGCACAATACTGTACAATTGACAATTTCTTGCTATTGCGCAATATTGTGCTATTGGATATTTCTTGCTATTGCGCAATACTGTGCAATTGAAGATTTCTTGCTATTGCGCAATACTGTGCAATTGAAGATTTCTTGCTATTGTGCAATACTGTCCAATTGAAAATTTCTTGCTATTGCACAATACTTATTATATAATAATTTACACATCCTGTTTGGTGTGTATCTCCTACCATATCATTATTATTTGCTTTTAAATATAAATCAGAAATAACCAACTTAAAATGGAAAATTTTAAAAGAAAAAAAAGGAAAAAAAGATAAAAAAGGAAAAAAAAAAAATCCCCCCTTATGATTCATCACCCCCAAACTCAATCCCAGCCTTCCCTTTGTGGTATGGTACCTTGCAGTACAATTTCAGAGAGATCCATACACTTGAACACAAGTTATTGTCTGGAAACTAGAAAAATGTGTTTTTTGGCCCCTTTTTGGCCCCTAATTCCTAAACGTTTAGGGCAATTACCCCCAAACTCAAACCCAGCTTTCCCTTTGTGATATGGAACCTTGTAGTACAATTTCAGAAAGATCCATACACTTACACACAAGTTATTGTCCTGAAACTAGAAAAATGCTTGTTTTTTGCCCCTTTTTGGCCCCTAATTCCTATAATATTGAGGCAATTACCCCCATCATCAATCCCAGCCTTCCCTTTGTTGTATGGTACCTTGCAGTACAATTTCAGAGAAATCCATACACTTGAACACAAGTTATTGTCTGGAAACTAGAAAAATGCTTATTTTTGGCCCCTTTTTTGACCCCCAATTCCTAAACATTTCGGCAATTACCCCCAAACTCAATTCCAGCTTTCCCTTTGTGATATGGAACCTTGTAGTACAATTTCAGAAACATCCATACACTTACACACAAGTTATTGTCATGAAACTAGAAAAATGCTTGTTTTTTGCCCCTTTTTTGGCCCCTAATTCCTAAAATTTTGAGGCAATTACCCCAAAAATCAATCCCAGCATTCCTTTTGTGATATGGAACCTTGTGGTACAATGTCAGAGATATCCATACACTAACACACAAGTTATGTCTGGAAGTTACAAAAATGCTTATTTTTGGCCCCTTTTTGGCCCCTAATTCCTTTACTGTTGGTACCATAACCCCCAAAATCAATCCCAACCTTCCTTTTGTGGTATTGAACCTTGTGGTAAAATTTCATAGAGATCCAACGCCATACCAATATACGACCACAAAAATTTTTTTGCGGTCGTATAAAAAGTTTGATTCCATTATGAAGTAATATTAAAGTAATACCTGTATATTAGCCATTCTAATGCTTTGTGTGCTGGCTTGAGCAGACAATATGGAGATAAACGATACAGAAATCTATCTATTGTTTCATCAAGCTTGTCATTTACTTCCTTTGTTTGTATACTTCTTTCAAAACTTAACGAAGAATTGGCAAACAGATTTTCCTCAAATTCTTCAAAACTCTCATCAATGGTTTCTAACTCTTCAAGTCCATTAGTTCCTATAAATAAATAGTTTAACCTTATATAAATGAATAAAAAAAAGATGTGGGTATACATCAATGAGACAGGAACCCAGCATATATATATAACCAAAAGACATCTAGAGGGCAAAATTTCATCTTCAACAAAGGGAGATATATACACAATAATATGTCAAGATCTAAGCTATTTAAAAAAGCTGTATCTAAATTGAACAGAAATTTCAAAGATCTACTGTTAAAATCAAATTCTCCAAATTACAAAATACACGAAGATTTTAATTGAGACATTCACTAATGAGGTTCCTGATTTTGGAAAAGTACTAGAATACGTAGCAGGGTTAATGTTATATTACAAATTGTATAGCTAGTTATATTAGAAGTTGTCCTAAAAGAACAGTTCTCACCACCCACAATTTTGATTAAAATGTTTTATTTTGACATTTGGTATAAACTTTTGTAAAAGTTTTTAAAAACAGATGTTTTAAAAAATCTTCATTTGTTTCGATCAAATATAAAATGAAGGCAAGAATTGTTTCTTGCAGTTCCCTCTATTTATCCTAGTTATTTTTGAGATTTGGTCTCATCCCAATTTAATCTTTATAGTGCATCTGTTCTACTAATGATGCTTTCTGTTACTCCTTAGAAAATTAATTGTAGGTCCGAACATAAGATTATGTTGTTGTATAATAAGTGACATCTTTAGTATAAGAATTAGTGGAATCACAATTGCTAATATACAAATTTACTATGACTAGTTTCATTATTTTTATCTCTACCAACATGAAATTAACCAAAAAGATTTTCTGATTCTTTGATAAAAAATATTCATAAATCTATATTTTTTATAAGATGTAGCAAAGAATAAAAGAAAACATGCACTTTCCCTTATTCATGATATTTTGACGGTGAATAGATGTTAAAAGGAAATGCATACCTAGACCAAAAAACGTTTCCTTGTCTAGCCCAGCAGCTTCTTTTGGATCAAATAACAATGACTTCTTCCTTTTATCTTCACCAAACACAGTCTGTGTATGTGGTACTGCAAGCCTCTCTAACTGCTTTGCTAAAGATGTCATCTTCAAGGCTAGAATCATACGAAACATAGCAGTTCATTTTAAGTCTTAAATCCATACAGCTACATTGTGTACCATAGATAGACTTGCTGTAGTGTAGTAGAAAACACATTTTGAACCAGCTTTCAAATTGCACCATTTTTCTTTTGTTAAAGTTAATCATGTTAATAGTCATCTTTCTGATAATTGGCCCGAGAACACAGTTATTTCGTAGTGCATTTCTTTTAGACAATAAATTCAAATTAAAAAAATCGCACCTGCTCTATCTCAAAAAGATTTTTACAGTGTAGTGTACTACTATTGATACAAATAATATCAAAATTATAGAAACTTCTACCAGCTCTAACTCAAAATATTGACAATTCTGTGTTAAGGGGGGCTAAAATTCAGTTTGACAGCTTCAGACATTCTAATTTTTGACCTTTTTTAACTGGACCAAATCACTACTTAACATAAAGATTCAGCACCCAAATTTTTTTAACATGTAATTTCATCCCCTTACTTAATATTTCATGCATAAAATATCAAGAAATAAATTGGGAAAGTGTATCAAAAAAAAATGCAAGTTATACACTGTTCACACTAGGGACTATATTCGTAGACAACGAAAACCAAAGGACGATAACTGTGTCCTTGGACCTAATAGGATAGAAAGACTTGACCAATTTTAATAAAACTTTGCATGACCTAAGCTTAGGCAATTATAAGATAGTTGGCCAAGTTTCATGGCCATAGGATATATATTATAGAAACTAGGGCCATTTTAATATTGAAATTTGGATGTTTATTTTTGACGTTTAAATCAAATATTTTCAACTGTCAAGATTTTGGCCTAAAAAATTTAAATATTGCAAAAATTTGCTTTTAATTACTCTTGAATTTAATATATTAAGTTTTAAAAGCAACGGAACACTCATTTGATATATCAGATTTATTACAGTTATTCAAAAGTCAAATTTATATGAGCCTGTGCCTGAAAATAGAGATTTTCGAATTAAGGGAAGCCTTACATAAACATGCATTTTTTTCAACCAATTTGAAGTTTTTGAAGTTTTTTAACCATACATTATTCTTTCATATATATTAAATGTACTCTGAATGTAAAGAAAAGTTACAAAAAGCATACCACATGAGTATAAAATGGTCTTAGGCCATGTAAGACTGAGAATTATTTAGAGTCAATTTAGGCCGTAGCCCATATTTACATATAAAAATGCACACAGAGGCTATAAGAAATTGAAATTTGTTACTTTTTGCTCATTTCTATGCTAAGATGTCATGATACAAGAAGTCTAATTGCAAAAGGACTCTTGAATTCAACTTTTTTTTGCAGACAGTATGGTCTGATGACCAGTTTTTCACTTTTCAATGGAAAACTTGCATGTAGTTTTAGTCTCATTTGGCATATATTTGAACCACTTACTATCCTAAAGAAGAAAATTATGGTAGCATATGAAATGAATAGGGTGTACTGATCATTGTAAAGTGGTTTTTTTACAGATTTAGTGAAATATTTGTGATGGACTACAGATTTTATGTACAAAGCTCTTCACATTTCACATACATCAAACAGGCCGTTTAACCAGGGACATAAATACAAATATTCTGCACATTTTTTCTGTGATAATCTACTTTTCTCTAGATTCCGAGTTCACAAATGGTTAATTAAATTTGATTTAAGCATAGAAACACAAATATCAGGAACATAAAAAGCTGTCAGATAGAAAGTCAGCATGGCTCTTAGGCATAAAATGGAAACTGCTTTAAAATGCTTATTTTAGCCGTATAATGCCGAAATGGGACATTTTAACAGAATTTCTGTCAAACAAAGATGTAAATCCTTTACTTTTATTGAGTTTGACAAATTGAAACCAGCAAACCATTCAGGAAAGTTGCCAAAGTACAGAATCTACATTTACGGAATTCATCTCTTAGGCCCGAGAACACAGTTATTTCATAGTGCATTTCTTTTAGACAATAAATTCAAATTAAAAAAATCGCACCTGCTCTATCTCAAAAAGATTTTTACAGTGTAGTGTACTACTATTGATACAAATAATATCAAAATTATAGAAACTTCTACCAGCTCTAACTCAAAATATTGACAATTCTGTGTTAAGGGGGGCTAAAATTCAGTTTGACAGCTTCAGACATTCTAATTTTTGACCTTTTTTAACTGGACCAAATCACTACTTAACATAAAGATTCAGCACCCAAATTTTTTTAACATGTAATTTCATCCCCTTACTTAATATTTCATGCATAAAATATCAAGAAATAAATTGGGAAAGTGTATCAAAAAAAAATGCAAGTTATACACTGTTCACACTAGGGACTATATTCGTAGACAACGAAAACCAAAGGACGATAACTGTGTCCTTGGACCAATTGCACTGTGCAGATTTTTTGTTGAGTTTTGAGTTTTTACGACATATGGTCTAGATAGGCAAACAGAGAGGTTTTTGTTGAGTTTTGAGTTTTTACGACATATGGTCTAGATAGGCAAACAGAGAGGTTTTTGTTGAGTTTTGAGTTTTTACGACATATGGTCTAGATAGGCAAACAGAGAGGTTTTTGAGCATGTAAACTGGTTTAATGGCACCACATTTTGTGCCTGTACCAAGTTAGGATATCTGAAACATGTGCTGTTTGCCAATCCTTGTCCTAGCTTGCTTGTTTTATATGTAGACATTTTGACAATTTAGATTAAAACCATATTTCAAATTACTTCTTTGTCACTAATATGGCCTAAGACATGTAAGATGATCTTTTAAATCTCAATAAGGGGTCACATTAGAAGTAATCTTTAATAGTTTTAATCAGAGTGTCCAATAATATCATCCTTTACAAATGAATACAAGAAATAGTCACCTTTTGTCCGTTCCGTCGATTTCAGTACCAGTAAAATGATTTATCAAATCATGCAGTAGAATAAAATTTTGAAATTGGTGAAATATAAAAATTGGACAGCTTATGCACAATGCAGTCTGTTTTCTGTTGATCTGTTAATTTTGAATGATTTACTGAGTACTTTAATTTTCACAACTTTTTTATAATTTTGTAAATTTTTTATCAAAGAAACAATTGCCCAAGAGTTGAAGCTCCTATGGTGTATATCTAAGTATCTGGAATTCATATATTCTGGAACTGTTGGGTGTTATCAGCTATTGATATGATTGTAACTTGTATCAGCCTCTTTTTATACATGCAACCGATAGTAAAGGATGTATTTTACAGCTCAGTGTTTTTGATTTCTTTACACCTTACTTTGGTCCCAAAAAAAATAAGTCAGACATATGACACTGAATTCTCATGATTGTCAGCCAAGACAAATTATCAATGACAGAATCTATCAGAAAACATGTTACAGCATTTTATTTATCATCTAGGCTTATTCACCAAATGATTAAAACAAAACAGCAATGATCATGTGATCATGCCTTGTGAATGGGCTTTCAACTAGTCCAAATAATTATGACATCTTGAAAGGCTATTTTATTTTATTTTTTCTGTGACCCCTGCATAGTCCAAATAATTATGACGTCTTGAAAGGCTATTTTAACATGTTTAATTTTTTTTCTGTGACGCCTTTCTACGACGTCACAACGCTGAAGCCATTTTTTGTTGGTCAAAATTTTTGCATAAATACAAATTCTTACCTTTTAGTGTGCTTGTTGGTACAAAACATTTCCAGAAATATCCAAAATTATGATGAAATAAGTTCTGATTCCATTTGAGATTTGAGATGTGCATTGTTGTTTAAATGGTTTCCCTGATTTCCAAAGATCCTTCACCTTGGAGAGGATAAAATACCAAACTCCGTAAAATTTGATGGACCTTAACTTCCGGAACATTTGGTTTATGTTATTCTGAAATTCGGGTTCACCAAATTTATCAGTTTGGTATTTTATACTATCGGAAAGTGAAGATCTTGGGAAATCTGGGAAACCATTTAAAATGATTGCAAATCTCAAATGGAACTGTAACTTATTTTATCATCACTTATGGATAATTCTGGAAATATTTTGCACCAACAAGCACACAAATAGTAAGAATTTGTATAAATGCAAAATTGGATATCAAAGTTTGGTATTTCATACTCTCTGAAAGTGAAGATCTTGGGAAATCTTGGAAACCATTTAAAATGATTGCAAATCTCAAATGGATTCGTAACTTATGTTATCATCACTTATGGATAATTCTGGAAATATTTTGCACCAACAAGCACACAAAAGGTAAGAATTTGTATATATGCAAAAATTTCTGGCCGTCAATGAAGATTTCATGGCAAAATTGGGTATCAACCTTCAAATCTTGCTTTACTGTAAAAATTGTATTATTATTAGTTAGTGTTCAAAATTGGTTCACATTTAACTAACAATTCTTTTTTCTGTATACCCTTCAAGTACCTGACTAGAAACAATATTAATATGATATCCATTGTCCAATCAAATCTTTTTAAATAGTAAACAGACTGTTACTCTGCCTACCCATTGAATTTAGGTGTCAATCTTAATTACAGTGTCTGAGCAAACAACCAAACAAAGTTTGCAAGCAAGGCATTTAAATTCTTGATTTGCATGCTATATTATTTCAACTCTAATCATCGATACTTTTAACAAATTCCATTTATCCTGATTCAAGTATGCCACCAAATCCTCCGAAGTTAATGTAGATTATTCATTTTTTTATTATGGGGCTGGATCGACTAGGGGCCGGATCGGTTTTGGGCCAGAACAACCTGATACAGGATTCTGGGGGTTCCTAGAGGTAAAAAGCAGGACATTGCTGGATGCAGTGTATATTTTAGAAGTTATGTAAACTATAGTTGTTAGAATAGAACATTGTAGCTATAGGTGTGTTTACACATATCAGCTGTTCCAGAAGTTTAATAAATGCATCAATTTCTATAATGGATTATTTATTTACACTTCTTATGTTGAGAGAGAGCAGACATCAGAATCATTATGCCTCAAAATTAAAACCCAAACCGATATTATCATGATTATCAGTGCACGGGAGAACACAGCTGCATGACCACCCCTTTTTTGTGTGTACTTTTTACATTCGATCAGATAAGCTCGTGATTGTCCCTTAAAATATTGATTTAATTTAATTTTCCGGTGTTTGTCACTATAATTACATAAGCAAATTTCCAATACTGACTGTAAAGTATGAGTTTACTTATGGTGCACCATAGCACGCACGTGTTGTTGTTTTGGTTTATTTATCAGGCAACATATCTACAGCCACTGTTTCGTATGAAACATTTAATTGTTGGTTAGTTTCTATAATGGCTATATTAATGTGTATTCCATAATCAAAATAAAATATACAATTATTTTTAGCTAAAGTTTAATTTATATTAAATACCGTTATTCGAAACAAAACATCAAAATAATAATGGCAGAAGACGGAGAAATCGACATCGAAGGAGATTTTGAATTTAAACTAGAGTTAGCATCGTTTTTCTCAAGCAAATTTATAAATGGAATGCAGACACATAAAAAAAATTGTCATATAGACTTCTTTAATAATTGCTCAAACCCCATGAAATTTTTATTTACATAACATTTTGATAACTGACATCATCTTTAGAGGGGAAAAAACACACTGTACATAGTCTGTACTTTTTAGAGTCTAACATGACCTGTACAAATTCAAATAAAAAGATACAAGCTATATATTTTAACCTATAAATTTCAAGTGAAATACTTTTTTTTCTCGGAATTTAGCAAAAATATTGAAAATTGCATTTGTTCAGGTCAATAGTAGCAACTTCAAGAATCCGGGTCCGTTCGCCCAAAAACACGTTCGTGCCCATTCACGCTCGCCCCCTTTCACTTTCGCACCCTACACATTCGCACCCAAAGTCCGTTCGCACCCTACAAGTTCGCACCCTTTTTATTGGTTTTGTGTTTAATAATTTTGTAATCAAGGTTTGGTAAGTACATGTATATTGCCATGATTGCTGTAAATATTTTTTTTTCATTGTTTCAAAATAAAGTGAGATTCTGACAACATTTTTTTGTGTTGAATACTGAATCTTAATCATGTTTTGGTTAGTGTATTGCTATAAAAAAATAATTTCATTGTTTCTAAATAAAGTGAGATTCTGACAACGTTTGTCTTTTGTGTTGATTGAATCTTTAAAAAAAATCATCTTTTGGTTAGTGTATTGCTATAAATTTATGTTTTCATTGTTTCAAAATAAAGTGAGATTCTCACGTTTTTTTTTGTGCTGAATAAATCTTAAATTATGTTTTGGTTAGTGTTGTGATATAAATTTTTTTTTTCATTGTTTCAAAATAAAGTGAGAACAAAGGGGCCAAGCTGTTAAAATCAATTATCTTTCGTGTTTTTCTTTTAAAATCATCAATGTTTTACTCATACCAAGCTAAAGTACGTGCAGTATTTACATTAAAGCAAGTTAAAACAACAATCATGATGTTCAAACACACAACAATAATACCAAATTTACCTGTGTATAAATACCAATTAGCAGTAATCATACATTTGTACATAATTAAGATTCATCAAATTGATAAAAAAAAAAAAAAAAACATTCATATTATAATTCCTTAATTTTTATTCAAGAAAATGTATTTTTTTTGGTATATACATATAAAAAAATATCTAATAATTCAACTTGAATTTGAATAAAAATTGGGTGTGAACGTGTAGGGGGCTTACGTGTAGGGTGCGAACGTGTATTGGGTGCGAACGGACCTGATACCCAACTTTTAGCTAGTAACTTTTCCAGAAAATGGATGAGTTGCTACATCAACCATGTCATGCATGTAGATTGATTCCTCTGAAAATCAGCATCTCCAAGGGGTAGACTCATAAACTATCCAGTATTTAGAAAAGTTGCTAACCAACAGTTGTTGCCTTTTATGGAATCATTTGCACTTGGCAATATTTTCCATTAAATAAAAAAAAAATACACAGTAAAATTAATTATCTCCCATATCTCAAACATGTCAAACAGGATATTATAAGCCATTTGGGAAATAATTCCCAATCTGAGTAATGCCACATTTAGGACAGGGTTTTCCATTCAATTTTGCCTAACCGGCCAAAATGATTAAGTAGGCGGTCACCATGGTCACAGAAAATTCTTTGAAATCTAGACTCAAAATCGTGGCATCTAGTGAATTCTAAGACAAGATTTCATGCTTGTCAAATGGACATATTATTAGCATAACTTTTTTCTAAAAATTATGTCTGCACTCAAAAATCAATTTTAGAGTTTGAATACTATAGATATCGGATACAGCAATTTTATTTATCATTATTTTATTATAAATAACATGAATAAGATGCACACCATATTCTATCATGTCTTTCAAGCTTTTGTTTTGTAATAATTTTGTAATATTATATTGCAATTGTAATAGAAAAGCAAATAAATATTTTATGTCGCTTAGCGGGGAAAAAATCTGTAATTGAACGTTTCATCATTCATCACATGGCACACTTTGTATATATACTCGATATCTCTCAGGATTTTCCTAAGAAATCTCGTTCGATGGATAACTGCCAAGTGTTCCGATAGAAATACTAACCGGAACTCTCAAATGTAAATATAAACCAAGAACAATAATAATAATAATTGCGACGCTCAAAATAATCCAATAAGTAAAATATGCACCCATATTTTTTTTTGCAGATGACGATTAAACCGGCCAAAAAACTGTTTGAAACGGTCAATTTGGCCGGTTAGTTCTTATGGAAAACACTGTAGGAAATGGCAATAACAGATGATTAAGGATTATGACCCCTTTTCTACGGCTGCTTTTCCATGGTTATGAATTTTCTAGGTCTAATTATATAAAAAACAACTAAGAAAATAGACCATACTTGTCCATGAGTAATCCAGGTTTCAACAAGATATCAAATCAATATAAAAAAAACCCAAGTGTTCTACATTTGTAGCTAGACCATTCTCACAAGGCACAATCCCCACCCTTTTTCCTTTTGATTTTGGCTTCTATTGATAAAAATATCAATGAACACACAAAATTAAATGCAATGACCTATCATAATTGTAGATTTTAGTGCATATCTCAAATAATATATTGAAGGTTAAAAATTGATTTTTATACATTTCTTAAAATACATCCATCATACCATTTAATGATCAAAATAACATTACACATTTATGTGTGTATTACAATGTATATATTTCCAATGAAATAGTTGAATATCTGCTTAAATCTTTGGTGTATATTTTCAGGGCAAATGATGTTTATGATACAAATGAACTTCCATCCAAAAGTGCTAATCTGCTACCTGAGTACACTAATCCAGCATGGATGCTTGACCAGGTAAAGAGTAGATGATTGAATAAGGTTTTTATATGACCGCAAAAAATTTTGCTGTCGTATATTGGTATCACGTCTGCGTCATCCACAGACATTTGGTTTCCAGACAATTACTTTAGTATATGTAAATAGAAATCTATGAAATTTAAACACAAGGTTTATAACCACAAAAGGAAGGTTGGGATTGATTTTGGGGGTTATGGTCCTAACAGTTTAGTAATTAGGGGCCAAAAAGGGGCACAAATAAGCATTTTTCTAGTTTCCAGACAATAACTTGTGGAAAGGTGTATGGATCTCTCTGAAATTATACCGCAAGTTTCCATACCACAAAGGGATGGTTAGGATTGGCTTTGGGAGGTTATGGCTCAAACCGTTTAGGAATAAGGGGCAAAAAAGGGGGAAAAACAAGGGTTTCCTGGTTAAAGGAAAGTTACTTAAAAGTACAATATTATGTTTGGATTACTTCCCTTACACTGCTTTTAAATTATGTATAAAGAAATGTTGTATTGTCTTGAGGTGATTAGCTGTCAATTTATTTTTAGAAGTTACTATTAAAAATGCTGATTAAGGAATATTAATTTTAGCCATGATTATGTATGTCATTTTCCATTTTAAGACTTTTATGATGTATTTAAATGGGTAATTATGGTTGCAAACTCCATTGGAAATTTGAATTGAGATTATGACCATATCTTAGGGAAAGATTTTTTTTTTTTGAAAAAGGGGAGGGGGGAGGTGAAAAAAAATAGTAGGGGGGGGCAGTGTTCTCCCCAGGATTTTTTTAAGGCGCAAAATTCAAGGACGCGTAACTCTTTTTTTAGAGTGAACGTTTGTGATCTGAAGCAATAAGTCATAAAAAATGACATGCAATATGAATTATAATGCCTTGTGTTATGTGTTTAATAATGCAGAGTATTAATGAATTACAAGAATATATATATGAAATAAATTGATTTTAAACACAAACGTTATTTATATTCAGTCAATTAAAGAAGTCAAAATATAAATATTCATCTCAACTCTCTGCTCCTTCTAGGGATATTGTTTCAAGATAGTGTTATTTTGTTGGACAGTCTGTTCCTCAACTTTGTCTTTATCCTCTTCAGGGTTAAAAATTAAACCCCTACTCACAATAACTTTTGCTTATACCCCCTTTAACATTTCTAAGCCATGAAAACTCAGTCAGCCACTTGTCATTGAAACCAGAAACATGGTGCTTGCTTTTATCAATTGCTAAAATTTTAGCTTGGTTGGGATTAGGAGAAGCAATGAAATCTGCTTATACTGACAGTGTAGACGGAGGTGTATTCCCCTTTTCATTAGAAGTCATTGGTCTGAAAAAAAACTTCTACTTCCATAATCTACCTTTTGCTTATAATTCACCCCTTTTTTATATGCAGAGAACATGTTTATTCAGAATTAATAAAATCGAATATGGTTAAGATATTTGGTATACAACTTTTTAAAACAATTTTTTTTTATAAATGAACAGCTGACCAGTTTCCGTAGTTTCACATTACGCTTCCGTGCGTATTATTGTTTAATCCTATCTTTGGCAGATAGATATATACGAAACTTTACAAATTCGTTAAAGTTAAAACCATTGAAATTATTTACCAGTGACATTATACAGAAGCTGCGGCGATTCTGTACCCGTGTTGATGGTCACATATTTCCCGACGCACGGATCATTTTATTTCTAAAAATATGACAGTTTTAGACGAATTTACCTTGAAAGCAACATTTTTTCACTTTCTATTAAAGTAAATCACTCCTCGTTATCTTTAATCAAACTTTATTTTAATTTTTTCAACTACTAATACTTTCATTCATAGTTTTCATCGTAAATATCTTTAGCAATGTGTATTCAAATTTATCATGTGTATTCAACACGTTCATTGGTCGTGTTAAAATAGATTCTTCTTCTCGACCAATGAAAAAATTCGTTATATAAATGGTCAAGTGATCACACACAAGATGCGTAAATACAATGTATTTGCGACCTATTTCTTCAATTTCTGCACTGAAGTTTTTAAAATTTTTAATTTTCTTCAAAAAATATCAATCTTCTTGATGATCATTATTTATGCTATTACCTGATAACATAGTCCGATAAGGCTGAGATAAGTGTGGCTCAGGTAAAACTAATTATCAGTTATTGCGTAACATTGATCGACCCATCAGCAGTGATCAGTAACTTGACAATTTGAACCAACATTTATAATGAAAATGTGAAAATTAACACGCTGCGGGATCAAGTATTAAGGGACAGCGGCCAATTAAGACGCTGCGGGATCTACAAAAATATTATGAAAGCGCTGCGGCACCGCAGCGTCATATCGGCCTGGGGAGAACACTGAGGGGGGGTAAAAAGAAATTGGGGGGGGGAGCACAATTTTTTTTCATTTCAGATTTCAAAAATCAAAAATCAAATTTCTTTTTTTTTGGGGGGGGGGGGGGTCAATTCGCAACAGCATAGTGTATTGCACAAAAGCAAAAAAAAAGGAGGATACATTTTTTTTTGGGGGGTGGGGGGGGGGGGGGTCAATTCGCAACAGCATAGTGTATTGCCCAAAAGCAAAAAATTGAATATAAATTCAAATCATATAACCAATTCTAAGTTCTTTGACTACAGTTATTCTGTGTCAGAAACCTATTATGTGTCAAATATTTAATTACAACCCAAATTCAGACCTGTATCAAGCGCAAATATTGTGTCCATTTTTGCCCCAACTGTTCAGGGTTGGACCTCTGCGGTTGTATCCAGCTGCGCTCTTCGAAGCAATTTATTTTTATTTAACTCACTCAGATAAACCAAAAATGAAAGTAAAATACATGTGTAGACTTGTGCTATAATTTAAGAATTACTTTGTTGAACTCCCTTATGAGTTGGATACAGCTTATTAATTCATATGAATGGGAATACACACCATGGTAAATATGTATTGTCTTAAAATATAGCTCAGCAGTTCTGGGAATTTCTGAAGAAAATATATTTATTAAAACAAGATATATAAATTGAGATGGACCTTTTAGTCTAAAACATATAAAACATCAGCTGTATTAACATTTCATGGTATGGTAAGTACAATTTAAAAAAGAAAATGGTGTTTCATTGACAATGGTACTTTTTTAGACATCATACATAGAGTTTGTAGAGTTCTCAGTCATATTTCTTCACACAAATATTACAGTATGATCTGACTGCACAATGGCTTAGTCAGGATTTGTACATATTCTGATAAATGATTTAAATTGAAATAAGATACAAGAGCGAAAGGTAAATGTAATTACACATATCATTAACAGTTTCAAATGTAATGGCCACTTTTAACAAACACTGTCCATCTTATTCATGTTATTTGTTGAAACTTAGAAAAAAAAGTTAAACGTATCTATTAAAACTAAATTCTTAAATTAGGACATACAATTAATTACTGAGTAAATATACTGCATGAAAACTATAATAAAATTGTAAATGAAGACACACATTATTGTAGGGATGGAGTATGGATAGTTACATTGATGAGAAGTCTAAGGCAACTATAGAGAAAATGTTACAGGAAGAACAATATTATATGAATGGTCAGAATCGACGACGTAACATGCGAAACTTGACAACTCACAAGCAACCCTGGAGTGAAGAAGAAAAGAACATGTTCTATAAAGGATTGGTAGGATATAGATTTCTGCAATACAATTTTATCATAGTATTAACATATTAAGGGGGTTACTTTTTCCTTTCAATGAAATTAGAAAAATAGGTGACACAGACTATACTTTACCATTTTGTATTAGCTTTATAACTGATACGTAGAAAAATCTGACAATTATTGAGACTTAAATTTTCCATCTTTAGTACACACACTTTTTTAGTTTTGCTAGATTGCTTATCCACTATCTATTTTTTGTGTCAGATATTGTCATACATTGTTTTTTTTTTTGTCTTTTTTGCAATGAAAGTTGTGTAAATGAGACTAATATAAAAATAAGGAGATGTGGTATGATTGCCAATGAGACAACTATCCACCAAAGTTAAAATGAAGTGGATGTAAGCAATTATAGGCAACCGTACGTCCTTCAACAATGAGTAAAACCAATACCGTATAGTCGGCTATAAAAGACCCTGACATGAAAAATATGAAACAATTCAATTGAGAAAACTAACGGCCTAATTTATAACAAAACAATTAAAGAAAAACAAGGCTTAATGTTCCCATTGTCAGTGAGATCGAAATTGTTAAAGTGAGGTTACACAAGCAGGACAGGTAAAAGACTTTCCAAATAACTTGTTACTTGATCAGCATGATATATAAATATATCTGTGTCCCTTATTTTTAAGTCATAATTAACATGATTATCTTAGTTAGTAATATTTTCTTGTAGGAGGTATATGGTAGAAGCTGGTCAAAAATTGCTGAGTTGATTCAAACTAGGACAAATCTACAAGTGAAGAATTTTGCACAACAGTATTTCAAACAACAGGTTTGTTTATAGTTTCTCAAAACAGAGCGTTCAGTCTCTCTTTTGTCAGACTTTTAATCTTGTCATACTTCCAATGTCAGACATGTTGGATGTTTTATTAGGCTACTGATCATCAGTATTTCGGTTGCAACAATTTAAAATTTTGTTCATCAAGTCCATGATGGTTGCAGACAAACTTCTCTGTTTTAAAATGTCATATTATGTATTTGTGATTTTATTTTTATAGGGCATCAGATGAAATTTCATAATAGTGCTTACTTTACCAATTTCATATTAAAATAGATACAAACAATGACAAAATCAAAAAGTTTCAGTGGTTCACAAATACACAACTGTTGTCTAGCTACATATTGGTCAGAATAGGGTTATACAGATAGATAGTAAAAAAAGTTCATGATTCCGTACAAAAAGTTATTTTAGATTTTTTTTCTGTCGTGGTATCATCTATAAGCATAGATTTATATCTTTGAAGAGAGCATTCATTGCATTCTTCTAGAAGTTTGGGTCATCTAGTAACATAATTTTTAAGGAGCATTGTTTTTAAACCAAGGAAATTGATGCTTTGTTTGCACAAAATTTGGTCACAATTCATTCATTTTATACCTTTTGACACAAGTGTAATTTGAGTCGTTAAGACTTAGTATGTTGTATTGATTTGTGTCAAGTTTTGCATTCAGGTTGATTTCTCAGAGACTAAGCTTTTAAACATATTGATATTTCACTTCATATTTTATAGTATAACCCTTGATAAGTGCAATTAAATTTAGGTTACTATGATCTATTTATCATGCTGGAGTAACTTTACCCTTTATGTTACTGTGGATTCATTATTATATTATTATTTGTGGGATACTGATTTTTGTTGAGCCTGCGACTTTTGTCCCAGAAAGCTCGACATAGGGATAGTGATCCGGCGGCGGCGTTAACTAACTTCTTAAAAGCTTTATATTTTAGAAGGTGGAAGACCTGGATGCTTCATACTTTATATATAGATGCCTTATGTTATGAAGTTTCTGTCTGTCACATGTCCATTGTCCTTGATCTCATTTTCATGGTTCAGTGACTACTTGAAAAAAATTGCGATTTTTTTGTAATGTTAATTTCTCTCTTATTATGAGTAATAGGATAACTATATTTGGTATGTGCGTACCTTGCAAGGTCCTCATGTCTGTCAGACAGTTTTCACTTGACCTCGACCTCATTTCATGGATAAGTGAACAAGGTTATGTTTTGGTGGTCAAGTCCATATCTGAGATACTATAAGCAATAGGTCTAGTATATTTGGTGTATGGAAGGATTGTAAGGTGTACATGTCCAACTGGCAGGTGTCATCTGACCTTGACCTCATTTTCATGCTTCAGTGGTTATAGTTAAGTTTTTGTGTTTAGGTATGTTTTTCTTATACTGTATGCAATAGGTCTACTATATTTGATGTATGGAATGATTGTAAGGTGTACATGTCCAACTGCAGGTGTCATCTGACCTTGACCTCATTTTCATGGTTCAGTGGTCAAAGTTAAGTTTTTGAGTTTTGATCTATTTTTCTAATACTATATGCAATAGGGCAACTATATTTGGTGTATGGAAATATTTTATGATGTACATGTCAGTCTCGCAGGTTTAATTGACCCTTGACCTCATTTTTACGGTTCATTGCTCAGTGTTAAGTTTTTGTGTTTTGATCTGTTTTTCTTAAACTATAAGCAATAGGTCAACTATATTTGTTGTATGGCAGGATTGTAAGCTGTATATGTCTGTCTGGCAGGTATCATCTGACATTGACCTCATTTTCATGGTTCATTGATCAATGTTAAGTTTTCCTGGTTAAGTTTGTTTCTGATGTGCAATAGGTCAACTTATTTAAAGCATATTTGGTGTATTGAATGATTGTAAGCTGTACATGTATTTCCAGTTGGTTTATCTGACCTTTACCTCATTTTTTTGGATCATGTTAAATTGATGTGATAGTTGTTGAAAAGTTTTATGCTTAGGACTATCAACATAATATCACTGGTTAGTAAAGAAGGCGAGACATTTCACCGTGTGCACTCTTGTTTGGATATAGTTGAACCACGAATTTAAATGTCCAACAAAGTACAAATTTTCTATATGCTTGTATGCAGACTAGGACAAAATCTACAATTCAAATATCCATGATAAATACAAGTTTTCTTCAATCCACGAAAAATTGGTACCCATGAAATTAAATAAATCCACAGCATATCAATTTCAACAGTACAATCCTTTGCATCAGACTCTTAAACATTTTAGTGACAGTGATTTTTATTTCATATTATCAAATAATCAAAGTTGAACTCTAAAAAAAGATTGTGTAGTGTTAGTGCAACCAAATTTTAAACAAATTTGTAGTATAAAATTTCGAATTGAATCTAAGCTACAAATTCCAAGAGTGTAAGCATATGGGGTCTAGCATTTAATATATGATTGAAAAGAAGATAATCTGTTATAATCATATTCCGGTTATGATTGCAATTTGCTTGGATTGTAAGGGCTGAATTAGTTTAAATGATGTTTAAAATTGTACATATATGATATAATATTTCAGACTAAAAGTGATGAGAAGTCTGGGAATGAGAAGCCATATCCTTCTACATTAGAACAGATGTTAAAAGCTGTAACTACTGCACAGCCTACAGTATCTGCTCCAGCATTTACTAAAGCTGAAAATCACATTAATTCCAAAAATTATTCCTTACTTGGGAAAGCAGAAAATAATACGACAGAAACAAAATTTACAGAACTTGAAAAAATATTAACTTCAGAAACAGTCCCAAGTACAAGTAAATACAAGGAAGAAAAGAAAAATGAAAATATGAGTAAAAAACACAGGATTGAGGTACATAAAAACAAGAAAAGTTCATGTCATAATGCTACAGTTACAAAACACCAATCTCAAGTTACTAACTCAAAGCTACCAAAAGTTTCCAAACCAGCACCTCTTGTCAAAATTAAAAATGTGAAAGTTATTTCCTCTAGTGACATAACATCCACTTGCAATGAAAGCATTGGTTTGAATGATGTTTTAGAAGTTGTGACGATACCAAGTGTTCAGTTAAGTCCAACATTAGAGCATAAGCTGGAGAAATCAACAGGGCTCATTGAAAATCTCGATGGTTTCTGTGCCGTAGCTGACATTGTTAGTGGATCTGGTGATGGACAGGAAGATGAAGAGGATATAGACATTGACATAGAAAACGATGATGATGAAATGGACGACAATGTCATTCTTAAAAATAGGTCAACATCACCTAATTCTGTTTATGAAAGTTTACTCAAATCAGCTAAAGTAAGAACAAAGTGTAACAAGACAGATACAGTGATACAAAAAACAGAAGATGAAATGCCAGAAGAAATAAAGGACTTGGAAGAATCGTCATGTGACACGGAGAGAATGGAGAATATCCTGGTTTCTGAATCATCATCAGATGGATTATCTGAGGGAGGAAACCAGTCAGATTCTAATCAGCATGTAGAAAAAAGAATAGGTATGTCAGATATAAAGGTAGGGTTTTTGGTATAACTCCCATTGCCTGGGATTCATGTACTTAAGTGAAATTATGACTTTTGGGTAATGCTTCCTGTTTAATAGGATCACTATTTTGTAAGAATGGTTTGGTTAATTGGGTTTGATAAAGTAACATTATATATAAGCCTGGGTTTTGACCACAAAAAAAAAAACAAATTAGGAGGAAGAATTTATATGTAAATGATTATGTCTTATTATTTGTCCCTTTTTCAGCCAATATGGTTGTGTTGTCTAATGGTGAAGTTATGGAATTTCCAGTACCAACAGAGGAAAAATTAGTTGAACCAGATCTTATATCACTGGAAGAAAGAAAAGTTCATTTGGAATTCTTTGATGGACGGCTATCAAAAACTCCTGACCGTTATGTCAAAATCAGAAATTATATACTGGACTCTTGGTAGGTTGTTTACATTTAAATGTTGTAATGGCAGAGTCAGATTTAGTTTTACATATATGCTGTATAACATTTTTAGTTAGTCACTGATCAGTATGAAAAATAATGAGCAAGATAATCATATTGCTGTCATATTTGTTTTTCGTAAATTGTTTTGTTATAAATTAGGCCGTTATTTTTCACAATTGAATTGTTCCATATTTTTCACTTCATGGCATTTTATAGCCAACTATACGGTATGGGTTTTTCTCATGGTTGAAGGCTGTATGGTTGCCTATAATTGCTTACATTCACTTCATTTATACTTTGGTGGATAGTTGTCTCATTGGCAATCATACCACATATTCTTACTTTGATATGTATGCATTTGCAGTATTTACATTTAAATATTGAACTGATCTCAACGAAGATCTACTAATACAAACAAAACTTAAACATTGTCCTTTTCTTGATATTTGAAAACTGTTGAACTGAATACACAATTTTGTTATGGACAGTTTAGGTACAATTTAATACAATAATTGTAAACAAAGAATATTTGTAATTTTTGCAGGAATAAGTCAAAACCAAACTACCTCAACAAAACATCAGTAAGACCTGGATTAAAGAATTGTGGTGATGTGAATTGTATTGGAAGAATCCATATGTATTTGGAATGTACTGGTGCTATTAACTTTGGTTGTGGTAATTATTTTTATTACAAACCACTTATTATACATATGTGGTGTAAAAACAACCCTTGTATTATGCATTTATGAATGGGGGCCTTGGTGGAGAAGTGTTCTTAGTAGTTCATCTACTGTATCATGAGTCTGTCAACACTGATGTTGTGAGTTTTAACCCCACACTTGGCATGTGCATTTGACTCCAATCTTTATTGACTAGGATTGTCAGTTTTCCTGCTAAAGTTAAGTGGTTCTCTCAGACCTGCAGGCTTCCTCCAACAATAAAAATTGGCCGCCACATAATAGCCTATAGTGCTGAAAGAAGTGTCAAACCCCAAAAATCAATCAATCAATCGTGTTATGAATGTATTGAAATGGCAAACAACTCATTTGATTTGGACACATAAATAGACAAAGAAGTTACTGTCAATTCATAATTATTGCGAGGCTTTTATTAATGCGAATAATGCGACTGGTTGAATATCGCAATAATTAGAACTCGCATTCTGATATCGGACACATATATATGCATGAAGCTTTTCCTGAAATCGCAATAATTAATCTCGCATTTTTGTTCATTCTTAAAAAATCGCAATAATAAATGCACGCAATAATTTCTGAATTTACAGTAGGTTGAAACTATAGTTCTATACATTTATCCTTATAATTTGGAATAATATCAAGTTTAAAATTCCCATAAATGATTATGACTTCAGTTTGACGGAAAAGAGCTGTCTTTGTGATAAATCTTTATTGTTTTTGAGGGGTGAATTTTGGTTGATATTTAAAGAAAGTTTGTGATTGTTTAAATCTAATATGTTAATAAATTGTATTTGAACATTTTTTACAGAGCAGAGTTGTTATAATCATCATGTAAAAATGACATCCATTGGAGCGAAACAAAAGGGCTCTAGAGATGTTCTTGCAAAAGGATTTAAATTAAATTCAATGGTAAAGTACTGTTTACCAACTTGTTTTGTGACAACTGAGTTTTGTGGCATTAATTGATTATATTTTATATGACTACAACATGTCTTTTTAAATGCAGTAATTTTCACAAAGATTTATAGTAAGAATTAATATGTACTCATGTTTAAAGTTGGTTCACACAATATAATGAATATATTGTTTTGTTGATAGATATATTTCCTCATTTATCATATTAATTCTGTACCTTTTGAGTTGATATTGGTAGAATCAATTTATACTCACAAATTTAGGAAACTAATCTATACAAACAAATGAATGAATAATGTGCCTTTAAAGCTGAATCTTCCTGAACATGCATGAAATATTTGCCACTATACTTTAAGCAAACATTTAATCAGATAATTTACAACTGAAAATTATGATTAAAAGATGACTTGAATTAAGTCTATACAACTAATATGTATTGTAAAATTTTGTGATTTTGAGATATGTTATAGATAGAGAAGAAATATAAACATTTCAAACATAATCTCAAATTATGAAATCTGTTATTAACTTGTAGCGAGGACATTTGCATAATCTTGCATTTCGTCAAAAACATTAAAACATTTTTTTTATATCACAGAGACCAAGAAAAAGAAAGATCAAAGATGGCTATGGTAATTGGATTAATGAGGATGAATTACAGGGTAAAACTATTGAGGTGTGTATTATTTGCCAATAACTTATAAAATAAACTTTTATTTGTTCACAAAAAAACTTTGATAATTGATACCACAGAGTTCAGTTATCTATTAAAAAAAATTGAATATACTGTGGTCGTGTGGATTCATTTATTTTGCTTTGGTACCAATTTTGTGGATTGAGGACAAACAGTATGATTGATTTGCCTAGATCTACATTTAAAATAATAGAATAACTATAATTATGACTATGAACTCAGTCGTACTTTCTTTTTAGGTTAAGATTTGTTTACTTTCCTTTCAGCATCAGGAACAATTAGATGATACAAGTTATAATGACAAGGAGAAGATTAGATCCTCAAAAGAAGTGAAGACATTTTATGATCCATTTAAACTTATACCATGTGAATCCTTTACTCAGGAGAATCCAGTAAGTATATATATTGCGAAAGAAATGATACTTTTCCACAGATTCACTTGAAGGTTACCTGTCGATTTAAACTTAAGTTGTTTTGTCCCATCTAATAAATACAATAGCTACTGTTCTCTGTGGTGTTTATTCAATGAGAACTTTAAATTTCTTCTAAAAGATATCCATCACTCATTGATTAATTTACCTGAGTAAAAAAATTATCTTCTTGATAGAAGAAAATAAATGTTTCAACTCACAAAACTGCATTTGATGTTGTATATTCAATATCAATAATATATTTTCAATCTGTTCAATATAAACACTGATTTAATAAAGTGTTGTTGTTGTTGTTGTTGTTGTTGTTGTTGTTGTTGTTGTTGTTGTTGTTGTTGTTGTTGTTGTTGTTGTTGTTGTTGTTGTTGTTGTTGTTGTTGTTGTTGTTGTTGTTGTTGTTGTTGTTGTTGTTGTTGTTGTTGTTGTTGTTGTTGTTGTTGTTGTTGTTGTTGTTGTTGTTGTTGTTGTTGTTGTTGTTGTTGTTGTTGTTGTTGTTGTTGTTGTTGTTGTTGTTGTTGTTGTTGTTGTTGTTGTTGTTGTTGTTGTTGTTGTTGTTGTTGTTGTTGTTGTTGTTGTTGTTGTTGTTGTTGTTGTTGTTGTTGTTGTTGTTGTTGTTGTTGTTGTTGTTGTTGTTGTTGTTGTTGTTGTTGTTGTTGTTGTTGTTGTTGTTGTTGTTGTTGTTGTTGTTGTTGTTGTTGTTGTTGTTGTTGTTGTTGTTGTTGTTGTGTACCTATTAGACCAGGTGTAAAATTGATTCTTGTGTATTTTTACAACCATACCCTTATGAATTGATTATAAGTGAGTAAGTGAAACATTTTTCTTACGGTCATCACATATTACATAATTGAATTTGAATAATTTAGAACTAAAGAGTAGTGATGAATAATAGCATAACTGTATTTTCATCTTTCAATTTATTTTTAAGGCACCAATAGGTGTTGAAATCTACAATTCCTGTCTAGTCATTATGGATGTACATGCACATGTATCTAAAACAGAGGTCATAGGTATGCTGGGAGGACAATGCTGTGATGGTACACTCAGTGTGACAATGGCTATACCATGTAACAGTATTAGTACAGGCATGCAGTGTGAAATGGATCCAGGTAAGTTGTGATGACTCAGTGTGACAATGGCTTTACCATGTAACAGTATTAGTACAGGCATGCAGTGTGAAATGATTCCAGGTAAGTTGTGATGACTCAGTGCCACAATGGCTATACCATGTAACAGTATTAGTACAGGCATGCAGTGTGAAATGATTCCGGGTAAGTTGTGATGACTCAGTGCCACAATGGCTATACCATGTAACAGTATTAGTACAGGCATGCAGTGTGAAATGATTCCAGGTAAGTTGTGATGACTCAGTGCGACAATGGCTATACCATGTAACAGTATTAGTACAGGCATGCAGTGTGAAATGGTTCCAGGTAAGTTGTGATGACTCAGTGTGACAACGGCTATACCATTTAACAGTATTAGTACAGGCATGCAGTGTGAAATGGTTCCAGGTAAGTTGTGATGACTCAGTGTGACAATGGCTATACCATGTAACAGTATTAGTACAGGCATGCAGTGTGAAATGGTTCCAGGTAAGTTGTGATGACTCAGTGTGACAATGGCTTTACCATGTAACAGTATTAGTACAGGCATGCAGTGTGAAATGATCCAGGTAAGTTGTGATGACTCAGTGTGACAATGGCTATACCATGTAACAGTATTAGTACAGGCATGCAGTGTGAAATGATTCCAGGTAAGTTGTGATGACTCAGTGTGACAATGGCTATACCATGTAACAGTATTAGTACAGGCATGCAGTGTGAAATGATCCAGGTAAGTTGTGATGACTCAGTGTGACAATGGCTATACCATGTAACAGTATTAGTACAGGCATGCAGTGTGAAATGATCCAGGTAAGTTGTGATGACTCAGTGTGACAATGGCTATACCATGTAACAGTATTAGTACAGGCATGTAGTGTGAAATGGATCCAGGTAAGTTGTGATGACTCAGTGTGACAATGGCTATACCATGTAACAGTATTAGTACAGGCATGCAGTGTGAAATGGATCCAGGTAAGTTGTGATGACTCAGTGTGACAATGGCTATACCATGTAACAGTATTAGTATAGACATGCAGTGTGAAATGGATCCAGGTACACTGAGTTATTGTTTATAATTAATAATCCCTTGTTATTTGCCTTTGAACTTACAAATGTGATAACTTTTTGTGAACTGCAGATGTAACCTGATAAGCACAATAACTGCATACTAGATTTAACTTGAATATGTGTTTAGAAATAAGGAGATTTTATAAGAGTCTGTCAAAACACTTTGAGTGAAGCTTTTTAAAAAGTTGTTATAAAAAGAAAAGTTGATGGTTCTCTGTAAGAATTTTGTTATTTGAAAAACTATATAACTCCAAAGTAGTCAGGTTTAATTATTAAACTTTATTAATTATTGTATTTTTAGCAATTGTGCTGTAGATCTCATATAATTGATAAATTATTTCCGGTTTTAGTTTTTGTGAAGCGGGTCAAAATTTCGCTGCCAAATGTTAAAAAAGAACGATCATTCAATATTGGATTAAGTTAAGTAATGACAACTGATTGTTATGTTTATTTTAGTTTCCCAGACTCAGGCCAGTGAAGAGATACACAAGTATGGTATGTCTGTTGTTGGATGGTATCACTCACATCCAACCTTTAATCCTGATCCTTCTGTCAGAGATATGGAAACACAGCTTAAATTTCAGGTATTTACTTGTTTGGAGTTAAATTTTATCTGGTTATATGGTTAATATAGTATCAAACTATTAAAGAATGATAGAAATTAAATATTTACAAGTACAGTCAAACCAGTTTATAAAGGTCATCTTTGGGACCAGAGAAAACTCACGTTATAAGAGATTTGACCTTTGAATTGTGTTAAAAATGCATAGATATTACTACAATTAATAATCTTCAATTAAGGTTTGACATATTTTTCCTGTTGACGTTTTATTGTACCTCAACTATGCATGATACATCATAGAACAATATTTATATGTATGTTTTCCAGTATAACTGCAACAGAAGTTGTTAATAAATTAAGCAAAGATGGCCAGTGATTTGCCATCAACACAAAATATTATATTCAACAAAATAAACAAAATGAATGACATTTATTTTGTTTGTGTTATACAATAGGAATGGTTTTCCAAGGGTGGCAGTAGATATATTGGTATAATTGTAAGTCCATACAACAGATTAAATCCAAGCTTGTCATCAGATGTACAGTGTTTAACAGTTAGTGAAGAGGTCAATCTCATTCAAATGTGCAGTAAGTATCTTTATTAAAGAGGTCAATCTGATTCAAATGTGCAGTAAGTATCTTTATATAGTGAGGAGGTTAATCTCATTCAAATGTGCAGTAAGTATCTTTATTAGGAAGGTTTAGTGAGGAGGTCAATCTCATTCAAATGTGCAGTAAGTATCTTTATATGGTGAGGAGGTCAATCTGATTCAAATGTGCAGTAAGTATCTTTATTAGGAAGGTTTAGTGAGGAGGTCAATCTGATTCAAATGTGCAGTAAGTATCTTTATTAGGAAGGTTTAGTGAGGAGGTCAATCTCATTCAAATGTGCAGAAAGTATCTTTATTAGGAAGGTTTAGTGAGGAGGTCAATCTGATTCAAATGTGCAGCAAGTATCTTTATGTAGTGAGGAGGTCAATCTCATTCAAATGTGCGGTAAGTATCTTTATTAGGAAGGTAAAATATGATCAGTATTAAGTTGAAAAAGGTGAGGTAAGTTTATTGCTGTCTTCCATTTGACTAATGCATTAACATCTTTCTCAATCAAAGATGTTAACTCACATTGATTCAGTTCAATGCCTGCAAGTCATTATTATATTCACAAGCCTACTTTTTTGTATAATGGTAATTATTATATAATTTCTTTATTTTCAAGAATTTAATGGAAATCAGTTGAAATAGGTGTAATACCTGTATTAGAACAATTTAAAACCAGAACTCAAATGCAATATAGTTCCATTGCATAGAGAAATGAAAAATGTGAAATGCCTCGGTCATGTTTAACAATAATCTCATCGGTCAGATTATAATTAAGTGTCAGATGAAAACTTAGACTTTATATAGTTTTAGGTTTTTGCCTGGTTATGAAATTTGACTAAATACTGCTGTAACAGTAAGCATATACTCCACAGATTATTATTTATTTTAGACAAGCCTTACAAGTTTGACTATGAGATAGTCCAGGACAATATGGATCAAGAAGCATTGCTATCTGTAATACGACAGTTAGCAGAGAAATACAGCGGCTATCAAAATAGAGTGGAAATACTCGGGCCATACAGGTCATTTACTGGACACACTTGCCTTTCTAAGGTATGGTTAAGTATAGAAATAATTCATATTATGATTAGGACTAGAAAACTTGTGTTCATACATATCCTTTATTGCAAGCACTTTTCCTTTTAAATACGAACAAATGGTGATATGGGGTAGATGTCAACGAGCCAGCAACTTAATAATTCAGAATCACCAAACAGACATGTTATGTATGACTAAGCAAGTGAATACTGGGATCATACTAGTCTTCTAGGTTTGGTTAGTTGAAGAATAGGTCCTTAACTACACATATTTGCCTCTTTCTTGGGGTTGTTTAGGTGCTTAAATAAATCTTACAAAACTCTATACTAGATTCAATGAAATGATTTAAATAACCTCAAATAATTGTTCATCAAATAGGGTTGTATATAAAAATAAAAAGATGTGGTATGATTGCCAATGAGACAACTCTCCACTAGAGACCAAATGATGTAGAAGCTTAGCAACTTTAGGTCATCGTACAGCCTTCAACAATGAGCAATACCCTTCGGCATAGCAAGCTATGAAAGGCCTCGAAATGACACATGTAAAACAGAGACCAAATGATGTAGAAGGTTAGCAACTATAGGTCATTATACGGCCTTAAACAATGAGCAACACCCTTCCGCATAGCAAGCTGTGAAAGGCCTCGAAATGACACATGTAAAACAGAGACCAAATGATGTAGAAGGTTAGCAACTATAGGTCATTATACGGCCTTAAACAATGAGCAACACCCTTCCGCATAGCAAGCTGTGAAAGGCCTCGAAATGACACATGTAAAACAGAAACCAAATGATGTAGAAGGTTAGCAACTATAGGTCATTATACGGCCTTAAACAATGAGCAACACCCTTCCGCATAGCAAGATGTGAAAGGCCTCGAAATGACACATGTAAAACAGAGACCAAATGATGTAGAAGGTTAGCAACTATAGGTCATTATACGGCCTTAAACAATGAGCAACACCCTTCCGCATAGCAAGCTGTGAAAGGCCTCGAAATGACACATGTAAAACAGCGACCAAATGATGTAGAAGGTTAGCAACTATAGGTCATTATACGGCCTTAAACAATGAGCAACACCCTTCCGCATAGCAAGCTGTGAAAGGCCTCGAAATGACACATGTAAAACAGAGACCAAATGATGTAGAAGGTTAGCAACTATAGGTCATTATACGGCCTTAAACAATGAGCAACACCCTTCCGCATAGCAAGCTGTGAAAGGCCTCGAAATGACACATGTAAAACAGAAACCAAATGATGTAGAAGGTTAGCAACTATAGGTCATTATACGGCCTTAAACAATGAGCAACACCTTTCCGCATAGCAAGATGTGAAAGGCCTCGAAATGACACATGTAAAACAGAGACCAAATGATGTAGAAGGTTAGCAACTATAGGTCATTATACGGCCTTAAACAATGAGCAACACCCTTCCGCATAGCAAGCTGTGAAAGGCCTCGAAATGACACATGTAAAACAGCGACCAGATGATGTAGAAGGTTAGCAACTATAGGTCATTATACGGCCTTAAACAATGAGCAACACCCTTCCGCATAGCAAGCTGTGAAAGGCCTCGAAATGACACATGTAAAACAGAGACCAAATGATGTAGAAGGTTAGCAACTATAGGTCATTATACGGCCTTAAACAATGAGCAACACCCTTCCGCATAGCAAGCTGTGAAAGGCCTCGAAATGACACATGTAAAACAGAGACCAAATGATGTAGAAGGTTAGCAACTATAGGTCATTATACGGCCTTAAACAATGAGCAACACCCTTCCGCATAGCAAGCTGTGAAAGGCCTCGAAATGACACATGTAAAACAGAGACCAAATGATGTAGAAGGTTAGCAACTATAGGTCATTATACGGCCTTAAACAATGAGCAACACCCTTCCGCATAGCAAGCTGTGAAAGGCCTCGAAATGACACATGTAAAACAGAGACCAAATGATGTAGAAGGTTAGCAACTATAGGTCATTATACGGCCTTAAACAATGAGCAACACCCTTCCGCATAGCAAGCTGTGAAAGGCCTCGAAATGACACATGTAAAACAGAAACCAAATGATGTAGAAGGTTAGCAACTATAGGTCATTATACGGCCTTAAACAATGAGCAACACCCTTCCGCATAGCAAGCTGTGAAAGGCCTCGAAATGACACATGTAAAACAGAGACCAAATGATGTAGAAGGTTAGCAACTATAGGTCATTATACGGCCTTAAACAATGAGCAACACCCTTCCGCATAGCAAGCTGTGAAAGGCCTCGAAATGACACATGTAAAACAGAGACCAAATGATGTAGAAGGTTAGCAACTATAGGTCATTATACGGCCTTAAACAATGAGCAACACCCTTCCGCATAGCAAGCTGTGAAAGGCCTCGAAATGACACATGTAAAACAGAGACCAAATGATGTAGAAGGTTAGCAACTATAGGTCATTATACGGCCTTAAACAATGAGCAACACCCTTCCGCATAGCAAGCTGTGAAAGGCCTCGAAATGACACATGTAAAACAGAGACCAAATGATGTAGTAGGTTAGCAACTATAGGTCATTATACGGCCTTAAACAATGAGCAACACCCTTCCGCATAGCAAGCTGTGAAAGGCCTCGAAATGACACATGTAAAACAGAGACCAAATGATGTAGAAGGTTAGCAACTATAGGTCATTATACGGCCTTAAACAATGAGCAACACCCTTCCGCATAGCAAGCTGTGAAAGGCCTCGAAATGACACATGTAAAACAGAGACCAAATGATGTAGAAGGTTAGCAACTATAGGTCATTATACGGCCTTAAACAATGAGCAACACCCTTCCGCATAGCAAGCTGTGAAAGGCCTCGAAATGACACATGTAAAACAGAGACCAAATGATGTAGAAGGTTAGCAACTATAGGTCATTATACGGCCTTAAACAATGAGCAACACCCTTCCGCATAGCAAGCTGTGAAAGGCCTCGAAATGACACATGTAAAACAGAGACCAAATGATGTAGTATGTTAGCAACTATAGGTCATTATACGGCCTTAAACAATGAGCAACACCCTTCCGCATAGCAAGCTGTGAAAGGCCTCGAAATGACACATGTAAAACAGAGACAAAATGATGTAGTAGGTTAGCAACTATAGGTCATCGTATGGCCTTCAACAATAAGCAACACCTTTCCACATAGCAAGCTACGAGGCTGAAATAACACATGTAAAACAATTTAAACAAGAACTCTGTATCATATTCAAGTTTTGCTCACTGTTGAAGGCCTTACAGTGACTTACAGTTGCTTAGGTCTACATCATTAAATCTGTTATGGATAGTTGTTTCATTGGCAATCATACCATAGATATAAGAAGATGTGGTATGAGTGCCAATGAGACAACTCTCCATCCATTAAATCAAAATTTATAAAAGTAAACCGTATCTTCTTATTTTTATTATACGACCGCAAAAAAAATTTTGTGGTCGTATATTGGTATGACGTTGGCGTCGTCGTCGTCGGCGTCGTCGTCGTCGTCGTCGTCGTCCGAAGACGCATTAGTTTTCGCACTCTAACTTTAGTTTAAGTGAATGGATCTCTATGAAATTTTACCATAAGGTTCAATACCACAAAAGGAAGGTGGGGATTGATTTTGGGGGTTATGGTACCAACAGGTAAGGAATTAGGGGCCAAAAATAAGCATTTTCTAGATTCCAGACAATAACTGTGGAACGGTGTATGGATCTCTCTGAAATTATACTACAAGTTTCCATACCACAAAGGGATGGTTAGGATTTGCTTTGGGGGGTTATTGCTCAAACCGTTTAAGAATTAGGGGCGAAAAAGGGGGAAAAACAAGGTTGTCCTCATTAATGGACAAATACTTTAGTACAAAACATAATTTAAAGCAGTGTAAGGGAGATAAATCAAATACATCATTGAAATTATCTCCCTTACACTGCTTTTAAATTATGTATGAAGTAATGGTTAATGAACAATTAAGATAATTTAAAACAGTGTAAGGGAGGTAATCCAAATACAACGTTTTGGTTACTTCCCTTACACTTCTTTTAAATTATGTTTAAAGAAATGCATATTTATAAAGGAAGAAATTTATTTATTTGTTATGCCAAATCTAACCGTGTATTTAGATTTTTAATTTTGGGTCCAGTTTTCAAATTGGTCTACATTAAGGTCCAAAGGGTCCAAAATTAAACTTTGTTTGATTTTAACAAAAATTGAATATATGGGGTTCTTTGATATGCTGAATCTAAACATGTATTTAGATTTTTGATTTTTGGCCCAGTTTTCAAATTGGTCCAAATTGGGGTCCAAAATTAAACTTTGTTTGATTTCAACAAAAATTGAATATATGGGGTTCTTTGATATGCTGCATCTAACCATGTATTTAGATTTTTTATTTGTGGACCCCGCTATCAAATTGGTTCATATTGAGGTCAAAAGGGTCCAAAATTAAACTTTGTTTGATTTCATCAAAAATTGAATTATTGGGGTTCTTTGATATGCCAAATCTAACCGTGTATTTAGATTTTTAATTTTGGGTCCCGTTTTTTAAATTGGTCTACATTAAGGTCCAAAGGGTCCAAAATTAAACTTAGTTTGATTTTAACAAAAATTGAATTTTTGGGGTTCTTTGATATGCTGAATCTAAACATGTGTTTAGATTTTTGATTATGGGACCAGTTTTCAAGTTTGTCCAAGTTGGGGTCCAAAATTAAACTTTGTTTGATTTCAACAAAAATTGAATATATGGGGTTCTTTGATATGCTGAATCTAAACATGTATTTAGATTTTAGATTTTTGGCCCAGTTTTCAAGTTGGTCCAAATTGGGGTACAAAATTAAACTTTGTTTGATTTCAACAAAAATTGAATATATGGGGTTCTTTGATATGCTGAATCTTACCATGTATTTAGATTTTTTATTTGTGGGCCCGCTATCAAATTGGTTCATATTGAGGTCAAAAGGGTCCAAAATTAAACTTTGTTTGATTTCATCAAAAATTGAATTATTGGGGTTCTTTGATATGCCAAATCTAACCGTGTTTTTAGATTTTTAATTTTGGGTCCCGTTTTTTTTTAATTGGTGTACATTAAGGTACAAAGGGTCCAAAATTAAACTTAGTTTGATTTTAACACAAATTGAATTCTTGGGGTTCTTTGATATGCTGAATCTAAACATGTGTTTAGATTTTTGATTATGGGCCCAGTTTTCAAGTTTGTCCAAGTTGGGGTCCAAAATTAAACTTTGTTTGATTTCAACAAAAATTGAATATATGGAGTTATTTGATATGCTGAATCTAACCATGTGTTTTGATTTTTGATTATGGGACCAGTTTTCAAGTTTGTCCAAGTTGGGGTCCAAAATTAAACTTTGTTTGATTTCAACAAAAAATTGAATATATGGGGTTCTTTGATATGCTGAATCTAACCATGTATTTTGATTTTGGACATTGGACCATAATAGGTAAATTAAAAAAATTGAAGTTCTTAGACCACATTCTTTCTGTGTCAGAAACCTATGCTGTGTCAAATATTTAATCACAATCCAAATTCAGAGCTGTATCAAGCTTGAATGTTGTGTCCATACTTGCCCCAACTGTTCAGGGTTCGACCTCTGCAGTCGTATCAAGCTGCGCCCAGCGAAGCATTTTATATACATTAAAATCTGTGCAGCAACAACACTCAACTCTGTAATAAAGGTATAATAGGTTAAAAACAATAAAAAAACTATTCTGACTGCTTTAAGTTACTGAAAGCAAGCTCAAAGTACTTACCTGCTGATAAGAAATCAGTCTGGATTTATTCATATGGAAAAATATTTGGAAAAAGAAATCTAGCCCCAATCTGATTGTTTGAACTTGTGCTTAAAATGATATTTAATTGTTTTTTTATTTCCACTTAAATACCTATCTTAACTGTAAAGTTTCCAAAATATTATGGAATTAAAGGATTTACCTCTGAATAATTCTTCTTTATTTTTTTTTTTATAATTTTGATGTAATTGTAACAGTAAATTTGGTCCGGTAGTAAAATTTGTCCACCAGACTTTTTTTCCTAGTTCATCAAGTCCATGACCATTATTTTACTATTAATGTAAGTCCCAAGACAAATTTTTCTAGGAAAATAAGTCCATAGCTAGTAAAATATGTTGGGCACTTATTTTCCTAGGAAAATTAGTCTGGGGACATGAATTTTATTAAAATATTAATGCACAACTCTTTAACAATATTGAAACATAAAAATTGAATTTCCATTGTTTACATGTAAATAATTTGTTTCCTTAGAATTTTCCTTTTAAAATAAAGGAAATGGACGTTTTTACCTAGGAATATTAATGACATGGACATGATTTCCTAGGAAAATTAGTCTGGGGACATACATTTTATTAAAAATATAAATACACAAATCTGAAACAATTAAAACATAACATTTAAATTTCCATTGTTTAAATGTAAATGATTTGATTCATTAATATTTTTCCTATAAAAAAAGGACATGGACGTTTTTACCTAGGAATATTAATGACATGGACTTGAATTCCTAGGAAAATTTGTCTGGGGACATAAATTACTAACATCGGACTAAAAATACTAGTAAATTCTTTAACCATAAACTTTTTATAACTTTTTGTGTGGGTTTTTAAAGTATGAAAGGATGTTGAGTAGTTGCTTTGTGGACACAAATATTTAAAACATTTAATGTAAGTATAATTAGATAAAAAGATATTTTTAAAATTTGATAATTTACTATTTTTCTTATAATTTTATGTTTAGTTGTTGGTGTCCATCAGTGAACATTCCAGCAATCAATGGTTGTCATCAGAATTTCTGAAAGCAATAGAGAATATCTTTACAGAGATATTCTCACAGAAAGGAAACACTGATGCTGCAATTGAATACAGTGACCATGATTTGAATAAGAGTTCTGATGAAAGTTCAACAAATATTGACAAAGCCAAGATTGGTGAAAATCCCGCAATATTACTGGAAAGTGTTCATTCTACAGAGGAACAAAGACCAACAGACAATAGTTTGTCACAGGACTAAAGAGTCATTTTAATTAAAATTTTCCTATTGTTCCTTGAATCTCTTTATTCAGAAAATGTTCTGTAATGTATTCCTAGTCCATTTGTTTTTAATACCCACACTTCAATGGACCAGTGACAGCTATTGCCATCACTAAGCAAGCCATTTCAAAACATCATTTATTTCTGGGTGATATTTTGAAGTGTGCAAAACGATTTGATTGGTTAAAAATATTTCAACATTATTATCTTGTCATTTGAATTATGTTGTATGAACACTGGTAATAGGTCAACAGTATTTGGTAAATATTCTAAGGTGTACATGTCTGTCTGACAGTAATTATGTTGTATGAACATTGGTAAAAGGTCAACAGTATTTAGTCAATATTCTAAGGTGTTCATGTCTGTCTGACAGTAATTATGTTGTATGAACACTGGTAATAGGTCAATAGTATTTAGTCAATATTCTAAGGTGTACATGTCTGTCTGACAGTAATTATGTTGTATGAACACTGGTAATAGGTCAATAGTATTTAGTCAATATTCTAAGGTGTACATGTCTGTCTGACAGTAATTATGTTGTATGAACACTAGTTATAGGTCATCTATATTTGGTCAATATTCTAAGGTGTACATGTCTGTAAGACAGTATGATCTGACTATCATGGTTCATTGATTCAAATTTTCTTTAGCTATTTGGACATATCTAATTCAATATTCTAAGGTGTACCTATCTGTCTGACAGTATGATCTGACTATCATGATTCATTGATTCACATCTTTAGCTATTTGGACAGATCTAATTCATATTTTTGTTTGATCTTATATCTATAATCTGTCATATAATTTCAATAGCACTTTGTTATCACATATTTACAACAAATTATTTAGGTCAGTTTCTAAAAGTCAACCATGAAGGTAAGACTTTTCTGCAAATCCACTCTTGTATTCCAGTTGACCTACTTATGATTTAGTTACAACCCTTAGACTTTCAATTTCAAGAAAGTGACTGTTGTCTACTTTATTTTCAGCCTTCAAAATTAAACAATCTGAAGTGGTTTCAGTTATTTCCTTCTGACCTAATTACATGTTAGGTTGATTAAGGAGAACTCCTGTATATTTCTGTTTCACCTGCAACAAAAGTTGCAGAATGCAAGACAAAGGGATACAATCCTGCAGTGGCAGCAACACAAACTGAATACAGCTTCATATTTCAGAAGGTCAAAGACATGTTTGCTTTATACCTTATATACATATATATTTTCTTAGTCAAGAAGTTAAAATGCTTTCATCTGTCATATGTCCATTGTCTTTGACTTTATTTTCATGGTTCAGCCACTGCTGAAAAAAACAATTTTTTGTAACATGAATTTCTCATTTATTATAAGTATTAGAATACTATAATATTTGGTATATGGGGTCCTTGCAGTCAGACAGGGTTCACCTGACCTTAACCTCATTTCATGAATCAGTGATCAAGCTTTCATGGTCAAGTCCAAGATACTTGAAGCAATAGGTCAATTATATTTCCATGAGCAATTAGGCAACTTTATTTGGTGTATGGAATGATGGTAAGGTATTGATCTAATTTTCAAGGTTCATTGGTCAATATTTAGTTTTTGTGGCTTGGTCACTTTCTCAGAAAATATAAGCACTGGGTAAACTATATTTGGTGTGAGGAATGATTGTAAGTTGTACATGTCTGCCTGGCATGGTTCATCTAACTTTGCCCTCATGTGATACTGGTAAAAACAAATTCAACAGATCATAAATCAGGCAAGACATTTCAGTGTGTGCACTCTTGTTTTCAGTTGAGGGTTCCAAAGGTTTTTTTTTTACATTTTTAGTTCCCTTTAACTTCCACAGCAGAAAGTTTTTTGTTTTTTTTTTTTAATCGAACAGTAGTCAATATCAAAAATAACCAAAAGACATCCGAAGGGCAACATACAGTCTTCAGCAAAAGGCAAATGTCTATACAATGTCAAGCTCTAAATATGTCCATTCTATAAAAGATTAAACAGAGACAATCAAAAGATCTACATTCAACACCATATTTAAACCAGAACTAAAAATAGCTAACTAGCCAATTACAATAGGGATTTGATTGCACTTTCTGTCATCATAAATGCATTTTTGTCGAGCCTTCGACTTTAGTCGAAAAAGCGAGACATAGCGATCCTACATTCCGTCGGCAGCGGCATCCACAAACATTCACTCTGTGGTTAAAGTTTTTGAAATTTTAATAACTTTCTTAAACTATCCTGGATTTCTACCAAACTTGGACAGAAGCTTGTTTATGATCATAAGATAGTATCCAGAAGTTAATTTTGTAAAAATAAAATTTCATCTTTTCCGTATTTTACTTATAAATGGACTTAGTTTTTCCGCCAGGAAACAATACATTCACTCTGTGGTTAAAGTTTTTAAAATTTTAATAACTTTCTCAAACTATCCTGGATTTCTACCAAACTTGGAAAGAAGCTTGTTTATGATCATAAGATAGTATCCAGAAGTAAATTTTGTAAAAAAAAAAATTCCATTTTTTCCATATTTTACTTATAAATGGACTTAGTTTTTCCGCCAGGAAACAATACATTCACTCTGTGGTTAAAGTTTTTAAAATTTTAATAACTTTCTTAAACTATCCTGGATTTGTACCAAACTTGGACAGAAGCTTGTTTATGATCAAAAGATAGTATCTAGAAGGAAATTTTGTTAAAATTTTGTAACTGTTTATCCGTATTTTACTTATAAATGGACTTAGTTTTTCTTCCAGTTAACATTAAATACAGTCTGCAGTTAAAGTTTTTAAAACATTTATTAGATTCATAAACTATCCTGGATTTATACCAAACTTTGACAGAAGCTTCTTACGATCAAAAGATAGTATCTAAAGGAATATTTTTATTGATTTTTTTCATCATTTTTGTTGAGCCTGCGATTAACAGCAAAAGTAGGCGAGACACTGGGTTCCGTGGAACCCTTACGAATTTTTACTTCCATTATGTTTTTACTTCCATTATGTAATGACAAATGTAAACTACTAGATTTTGTCAGAGGAGCTAACCTTGAAAATTTAGTTAGAAAATATGAAGAAGATCAAAATCCTGATATTATGCACACCTTTAATATCTGTACAAGAATTCTTCATGATATAAAAGTTTAAGCTTGATACCTGGCAGTTAGCAGGAAAAACCATGTACACTGCATTCATGATTTCACCAAAAAAATAACCAAAGTTCAACATCTTATCATTTGCAGAAAGATTGAAAACAATCAAAATCCTGATAAATATAATATGCATAAACTTAGTATGTTTACTATCACCCAGCATATTAAAGTTTCAGCTTAAAAGCTATGGGAGAAGTAAGCTGGAAACACTGTACTCCATGTGGGATGCAATGACAGGGGTAAAACAATATGTCAACTGCATTATATACTCTAAAGAAAAAACTCACCAAACATTGTTTACCTATCATGTATAGTTGCTGAGAACCAGATTTAACAGAGACATGAAAATGACATAGGTAAGATACTATTCGTACAATAAAGCCATTTACCAAACTTTCAACAACAAAAATGAATATTAAAAATAGGTCAAATTTCCAAAGCCCGGGTTATAATATTTATGACTATATTTTGCTGAAAAATTACCGGTACTAAGTTCCCAAGTCTGGAAAAAATGAGAAACAAGTATGTGTCCATAGTACACGGATGCCCCACTTGCACTATCATTTTCTATGTTCAGTGTACCGTCAAAACTCTAATTTTAATGCCAAATTAGAAAGATCATATCATAGGGAACATGTGTACTAAGTTTCAAGTTGATTGGACTTCAACTTCATCAAAAACTACCTTGACCAAAAACTTTAACCTGAAGCGGGACAAGACGGACGCAAAGATCGAAAAACATAATGCCCCTAGTCTGGACTTCAACTTCATCAAAAACTACCTTGACCAAAAACTTTAACCTGAAGCGGGACAAGACGGACGCAAAGATCGAAAAACATAATGCCCCTAGGTGGGGCATAAAAATTCCACAAACATTTCCATAATAGCAGGTATACAACCTCAACATATGTGCAACCTTCCTGTGAAGTTTCAGAGATCTGGGTTGAAAACTGTAGGAGTTGATTACATAAATTAGGTACCCACTTTTCCATGCCCGCCTAACATCACCATTCGATGAGTTAAATATAGACTTCCTCCAACCTGGCCAATAAAATAAGATGTGGAGTATATGACAATGAGACAGCAACCCATTGACAAAAAAACAAAAACAAATATCAAACGGTTTTTATTTTTTTATTTTTCAAACTCTGATCAAAACATTGTCAGCTTAAACCTTTTTTGTAGCTGATTACCAATAAAAACAAGATATACTTAAACATTAAATAACACAGAACATTAAAACATACTTTTATATCAACTGGATGCAAACTTTTTATTGTCATTTGCTAAATTTTAATTCTAACGACTTGGAAATATGGTTATACATTATTCGAAAAAATACATATTTGAGCTTTAATCTGGCATTTATGACTGCATTTTGTATGAAGTAAACTTATAATCATATTATTGAGGTAAAAAAGGAATTTGTTATCAGACTTGAAATATTATCTGAGATTACAATTTACCCTGTATGTTTTAAGAGGCTGTGAATGGGGTATACCACAAGATGATTAAGGAGAAACAGTGGCAGATTCAGGAGGCTTAAAGCCCTTTGATAGGAAAAAATGTTATTATATTTGGCATAAAATCAATGATTTTTTTTTTTATATATTTACGCTTGTTGATCTTTTTACTATCGGTACAATTAGGCCCCTTTCCTCAAACTCTGAATCAGCTCCAGTTTCACTTTTTGTTAAAATAGCATTAAACATAAAATGTTTTACTCACTTGAAGCTAACTGTTGGTAAAAAAATTACAATGTGACTAATGAGACTAAAATATTTGCCACAATTGAACATGAGGATAGCAAAAGGACTGATGCTTAACTATATAACAGAAAAGAAAGGATATGGGGTATTCCTACTCTATTATAAAATGATCACTGCAATAAATCAAATGTAAACATTAAAACACCATACTGACTCGCTGATGATACTGACAATAAATTAAAAAAAATTCTTGTAAAAAAGTTTACTGGCTTTTGGAGTAAATTTTTACTGAAGCATTAAAGTAAAATTATTTGAAATATATTGTGTTTTTGTCACACTACAATACTTTAAAGATAAATACTGTGAAACGAAAAGGAAAACCTCTGCATTTACAAACATGACAAAATAAATGATTTAAAGTTATCACAACTCTGATAATATACATATATATCTGTAAATATTAAATATCTCTGTGATATAACTTGTGGAATGTCTTAATATAACGCAAACTAATTCAAAATTATATCTTTGGTTTCTTATGGGATCACAAATCCTATGTAAATTGAAGAAATCACAATCTAAAATTGGAATATCAAACAGTACAGTAGCGATATCTTGAAGTTTTCTGTCACATTTTAATATAAAAAACAAAAGAAAAACATCTGAATAAAGTACTGAAAACAACTTCACTGAGGAGATGAAGGCAGTGACAGTTATTGTAACAAGAAGACAATTCCAGTTGTAGATTTCTTGTACATACTAAACCAACTGGTTTCTTTTTCAATGATTACTAATCATTCTAATATGACTCACTTATAATTAATTTATTTCTTTTTGTTCCGATATCAAACATTTTATAATAAAAGATACAACCAGAAGTTGCATGCAGTGTAAGCAGGGGTATGAAAATTCCAGATCTTCAGATAACAATAAAATACACATGTACAGAAACAAAGACATGTACATTTATGTACAGAAACAAATACATGTAAATTTATGTACAAAAATATTTAGAAATGATTTTTATCATTGTATAAAATACAAATTGAACAATAAAATATGATATTTACAATGAACAAATAATAAGAACACTTTAATAATCAAAGGCACTATACAGCAGTTTCTGTTCCCAGGCACTAAAATACAACAGATTGTCAGTTATCCTAGTTTCAAAGCACCAAGTATGACATTCTAGTGACAATCATTTCTATAAAGCGTGGCAATGTACAATTTGTCATTGGCTAATGTACATCATTATGCCATCTTTCAGCAACACTCTTCACTTCAAAACGAATGTATGGATGTTAAATGAACAGTAATCACAATACACAATATCTATTAACCAATTAATGCCACTAGAATTTCTCTTACCCGCCCCCTACATTTTTATCAATTTTCACTTAATTTCATTATGGAACAATAGAACTAGCATTCACTATGATCCAAAACATATCGGTGAGGGTCAAATTTAACAGGACAATCTGAACTAAGTCTTGTCACTGGTTTTCGACCAGTCTGTGTTTCCCCTGTATCTATTAAAAGATCAGACTTATTGTTTAATATTGCTTCAAATCCCTGGATTAGTTTCATGTTTGGCGTGCTTCTACTAAGACTGTCTGATGTGTCAATTAACCGTAATTCACTTGATGATGGACTTTTTTTCTGTCCTCCATCTATAGTAGTCACTAAATTGTTCAATAAATTTCTTTCAGAGTTTGTTTTTGGAAAGAGTGGTTCCTCTTCCTTTTTCAAATCTTTAGATTTTTCACTGTCATCTTCACTCATTTCTGAATAGCTCAGTTCAGCTTCTGTTGATACAAAGTCTGAATTTTTCACTGCTGAATCCTCGGATAACACTGACAATCTATTTTTATGGTCATTATTTTCCTCGTGACCTTCTTCTTCAGATTCTGATGAATATTGTCTTTTCTCCATGGAAACTTGCATTTTATTATGGCAGTATTCGCTCACATATTCACTATCAATAACTGAACAATCAGCTACTGAGAGATCACCAACGATTCCCCCTTCAGGTTCCACTGTGTTTGCGTACATATATCCGTGTGTATATCCATTATCATAATTATTACTAGGAGGTCGGTATTGACTATCAATATTTCCATGATTAGAGATGCTATGAGAGAAACTTTCTACTTCACTACTTTTTATGTCACTTCTTCTTTTCTTTCCTGCAAAATACAAACAAAATCATTTAGTTTATTTGATCTTTTGAAACCAAATTCAACACATTTTGACTGAAATACAGATTCTGTGTCTATGCTTCTCTTACAAGGATTGGACAGCGCTCTGTTCTACTTTCTGTTTTCGACCTTTCAAGATCCTCTGGTTTTGTCGTAATGATACACAACCTCAAAATTTTGAAGGCTGAAATTTGATTGGAAGGTGTAATAATTATCAGAAAAGAGAGGAGAACGGAGTGTTTTCAGGTCATTGTAAGCAAGGCATTGTCACATGATCAGTATTTCAATCAGATTGAATTCAACATGAGGTTATATTTGTTCAAAATAATAATTAAACAAATCAACTTTTACAAAAAGTTATACAGTCTTGATATTTAGCATTCAACTGAATTCTGTATATTTGAAAGACCTCTATTTGAAAAACTTTAAAAAAAAGGTACTGATGATAAATTCTTTGTCTTTACTATTGCATTTACTAGCAAGTCTTTATAGCTGGTTTTGAAATGGAATTTCATGAAATGTTGAAAAAATGCTGTTTCTTTAAAGGGGAATTCATTAGCTACGAGATATAAAAAAAAATTTTGTTTTTGTTTTTGTTCAATCATTAATGAAAGTGAAATAGCGAAATAATAATTCACTTTTAGCAGCCAGTTTGTTTCAATCTTGTCAAAATAATCTATGAAACATCGCTAATGAATTATTCACTTGCAAGTGAATATTTCAACCTCATTGAATCCGTATTCATGTGACCTTCTATTTAACCCCTTAGCTAAAGATGAGTTACGCATGAACTAGGCGTGTTCAGCTATTAAAAGGAAAAGGATGTCAACATTGAAAATGAAACAAGGGTAAACCATTTGGTTGACTGATTCAATCCACAAAAACTGATTTTTATACAGGTAAAAACAAATGATTAAAATAATTGTTTAACATATAATATGAAATCAAACAGACCTAAAAAAAATTCAATTGCACGTGTTCGCTATCTATATTTATGTTTATATCGGGTAATATGACCGTCGGCAGTCTTCGGAGGTCACCTCGATAGTTAATTTGATGGCTTCTAGACTAAAATACACACGAAATGCTGATACATATTATCGAGTCCATGCATCATAATTTGTTTATTTTATACTCTTTAGAATTTGGATATACGTTTTAGTATGTTATAAATCAAATATCAGAATTGGAGTCAAATCGGTGAACAGGAATTTGACAGCTAATGCCCATTTAAGGATCCTTAAAATTCCATTGAATACCATTTTTATTAAAACATTACAATGTTTTTTTGTGGTGTGAAGTACTGAGCTTTTGATTACACAAATTCTCTATTTTATTTCACAATATCCATGGTTTATCAATATAAACAAGTTATATAAATATCTGTACTTTCTCAAATTAATTCTTAGTATCTCAATCAGGTTCAGATATCATGAAAAAATCTCAGGATTTATAACGAGTTTTTTATTTGAAGAAATTAAAAAACTGGACACCATTCAATTTTTTTGTAATACTAATATACATCCTACCACTGTACATGACATAAAAATTTAGTATTTCTACTTTATAAAATTTGTACCCTAGGTTTTCCCCTCCATTTAAGGACATTAATGTATGAAACAGAAAATAGGCGTGAACTGCTTACATATTTGACAAACCATTAAGCCTCTTTAACTACCATACTGATATAAATATAGTTATTTTGTACCATAAAGATTGTGTCATCTCATCCTGTTTATGCTTGGTTATTTTTAAGTGAGTAATAGTGATGAAACCCATTTCCATGTTTACTTTCATTTTCTTTTGGGATTTCCCAGAATATAACAAATGATAATCTATTATAAGAAAGTATATCAGATAAAAGAACTTCTTCCTCATGCTAGTTACAAAAATTCAAGTTGTGAATTTCATGCATTGATTGATTTTATCAATCCAACATTTCTACAACTAAATAATGAACATTCCGAAAAACCCAGAGTTTATTCTGCTGTATTCCTAAATCCATCAACCCCATTCAACTGGAACAAAGGGTAATCGAAAAAAATTGTGGTGTGAACCATTTATGTTCTGTTAGCACAGAAAATTTCACCTTCTTTAAGTTGCATGGTAATGATTACATATTTTATGGTAAGACTGCAGATCACTAACAAATGGAATAATTTTGATTTTGTTATGTTATGATATTTTGTTAGTATCAGACCATCTTGTTCCTATTGACCATGGAATGATAGATAAGGATGACAGTTGGAATGTACTCTGGGTTTTATGGATGAATATTAGGATGTCAATAGTTTTATTGTAGATTTTTTTTTCTAAATACTACACCTTCATATATACTGTTCCTGAATTACACTAATACAATAAAAAAAAATATTGCAGTTACTCTTTTAGTTTATATTCAAACAAATGTTGTTCTGTTTTTGTATTGAAGTTATTTAATAAAAAAAATAGTTTGAATTCTTAGGCTTGTTATAGTAGCCACTGCTTCTAGCATGGTTTGAATGGTGCATTTTGTCTGTAAATTTCCCTGTTCATAAATGGTGTAATGTATTAAACTAAGACTGCAACTTCCTCAGGCAGGTAAGAAAGTCAAACAAAACAAAACAAACAAACAAACAATTGGGCACATTTAAAGTTTAAACATTTTTTTTTTTTAAGAAGAATGAAATTGGCTGTCATTTTTACCTTTAGAAGGTTTTTCTAATGTAGAGCCTGAAGACTTCCTCCTCCGTTTCCCACTCCAAAACTTCATTAAATGCTAAAAGAAAAAAATTCACATGTTAAAATCTTCACATAAGACCAAAACAATAAACAGCTGATAAGCCTTTCCTTGTTGTAAGAATAAAATGTTTTTAGTCAGAAGTCAGTTAAATGGCCCTTTACAAAAAAATGCAGAAGATATCTTTATTTTGTATGTTAAACAACATGTGTTGCCTAATTTTTAGTTTTCTATTTAATGTTTGGTTGTGTTTTTTTCCATGGCGATATCAGTTTCACTTTGACCTATGGATTTTGAATGTCACCTTGGTATCTTCAGCGCCTTTCTCTCTGAACAGTTGATATAACATTTTGGTTATAATTTATATTTTTTCAGTAGAAATAACTAATTGACCTTGTGAACTATTTTCAACATCTACAATAAATAAGCAAACATATATACTACACTTACTCCCCCAGATGATGAAGAGTTTGGTGATGTAGATCCAAGACTTCCCGAATAACCAACAAAACAACTTCTTAAACAACCTGGCAGCCATGTTGCTCTGTAAGCAAACTTCTTGTATTCTTTCTTTACCTGAATGAAATAAGTAAAAATGTTTAAATAATTTAGCATTAACTTGTTAATTGCTGTGCTTTGGTGACTAAATGATTGTTCGAGTTTGGTGGCCTATCTGTCTGTAACCTTTAACCAATTACTTCTATAAAAATTAATGGTGTCATATTTGTACCGTTCAAAATACAAATATTTAAGTACATTTTTACACGTACAAATTTATACTCTTCTTTCTTTCTTTTTTTCTTCTTCAGAAACGATAATTTTGTTATACAGTTCTGAAAGAAGAAATATCAAAGGAGATTGGAGATTGTACTTGTACTTTTCTTTATTTCCATTTCAAAACAACAACAAAATTTATAAGCTGAAATTTGATTGATAACCCATACGACTCCTTACTACTTCATTTCAACTGACAACTATTGTAATGTTTACCTACTCATTTACTCAATACTATAAACTGTCCATTCAAACTAGAAAATTCAAATATTTGCCTTTTCTCCCTGTATTGGCTAAGGTCCTTGTGAGAACAGTTATAAATATTTCATTTTAGTATTTATAATACTTTCTGTATATAAACATTAAACAATACCATATAGAGAAATGTATAATTTCCATCAAGAACTATGCCATACCTTTTCATTCATGACACAATGGAACACAAAAATAAAGACTCCTTGTAAAGTGTTGAGTATGGTGAAGATATAGGCCATGAACATGGACTCCTCGCTGATATATAGGACTCCAAAGGACCAAGTCAAGCCTAAAAGGAACACTAGCACTATTGCTCCTTTTAACCAAGATCTGAAATGATGGAAAGAAAAAATGAAAAAAAAAAATGTCAAAATATAAAAGTCAAACAGGTATGAAATTTATAAATGTGTTCAGATTAGATAAATTTGCTATGTGAAATCTGAAAGAAGACTAAAATTAGATAATGTAATCTGTAGTAATATTTAAATACAAGTAATTTCTAGATTATTGCGAGTTCAATTGAAAATATGTGTACTGCACTTTCACCTGGATACGGTAAAAATGCACATTCCTATGACATTAATACTACCATAACTATAAACTTTCTCTTTTGATAAATCTACTAAAATCATATGAAGGCAAAACATTGAATATAATACAATTCAAATATGATATAAACTATCCATACTACTTCACTATCGAGAAAACTACATTAACTTTCTGTCAGTAAATATAAATGAATCAGAAAACTTCACATGCAAGATACAAAAGCAAGCAACATATACTAGAGGATAATATTAATGCATAACATTCAATACTGAGTTGGAAAAAAACACCATTTACATCAAATTAGTAATATATATAGGCCATGATGCCAATTAGGAAACAGTTCATGCAAAATTCTTTACCAAATTAGAGCTATTCTCCTAATGCTTGTAGTTTAAAGGTTAGGTTGGCTTTCTTGCTTTGTTTGTATAAATGTTTGCTCAAGCATTGTAATGAAGATTAACATTTGCAATCAATAGATAGGCGGGGCTTCAGCTTGTATACAGTATACTCTGCATTATACTTAACGTCCAATAACATTTCAGTATAATGTATACAAGCTGAAGCCCCGCCTATCCATTGATTGCAGATGTCAATCTTAATTACAATGCTTGATCAAACATTTATACAAACAAAGCAAGCAAGTCAACCAAACCTTTAAACTACAAGCATTAGGAAAATAGCTCTAATGGAATTTGAATTTTTTAAGTCCTCCAATTCCATTTAATTATATTTTAAAGTTTCAATTGTCATGATTATATCATAACATAACAAAATAAATTGGAGAAAGACTGATCAAATTTAGCATCTAAATAACTTGAAGTTTTACAGTTATAAAAATCATGACAATAAATTGTTTAGCTGCAAAACAAATATCAATTCTTTATTCAAAAATTAAGCCGAGGTAAAAAAAAAAAATTGATTAACAAATTAAAGTTTTATGCTTTAAATGTAAAAATAAAACAACAAAAAACAAAAACCAACAACCCAGGCTACTAACAACACAAATAACAATAGCACAGCTACTTAAACTGTAAAAACACATATATTATATTCTTGGCAATAGTTCTTATGGTTTATTAAAACAGATTTGTTTGTTTAAATTGATGTACAAGTTAACTTGTACTGCATACAACATCAAAATGCAGGAAAACTACTATTCCAAGAATATAATGAGGATTTTACAGCAGCCAAGCAAAGCAAGCTAAAAGAGCACCAAAAAACAATATCTTACGGAAGGTCAGGACTGAGATGTGATTTATCATTGATATTGGTACTTCCTGAGCTACTCCCAGAATTAGGTTCACCACTGTGTAAAAAATTATTTTATTTTATAAAGGCAGACACATTTTCAACTTTCTTTTACTTTTACTTTTAAGTTTACTCTCTTTTATTTTTACCCGAAGTTTACTCTAACTTCTAATAATTTTTAGTTTTCTCATACAAATCTAATGTAAAATTTTGATTATATAATCATAAAAGATATTTGTAAGAAAGCTGCAGGTTATTTTGCAACATATACATTAGTTTAGAACAAAGATACATTATGATCGAGCCCGCTTGAATACACACCACCTATTAAACAAATACTGATTTTATCGGTATCCTGGAACATTTTCTGTATGGTATTTCTGACTGATAATATGTGTACCACTGTACTGACATGGAATACAATAACACCAGTAGAAACATTATGATTGATCCTGATATTGAAGATAAATGAATTAACAACACATACCTGTCAACCTATGATAATGAAAATGCAGGTGATGACCTGCATAGAAGAATGAAATCTCAGGTCGTAACGCGTACAAACTTTTTCGAGCTGAATTTCGGTATTTAGGGGACATTTTTTTATAATTTATATCAAAGTTTCCAAAACATGTCCACATGGTTAAGTAATTTAAAATTGTACATATTATTATTTCATTGCACCTGGAGGCCATTGATAGATTTGTGTTACATTGCCTTAATTCCTGTTCATATTCATTCCATGACATACAATGTGCCAATTTGTGTTTTCTTTACATACATTTGTGCAGCTTTTAAACAGTAGAACGACTCAAACAAATGGAAGTTTTCAATGACCTTGACTGGCTATACAGCCATTGCACAGTCAGCTCAACAACAAATGGAAGTGTTTAACGACCTTGACTGGCTCATCTGTTGATATTAGAGTTTAATAAAATAAAGTTAAACAATTAAAGGAGGTATAGATGAAAAAAGTAATTTTCAAAGTTTTTATTTTTTAATTGTTCTAAGGTAGAACAATAAGTAAAAGTATTATTCTGATATGTTTGTGCATTCAATTCATTTAAGTTTCAATCTTTTTACAAAAACAAAAACATAAGTTTAAGGAGTATATTGTGAATTGACAAAAAAGGGGAAGTAACTCAAATTGTTTTTAAAACAACTTTGAAATACACAAATTATTTACGACCTAAAGCTAAGGTAATTGGTGTTAATTAACAGTGTGTTTGACACCAAAGCTGTCAAGTGAAGCCACGTATTGAAAGGGGTCAATTGAGCTGAGTTTACACAGCTAGTTGAACTTCTTGTCTAGGAAGAATTACGAATTTGCCTGTATTTCATTGAAATCATTTTATATCTAATCAGTTGGAAGGCTAAGGAATCCGGGTGAAAACAGGTTATTTTCGGAATTCCCAGGTTATTTTGTCACCCAGCGGGTGTTCCGGGTGACCCCTCAGAATTGTGAAAATCTCGGGTCACACCCGCAGGATCCGGGTCAGTTGACAGGTATGACAACAGTTATGAAAATCTTCAAGTTAAAAACAACCATTAATCAATACATAATCAAATTGTTTATATGGTTTACATGAGATATATACTTCACTTGCTGAAGAACATTTACATTGTTTTAAATTATTTCTTTCAATGAATAAGTTACATACTTTATTTTCTGTAGTCTTGTTTTTTCTTTGGTTCTTAATGATGAAGCTAGAGTGTTAGAATGGCGACACATCATGTAGATGGCAATACCCAACATTATTATATTTATCTGAAAAAAAAAAAACAAATTACAAAGGTTGTTATTTAATCTTTCACTGAATTGTTGTTTTACAATACTGTTGAAAGTTTCCAATATCAATATATCTGCGATAACTGTTTAGCATTATTCAAAAAGAAATGAATAAACAAATGTTAAAATGCATAATTGTTAGAACTCTTTCAATTTAAATTAATCATAAGCAACTCAACTTAGGGATATATGTTCCCTCTTCAGATGTACAATCTACATATCCATTATGTATAATCTTTAAAATCGAACAGCAAGTCCTCTCAGTGAAATTCGTTAAGTTATTTAACTCACCAATATAACAGCACACACTGGTCCTACAAAGCTCCAAATGAAATAATTCTCTGTCTTCAACCAACAACTGAAAAATAAAACGTTCTTTTAAATAATTTATAATTGCATGCATTTTTCACAAAATAGTATACCCAGGTTGAACAATATTACAGCTATGTAATTTGGCACTCTTTCTGTTTAATATAAACTTAAATCTGGATTTAAAATAAATAATTTGCAGAAAAAAACTTATAAATTATTTTTCTACATCACATTCTCATTTTCTTTGTCAATTATTCCTGCCATGTGGAATTCAGGTAATTGCAAGGGAGGTTTGGGATTTTGGGGGTTTGTAGGAACATCACATTAAAAATCATTAAATACTGTTAAAATAAATATTTTGTTTGAATTGGAGCTTCAGGGGCCTTGAGCAGATCTTATACCCCCTGTTGCAATGGAAGATAACCCCTCCTCCCTTACGGAAATTCCTGTTAGTCTCCCTTGGTGAACACCTGCATTACATAGAATAACTTACTGTAATTTAGTTCCATATCCTTCATGGTTGACCCCTGCTGAAACACCAACTATTATAGTGGGTACCCCTGTAAAATAAAGATATTATATCCTGTCAAACAATCAATTAAGGGATTTCATATCTGTATAAATTTTTTTATTTCACCCAAGAAAAACATATTCCCTTAATACTATCTGTACTAGCTATGGACTAATTCTCATAATATTAAATTTAAATCAGCAAAATCATTGGAAATACAAGAAATTGGTAAAGAAAGGGTAGGTTTCATGTATATAAGAAAGTCTAATAAATGTTTATACTAACAAAACTGACAAACTATTCACTCACCATATCCAAACAAATAATACCAAAGTCTTCTGGACCTCTCTGCTTCAAACACTTCTATCAGCATCACATACAACTGGACACCCTCTAGACACATCCAACTAAAAGCAGCAAGAAACCAGAAGTGTAGTAACCCAGCCACCACACCACATACAATCTAAAACATAAAAACAGATTATTAAAACATATTATAAAGCACTATTCTGACCTTTTCACTTTATAAAGCCTTGTTTACAAAGGTGAAATTACTAATTTTTTCTCTCTCTCTCTCTCTCTCTCTCAGTATAATGGACGATATAAAATGCTACGTATAGACTTTACCAATGTTTTATGCGTAGTACATAATTTGCATATATATTAAATGAACACATTGATTTTTAGCTGTAACTAACCTTAAACTGAGTTAAGTTGATACCCACTAAGAAAACAATCTCTGCCAACATCAGGGACAAGCATAAATTCTTGTGTATTGTATTTCTATCACACTGAAGGTTTCTGGAAAAAAAAAATTGAAAAGTTATTGTATACAATATTACTAAACCATTACACACCAGCTTGATTTCAGTTTTAAACTAGGAGTTTTATACATCAAAAGCAATGCTTGATTACTCTCTTCAGTATGTTCTACCATGGTGTAAAACTAAAACTTAAAATTACTTTTCCATTAAAAGTATTTAAAACTTAATTTAAGGATGAAGTAGGGTAGAAAAATTTTGCCCAAATTAAAAGAGAAGGTCCGTCAAATTTATATAAATATTTGATCAATTTTCTTTTCAACAAGACAAAAGAATTTTCTCTACTTACTTAAAGAAACAGAATGTAAAGATACAACACAACAGACATGTAATGGAAACAATGCATCCTAGGTAGGTTATAGCTGTCAATGTGATCTGGTGCTCCAGGGATAACTGGAAGTAAACAACATTAAACTGTTATACAATGCTTAATTTAACACCATGCTCAACTCTCCACAAAATCTCCTAAACTCATGCCACGGCTTTTCAACTTGATATGTGTTAAAACTGGTCTTAGTGACTATGATCCAAAGTGATCAAGTTTGACCTAGTGTTGATAACTTTGATGCTAACTTTAAAAAAAAAGTAAGCTTATAAAAAATCTATATTTTTTCAGTTACTGAAGTCCACAAAAAACACAATAGTCTGTTCTGCATTATTATATTTTTGCAAATGACCAGAACTAGAGAGACTTAGTGTTCTGTACATGTTGAGGTCCATCAGCTGCCATCACCATTGAGATCTTTGAATAGTCAAAATCTTATTTTTTGTCCTGATTCACAACTGTTATTTTGGTGTCAGAAATGATAAAAGTAAAATGTTGCACTGTGTATTTGTTCTACTATTTGTGTAATACCACAAGATTATATATTGAGAAAAGACAATTCTTTATACACCAATGGCAAGTTTAACACCCATTGCAGAAAATAATTTTCCTTAATTTGCTATATCAATTGAAAACTGGCTGTTTTACAAATACAATAATGCTTGGAAAATTGAAATCAATCATAGTAAAATTGAAATATGAGTGTCTTTTATCTTGAGATATTCGTTGAAGTTTGTTTTTTTGTATGTGAAATCATGTACCTTAGTCCCAACAGTATCCATCAAGATAGCAAAGTTGGTCATGTGATCACATTGACAAGTTGTGTGGGAATTGTTAGTTTTCACTAAACTACAACCATCATCAGACCACTGTCCTGCTAAACTGAAAGTAGAAAAATATAATCTTTAATATTCAAGTTTGACCTATAATATTATCTGAATAATTCTTTCAAGAAAAAATTGTCTTATTTAAATATGTGTTTTGTGTACAATGTCAGCATGGTTAATATTAAGGTATCCAACCAACATCAATTAATCAATAAAATATTCATATTTTTTCCAAAACAATAACTCTAATATTTATCAGATTTATTTTGGACAAATGATATTTTCACAATAAGAATAAAAAAACTTCATAAAATCAGCTCTATACATTTACTCAGGATGACTAGTATTGCCAAAGTTTTCTGAAAAATTCCCAAGTCTTGATGTTTGCTTAGCATAGAAGATCTGAATCATTTTAAATCACCATATAGTCAATTTTGGTCCTGATACTTTATTTCATTTTCTAATCAAAATAGTAAATTTAATATGTTTTCTACAATATAATGTGACTTTTAATTCTTTTAATTCATAAGCATTATCAGCAATTACCTTTCATTGAATTGCCAGTATGAACATACGGCATGAAATCCTGGTAGAGGTACCTGGAAAATAAAAGATTACATGTAATGTACTAGTTCAAAAACGAAATATATTTCTTTTCTTTTGACTGTAGGGATTTTCCCTGCCTTAAATATAGTTAAATATATTCAAAACTAGCTAGAGAAGTTGTAAAACATGTTATTGTTATTTTGGATTTAGATATATTGGTTATATATGCACCTGAAATCCTTTTGCAGTTTAAAGGGTGGAGTTCCGTTATATTAAATAAAGAAAATGTTGAGCTGTCAGTTCATTGTCACATTTATGAATATGGATCATATAGAGTTTCAGTTCATTTACATCTGAGTTGCGTCGGATAGAAATCAACTTTATGCAAGTGTACGTATACATGTACATGTATAAGAATTTGTTTGATTTTGGAACATTCAAATATGATATAAAAGATGAATTTTGGTATGTTTTGTAGGGTTCTTATATCAACTCAATTTCTAACAGGTACAGACTTTGCATAGAAATTTTTTCAACCCGAAATAAGTTAACAGATGTGTTGATATTCATTTGCATAAGGTCGATTTCTATCCGATGCAGCTCATATAATGATGTGTTGGACAATTTTATTGTATGCAATCGTCAACTTGAATATTGCTATTAAATAATATTAAATTATTATGTTATTAAACATTGTTTGCAAGAGAAAAGAAAAAGTTACTGAGAGCAACCAAATCTATATTAGAGTTTTGTCTTATTTATACAAAGGAATTTAGTAAAGAAATACATTAAATTCGGACTCGGACGAGGGAGAATTTAAAAAAAAAAACATCATATAAATCAAGTGGTTTTATATTCATTTATAAAATATTCTCTTTAACATTCAATCTCAATGGTGAAAAAAATTATCTACACCAATTAAAGAAACAAGACTTCTCTTTGAAACATTAAACTCAAACATTATAACTTCCTTTTCGACTTTAGTTTAACCTAAGAGTTGACCTTTAAAATATGATATCAAAGAACTCTGGTTGCTTTTGATGCCACTCAACAGATAATAGAGTTTAGTATTGGTTCTCCCCATGGTGACATAAATGACTACATAAGGGTCAATCTAAATATTAATGTGTATTTGTACATTTACAATTCAGTTTTGGCTTATGTTATTATCTATATCCATCTCCATTGGCTTTCATCTTAAGAACAATCAATTAGGCAAGAGCCATATGGCACCAGACCCTACTACATGAACACAATCGTATATAACAGTTTATTCTGTAGGGTGCCATATGGAACTCTTTCTATCAATTAATATAATAAACACCTATAACAGTTTATACCTGTTTATGTTTCAAGGTAAAGGTCAAAGGTTTTGACAGCTGGAATTTAGTTTTCCTGCCGTTGACTGAAGTTGAGAAAATATTTGTTCCAATGAAAGGTTGTGTTTCATTGTTAGCAGTTTCATCTTCATTATCCTCGTTATTGTCATCCCCAGTATCTTCCTCTTTTGGTGGACTCATGAACTCACTCAGACTTTTGTAGACAAGAAAAACTATCCTAACCTCACCTGTAAAATATGGATTCTTTAGTAATCGTGTTATTATCATTTACTTAGCAAGCTGATGCTTCAAAACTTTCCTATATGGTCTAAACTGATTGAAAAGGGTAGTACTATTAGACTGGCTTGATAAAACCTTGTTGAAGAGTCTCAAATTTAATTTCAAAACTAACATTTAAGATATTGCAGGAAATTCTTAAGATAATAGAAGCGGTTTGATCTTCTACATTAACATTTTTAAAAACTGATTTATCTCATAAAATAAACTAAAAGTTTAGTACTTTTACTTATTTTTGTCAACATACAACTTATTAGGAAAGTCGAATTCCCAAAAATATTATTTCAACTGAACTAAGAAATGTTAAATTCAACATTCAAACATATTTTGTCAACTACTTTATCTTTTCTTCTATCTTTTAACTTTCAATATAATATTCATTGTATAACTATGAAAACTAAATCCCCTACCTTTGATCAATGTTACAGATCTCATTCATAACACATAGGACATTCTAATTTCTGACATTTCACACTTTTTGAACTTGAACAGAACAGATATGAGCCTTTAGCAAATCAAATAATTACCATTATCAGTAGAGTTGACAAGACTTTCTACAGGAATAGCAACAAATTCATCAGAATTCTCTCGATCTTCAACAGAAGATGGAAAATTCAGTCTTTTGTTTGCTTGATCTTCTGTTCTAATGGCATTCACTTCCATAACTAAAATAGAAAGGATCAAATAAATTACATGGATTCAACTCATTATATATAAACGCCCATATGTAAACATACTGCAGGTTTATAATAGACAGGTGATAGCATATCTCCACCTAATACAAATGAAGATTTACATGCCAAGTGTTGAAACATGTTTCATATTTTTTCACAAAAAACAATTACTCATTTTTAGCAAGTAAATGTAAATTGCATATGTTATTTGAGAGTATAATAAATTGAAAATAAAGAACTAAAATATTCATTTATCATTAAATTCATCAAAAATGAGATATACAGCTTCTGTTTAATAATTTATTTTGCAAATGTAAAAAAACGTCCAACACATTTTTCATAAAATTTTGAAATGTCTTTGGGTTATTTCAGAAAATATGTCAAGTAGATTAAAAAAAATCAATAATTGCACAGTCATGCTATAATTGCCTAAAATTGTTCATAAAAAACAGTAAGAAATCAAGTTATGGAAAACATTTTTGTAATATGGATCTACACAAGAACTGAAGCAGATTTTAATTAATGTAGAACAAGCCAAAAATGATTTTTAAAATTTATTCAACAAACTTTGTACATCCATTCACAGAAAACTTCATCTCTATTTTCTACACAATAATCAGTCATTTTGTTTACATCACTATTAGACTTAGACTTAAGTTTTTCTTATTTTACTTCTCACATTCCTACCAAAAGACTTATGCAGCTTGCATATATTATGCTCTCTAGGGATGATAGAAGGGTACCAACCATATACTTAAACTGTCCATCAAATCTCACAACATTAATTTTCTGGATCCTTAATTATAAAATAAAACCTACCAACAACTTAACTATCTAGCATTTGATAACACTTACATATATTGGGATCTCTAGTGATGACAGGAGGGTCACCTACTTCTAAACTGTCAGCTATCTGGTACCCTGTTTCTTCCATATTGACAACAAGTGATGTAGCTACACGAGTTCTCTCACTATTTGGTAACCCTTTCCATGAGTTTGAATCAGTCAAAAGGTTACTGCCAGTCTTCAATATTGACTAAAATCAGAAAATATAATAATAATCATAATACATTATTCAAAAGCAATACAGCTTAGAGAATATACATTTTTACAGTAAATTTTCAATGCATCAGTGTCATATTAATAACAATAATTATACAAAATACACATTTGGCAGAGAATGACAATAATCATGATAAATAAGGAAAACAACTACATACTGCGGATTTTTTGGAAATTGAACAAAAAATTACCTAAATTATTAAGTTCTTTCACTTTGTGAACTGATAACAACTGAATATGTTTACAAGTTTATGGATTTTACCAATAATACTTTTTAAATATGATACTGTTAATTCATAAATAGTATTGTACTAAATTTCAAGTTGATGTGACCTCTAACTATTTTAATCTGATATGGGACAGAGAATGGACAGATGCACAGAAAGGAAAATATAATGCTCCTCTTCTATTTAGGCAAGGTAAAATTTTCCCCATTTTGACCACAAATTAAAAATTTGAATAATGTTGGAGCAACCTAAGTAAAAAGTTATAGTGGTATCGCCTTGTATCAAGGTTCTTGTAGAATTTAACTGAAACTTATCACACATTATTTTCTAGTACTTGCTTGTCATATAGTATCATTTATGTCATTAATTGGTTAACACAGCAATTTTATAATCATTTATGGCTTCATTTATTGGTTAACACAGCAATTTTATAAGAATTATCGAATTTACATCAAAGATGAATTAAGTTTTTAAGGAATTGAGGTGCATCATTTCACATACCTTGGCAAATTTTTTAACTTTGTTTCTTTTTTGTCGTTTTGTCATACCACGTGTCTGGGTTATCAGCTGCTCATTAAGTTTGGGGAAAAGATCAAGTGTTGTTTTTTTCAAATCACCAGGACCAAACTTAGTATTGGCAGTCCTTTCATGGAGTGTTGTAGCCACCTCTTCTACATTATCTGAGCTAGCCTCTATCTGTAAACAATTAAAAAACAAATCTTTAAAAAAAAAAACCAGGATGTGTCCATAGTACACAGATGCCCCACTCACACTATCATTTTCAATGTTCAGTGGACCGTGAAATTGGGGTCAAAACTTTAATTTGGCATTAAAATTAGAAAGATCATATCATAGGGAACATGTGTACTAAGTTTCAAGTTGATTGGACTTCAACTTCATCAAAAATTACCTTGACCAAAAACTTTAACCTGAAGCGGGACAGACGGACAGACAAACGAACTGATGCACAGACCGAAAAACATAATGCCCGTAAGTGGGGCATAAAAACGTCGTACTCTAAAGTAACTTTTATTTAAACAATTTAATGAGGATAACATCATTTCATACATTTTTTTCTGATAAAAGAAAGATGACACTTACGTAAAAAAGTACAAGGCATCTTTGTTCATCATATATGTTAAGAAAATTTGTGTAATGTCACTTGTTTGAACAACCCATGTTTCTGATAGTTCATCATGTTAAATTGCAATGCTTGATTATGCATTGTATTAAATCTTAATAACTAGCCAATTATGAAAAAATGTGTGAGCTCCTGTACAATGTGAAGTATAGCAACCTTTTACTATGACTAGATCATTACTAAAATGTTACAGAAAAATAAATCATTTTACAAGGCATCATTGATCTTGAGGTTTTCATACATTTATGATTTAAGATTAAAGGACCATATATTCATTTATAGCAAGTTCAAAGAAAAAAAGATTGAAGAAAGTCTGAGAGTTGGTCTTTCAACAGGAGAACAGAAAATGATCAGTCATCCATGTGACATATTCAAAAGCTTCCATGGAATTCCAATATAGGGAAAATGTGGATACAAGAATTGTTTCCAGTCCTAATATTTTTCACTAGTGCCAAACATGGTTTGACACATAAAGTATGAAGAATAAGGCATACCTAAGTACTTATATAAAGGCTCTATATAAATGGAATAAGATGGAAGGAAGTATGAAATAAAATATAACAATCCACAGTGTGATAAACATAAATTATAAATGAAAACATAACATAAAATTTGGATTTTAGGTACAATATAAAACAGAAGAAAATTTTTAATATTTCATGCTCAAACTTACTGCTGGTTTACAAACTTTGTGTTTTTTACATTTCAAACCATGGAAACATTTTTTACACTTTCTCCTGTGAATCTAGTATAACAGAATATATCACAATTATAAATCTCTTCTGGAATCGAGGTCTATCAGAAAGCAATTGTCTATTTGCGATGATATAACATTTACCTTCATTTTGAGGGGGTATATAAAAGATAACAATGGCAATCTCTTGTACGACAAAAATATGTTTTAACAGCACTGTAAAGGTAAAGAATTTTTTTGACACTGATTAAATTCTCAAAGCTGAGGGCATCATCTTTTTTTATCTAAGAATATTTAGTATTGAAAGCAGTTTTTCAATTCAAATAAAAAACAGAGTTCCAATGTCCCCCGCTTTGCACATATTTTATGTTTCCAAGGGGCATAACTCTTTAAAAAAAAGTTGATCGGCCACCATTATGGAACTTGTATTAGATATTGCTGATATTAACCTAAAGTATAAGTTTTGTAAAAATCTGGCAAGAATTGTACCCATGAGAGCACTAACGAGGTCATTTTCTATAAATTTAATATTTCCAAGGGGCATAACTCTTTTTAAAAAAGTCGATCATTCACCATTATAGAACTTGTCTGAGATATTGCTGATATTAACCTATAGTATAAGTTTTAAAAAAATCTGGCAAGAATTGTACCTGTGAGAGTGATATCGAGAGCATTTTCCATAAATTTAATATTTCCAAGGGCATAACTCTTTTAAAAAAAGTCGATTCATTCACCATTATAGAACTTGTCCGAGATATTGCTGATATTAACCTATAGTATAAGTTTTATAAAAATCTGGCAATAATTGTACGCGAGAGAGCGCTAACAAGGCCATTTTCCATAAATTTAATACTTCCAAGGGGCATAACTCTTTTAAAAGAAGTCGATCAGCCACCATTATAAAACTTGTTTGAGATATTGCTAATATTAACCTATAGTATAAGTTTTTAAAAAATCTGGCAAGAATTGTACCTGTGAGAGCGCTAACAAGACTGTGTTTTAATAATGTATTATTACCCGGTATTTCCATGTCCCCTGCAAGGTGTTACGCGGGGACAGTTAAATTTGGAAAGGAGTTTGTGCTCTTAAAGGGCCCTTTTAAGCCTAAAAATTGAAGTACTTTAAAATGATGTGATTTCTGTACAAATATAACTGACAAGTATGTGCAAAGTTTACAAAATAATAAATATCATGAAGTCACCATAATTTGGCAGTAGAAAGATAGCATAAATTTGATTTTTCTGCCCAAAAAATTGAGCACATACAAGTAGCAATTAATGGATATGCTCTTATTAGCAACAAAATAATGAATACAGAAATTTTTTCTGATATTCATGGGGGTACCAATTTACATTGTTAGTGAGGTTGCAAAAATACACAACATTAATTCCAAATCAAAGCACTGTAAGCGCTGTAGGCAGTTAACCAAAAACCAAGGCAAACATAATTATGAAAACTGTGGCTATGTTGCTTCATTTTTTTTAAGATTTAAAAGAACAAACATTAAACATTCATATATTGTGCATTTACGTTCATATTTTATCAAGGTTTTCCAAAGCAACGCATATATCAAGTATATTTTTAATGGTCATGTGTCTGCAGTGGTACAAGTTCGAAATGATTGCAGTTGTTCTAGTTGATAGTTAACGTTGGTATTAGTTGACTGTTAGTAGTTCAAGTTGACTTAGTACGAGCTTGTAATAGTATGCATGGACTTGCTTCCCTGGAAAGAAAACTGAGTTTGTGTTCTACAGTGCAAAAGTTATGAGACACAAATCAGACAAATGTTTACTACTACGGGGATCAAAGGTGAGGTCTGACTGACCTGCCCATAGTAAATGTAAATAACCCCCGCCTTCACCCCAAGTCCATGATGTCTAAGTTTGGAATAAAATGACAGGTGATTATAATAAAGTTGGTCAAACATTCTTGGGCTTGAAAGATATGTTTTCTTTAAAATGAGCCATATTAAAATGAAATTTTTTATAGAACCAGAAATTATTCAAAATATAATTAAGGTAAAGTCTTTAAACCTACTCATTTTTTGCATCAATAAAATTTTATAATAAACAAGAAATAATTGTAACAGAATGCTGTTACGAAGTCTCCCAAACAAAGCTCCCATAATTATTCATTCCCATGGTCGCCTGACATTGGGCAAAGTCTAGTACACATTGATTAGGTCTAGTAAAGTGATATGCATATGTGATGCCTATGAGATTGACCTTGTATGTCATTCAAATCTGTTTGAAATGACGAACAGGAATGAATATGGTTTAGGAGTTGGTATCTCAAACTTTTACAAGTTCTTAAAACACACACAAGAGGGGATGGGGTGACCTTAGGGACTACCCCTATATTTCATTTGATTTTTTATGTTGTCCCATACATGAATATATATATGGTTTAGGGGTGGGGATCTCGGCCGTTATCAAGTTTTCAAACAGGAGGGGGTGGGGTGACCCCAGTGACTTCCCCTATATTTCATTTGATTTGTTATATTGCCAAATACATGAGTATATATGGTTTAGGGGTGGGGATCTCATCTGTTTCCAAGTTATCAAACAGGACAATATTTCATTTGATAAGTTCTGCTGTCCCATACATGAATATATATGGTTTAATTTAGAGGTCGGGATCTCGACTGTTTCCAAGTTCTCAAACAGGAGGGGTGGGGTGACTGCAGGGACTCCCCTATATTTCATTTGATTTGTTATATAGTCCCATACATGAATATATATGGTTTCGGGGTGAGGATCTCGGCTGTTTCCAAGTTCTCAAACAGGATGGTTTACAGTGACCATAGGAGCTGCCCTATATTTCATTTGATTTGTTATATTGTCCCATACATGAATATATATGGTTTAGGGTGGGGATCTCGACCGTTTTCAAATTCTCAAACAGGAAGGGGTAGAGTGGCCCCAAGCACTCAACCTATATTTCATATGATTTGTTATATTGTCCCATACATGAATATATATGGTTAAGGGGTGGGGATCTCGACCGTTTCCAAGTTCTCAAACAGGAGGGGTGGGGTGACCCCCAAGGACTCCCCCTATATTTCATTTCATTTGTTGTATTGTCACATACATGAATATGTATGGTTTATGGGATCATTATTTTTTTGTATGCTCCAATGAACAAATTATGTCTTTAAGAGAAAGGTATATACCTACATATTACACACAAAATCCTTCCCAATTGAAACTTACTGGTCTATTATCACACTGTAACGTGCCACTGCTAACAAAAGTGTGCATGTTTCTAAGACATATTGAAAAAATATTTTCATAATACAAAGCATGTTACAATAACTTCATATCCACGTTGCAATTAAGAATTTTGCAAACAAATCAACCAAATATGGTTTATTTCAATTTTATTGTATGATATCACTTATTTATTTATTGTGTGTCTTGCTTGTAAATGTATAAGTATATATGTAATTGTTAATGTATAATTGTTATCCTCTTGTAGCACCATACGTGTGCTTAAGTTTAAATAAATTGTCTTGTCTTGTCTTGGGATCTTGACCGTTTCCAAATTCTCAAACAGGAGGGGTGGGGTGACCGCAGGGACTCCCTCTATATTTCATTTGATTCATTATATTGTCCCATACATGAATATATTTGGTTTAGGGGTGGGGATCTCGACCATTTCAAAGTTCCCAAACAGGAGGGTTGGGGTGACCCCAGGGACTCCCCTGTATTTCATTTGATTAGTTATATTGTCCCATACATGAATATATATGGTTTAGGGGTGGGGATCTCGACTGTTTCCAAGTTCTCAAACAGGAGGGGTGGGGTAACCCTAGGGACTTCCCCCTATATTTCATTTGATTAGTTATATAGTCCCATACATGAATATATATGGTTTAGGAGTGGGGATCTCATCCGTTTCAAAGTTATCAAACAGGAGGGGGTAGAGTGACCCAAAAGATTCCACCTATATATCATATGATTTGCTTACATTCAGGTATCATATAATCTAGTTGCACTATTTGTGAAAACAAAGTAAGAAACTTCCAGCTATTTTAACTGACCCTTCAAAATTGAGAAAAAAATTGCAGTAATATGTTTACACTTTAAAAGCATCTTACATGCATTATCAACATTTATCACTGATAAAGAAGATTTATACTGTCACCAGGAACATATATATTGTTAGATATACTGTTCCCAGCTGTCACATTGTATTCAGGGATTTGGACATTAAAATTTGTCAGAAAGTAATTTTGAGTTTCTGTATCAAATATTTTTTGCTTTTTCTTTCTTTTACATATATCTTTTGGTTTCCATTTCTAGTGTTTATATTTATTTACCATGCATAGATTATTTTGTCACCTGCCTGAAATTTTTTTTTTGTAGTTGATCTCCAAAACCCGGAATTACCCTTATCCGCTTCCGGAATCGGACCCGATATTGTAATTGTCTACACGGCATCCATTGTTTTTCGATGTTGTTTTTGTCAGTCAGATACGATTTTACTCGAATTTACACATTACTTGTCGGCGATTATCTGTATAAAGCTAGCGGTTGAACAAAATGAACATCGCTGTTATGAATAATAAAGATGAAAATACGTTTTGAGATCGTTTATTTAGAGACTTTGGTAAAAAGGTTTGCAAAGTTATTTTTAATTTCTTTCAAGTGAAAGGTCCGTCGGGCGTAGCTAGTAACCAAGTCGAGAGTCCGATTGCAAAAGTGGAAGGTCGCGGACCTCGGACCACCGCTAATTTGAACCCCTGCCTCCAAATTGAAATGATACGAAAATTTCGTCTTCTAATTTGAAATTGCCGCCAACAGCATGAACAGTTGAACTTATTAATAGACTGACGTAGTTGTACCACGTATTGACGACAAACAATATTCCTACGACTTTTGCCATTTGGGAAATCTAAACTACTTGTCTTTAAAGATTTTCGGCGATTAAATATTTCATACAATTGTTTTTTGACATCTTAGCCAAAAGCACAGGGGATAATAAACTACATAAGGATTCCTAATGTGCTCTACTTCCTATGTGCAACTTCAAAACTTTTGGGTGGTTCGACGATCATTTAAGGTTTTTTCTGGTCATATTTTTGTAATCCAGAATTAAAAGTATGAAAAAACTATTCAATTAGTTATAAATAACATTATATCCAGCTAGATAATAACAATGGCACGTATTTCAGCATTTATTGGGTAGAACACAAATCTAGGGTGCTCGCATAAGGCAGCTTAACTGCCTAAAAAATACAAACTTTACATTGAATTGTATCAAAGTGTATGTCGCACTATTGACTATATAAATAAACATGTGCCTGTCCCAAGTCAGGAGCCTGTAGTTCAGTAGTTGTCGTTGGTTCATGTCTGTCATAATTATTATATGTTGTTTTGTTTTGTTATAAATTAGGCCGTTAGTTTTCTCAATTGAATTGTTTCATATTTTTCATGTCGGGGCCTTTTATAGCTGACTATACAGTATAGGTTTTTCTTATTATTATACCTCATGTCAAAAGGCCTTTGATTGGTTAATACGAGGGAGACAATTTACTCTATCCCATTGGAAATACTTTATTACCCTTCACGGAGACACTTGCTCAAGTATGCGCTTTAATAAATAGGGATGATTGTTATGTACAAGACGTCATAGTTTATAACTTTGAATTTAAAATTTAATAGACAGTAATAACAGAACATTCGCCTCGGTTGACAATGTTTTCTCTGGGTAACAATCTGCTCTATCACCCTCTCAGCTATGTGTTATTTATATATTGTTGAAGGCCATACAGTTGCCTATAATTGCTTACATCCACTTTATTTGAACTTTGGTGGATAGTTGTCTCATTGGCAATCATACCTCATCTCCTTATTTTTATATCTTCTTAAATCTTCAAAGTTATATAATGGTATCACCATAGATCTACCATATTAATGTTTAATAGAACCTACCAAATCTTCAAAGTTATCTAGCCATGGTGACACACAGTTTGACAGGTTTGGTTTTCTCTTCCATCCTCTTTTACCACATTCCCAGGTCATTTTACCTACAGAGATAATAAACCTCCATTAAAATAGACCCAACAGTCAAAATAAAACAGTTCTTTTATCTGCCAGTTTTTACATTATTTTTTCCTTATTGCCATCAAAACCAATTCAAAAGACTTTTACATTTGAAATTGATGACAGGATTTACTGATTGACTGTTGGTGGCTTCAAACTAAGAATGAATTCCAGAATGTTTAGAACAATTACCTTTCAAATCCCCTGGGCAGTCTCTTACAACTATCCCTGTTACAGAGACAGGCCACCACACCCCTTCAGACTCAGTACTTTTACATGTATATCTGTTACTTTTCTCAGTTGTTGTTGACTTGGTCCTTCCAGGTGTGGTCTTTCTAATTGGTAGTGGACTGGACTCTGTTGGTTTTGGCGTAGGTGTACTTGGAGCTTTTGTTGTCACTATATCGACTGCAAGTAGAACAATCAGTGCAATTCCTTTCATTTTCAATGTCAATCAAACCACATAAAAGACAAATGATCTTTTGAACAAAGTTAAACAGAAAATATACCGGTAGTTGTTTAAAAAGATCAAACAGAAAATATACCGGTAGTTGTTTAAAAAGATCAAACAGATTGATACATTAAGCCACTTATTAACTTCCTAGATGCTATCAATGTCATTGTTAAAAGGATTACAAATATAAGTATATTTATGACACAACTTTTTTGTCAAATACTTGATGTTAAACAATTGTGTCAAAATTTAAAGTTAATAGAGACAACTCCTGTAATAATTCATGTTACTGAGTAATCCTAGTAATGTATACACAGACTGGAAAAATTTCACAGAAATTGAGATATTATGTGTAGGATTTGTGTGAACTATGCTGAGAAACGTTCTTTTAAAAGTTTAGTATCATTTGGCTCTGTCCTTTGTGAGAATTGTAAACTGGCTGACAAGAATCACATGCTGCTGTTAAGTTTGGTTCACATTTTCCTCATACTAACAGCAGGAAAGATAAATCCATGTCCTCAAGCATGGAAAGGGTCAGCTTTGCTTCACATTTTCCTTACCTTGACAAAAAGGATAATTTACAAATCCTGGCCGGCAAGCATCACATGATGGTGTCAAGTTTGGTCCACAAAGACATTTCCCCGTCTCTGAAGAACATATCCCTGGTAATGTAGCACGGTCATCACAATCACATTCTGTGAAAAAAAAAGATTTAAATAAATTCAAACTAAAATAATATTAACAGGCTCTACTTAGTAAATTTGTTGCCTAGAAATGGATAGATGCCCTTTCCTACTAAATTAGCTAATAATTGACAATGGGATGCATGTTGACTTAAAAAAAAGGACATATAAATATCTATACACATTTCTTCCCTTTTAAAAAAAAACCAAATCTTTAACTGCAAAGTTTGTTTGTAAAACAGCCAGAATATTTCTTTTGATGGAATTCATACATGCAAGGAAAACCTACCTATGCAGGCCGGGAAGTTATAGTACCCAGCAGTACACTGGTCACATTTGGTTCCAGTGAAGTTCTCTCTGCAAATACACTCTTTGGTAGGCATACATGTTTTAGTTCCACGTACATCACAATCACAACCTGATAATATACAAACATTAACTGTTATAAACTATACTTTAAAAAGTGGCAAATCTAAAATCTGACTTCCAGAACCTTGTTGGTTAAGACAATAAAACTACCCGATTCAATACTTGTAAAAAAAAAAAAAGAGTTCAATTTCAACTTCAAAATGACGTGATTTCTGCCTTACCATAATTGATATGTACATGATGTATGTGCCAAGTTTAAACAGTAATGAGTTTGAAATACATGTATCATGAATATTGAATTTATTCAGGTGAATTTTGTAGTAGAAAAAAAAAATAAATTTGATTTTTCTTCCAAAAAATATTGAGCACATGCAAGTATCAGTTTATGGCTATTCTCTTATTAGCCACAAAATAATAAATGCTGAAATTTTGTTTGATATTAATGGAATACCAATTTTCATTGTTTCTCTATAAATAAATATGTCTCTTAAAATATTAATCAATGGTTTTGATTGTAGTATTTATTGAAAAATTTCAAGTCAATATTTAAGATATTTTTTTTTATCATATTTACAATTAACAATGAAATTTTCTTTCCTCCTTTTGTTTCGTTTTCAGATTACTGCTGATAATGAGGTACCATGCAGTCAGGGAAATCTGCCCACATAAGGCTTTGATAATATTTATTTCTGATTATATACAAATTGTAACGATTCACTGACAAATAAATTTTGAGTAGCTTATCTACACATCCTTCCTTTTCGTTAATTTGAAAATCCACATACAATAGAAAATCAAATGTATCCCTATTTATTTATTCAATTTTTCACACAGAAAAAAGCTAAGTATCAAGTCTACATCGACTATCAGTCTACAAAGTCAAGTGAATTAAGTTTGGCAGGTTGAAAAGATATACCAAATATAGATGTAAATATCAATGGTTAATATTGTATCTATTCATGCTGATCGTGCAAGACCATCATGGGTAGTCAAGGTCGTTAAAAACCCCCTCTTAATATATAAACAACAACAAATTGGTGAAGGTAAAATAAGTGTCAAAATTTTCAGAAACAAGATTACTATTAACATTAACATTGCATTAATGAAAATTGTATCTTTACATATAAGAGCTCATTAAAACTAATAACCACTGCTAAACTTGACACATTATTTAATTTTTTCATAATGTGCTGTAATAAGCTTACAAACATAAAAAATCAAGACCTCTATTTAATAATTACAGCTAGTAACCCAAGTTAAAAAGCCAGGACAAAAGAAATCACTTGCTTCCACTCAAACTGATACCAACTGTGACCACAAAAAAGATAGGCCTCCTTTCTCATTCAGGCTCTTGGTAAAACTTTATTGTGATTAATTCGTCCTGTCACACTGTCAGACAAAATTACTTTATCACCAGGTAATACTTATAAACGGACTATAAAAACTGACCTTGATCTTATTTATGAAGATTTAATTGTGGCTATAAAGGATAATTCTTTCATATACCCATAGGCTGATGGACCACATACATGTACTACCACTCAGTTAATTATTGAAACATCACCTGATGTCTGCAGTCAAGTAAACAAATGCTGCTCATATTATTTATATATATAACTGCATAATAATTTTCATCGTTATTCATGAAACATTTGAATTTAAAATCAATGTCAGTATTTGATATCTTCTTTTATTGTCTAACTCCAATGAGGAGCATTCACAGAACTAAAGCAGTCCCAAAATACATCCTTTACAAATATAAAACATAATGGTACTCGTCCTTTGGTCTAGCTCTTATTCATACTTGTTTCATTGGCAATCATATTTAATCTCATTTTTATAAATTCAGTATAATATTTAATGTTAAGACACCATCCATTATTACAAAAAAACTGGAGTTACTTTCATTTCATTTCTCTGCAGTGATGTGTTAAAGTTTTCTATTACAGAATACTTTGCAAATTTTAGGCAAGAAATTCCCTTTTTCTCACAAAAAAGCAAAAGAGATGGTTATCTTATTTATCATAAAATAAAGACACAAATGAAGCATCTATGAAGATGAGGTACCTGACGTTGTGACGTCTGTAGATTTTGTTGTGGGTTTCTTCGTTGTTGTTGTGGTGGTTGTTGTACTTTTACTTCTGGTAGTTGGATGTGGTGTTGTAGGTTCTGAAATAGGACTATCCATTTAACACACCAACAAAATTTATATGTATATGTTACATTATTGAAAAGAAAAAAAGAAATTAGTAGCAATGTATGCTTTAAGCTTTTAACTTCCACTAATCATTTTCTAATGCATTAAGTAACAAATTTCTTGAAATATTTCACACTTTTAAAATCAATATGAATTTTACATCATTAAAAAATTATTCTGTTTTTTCCTGATGGCAAAAATCTTGAAGAGAACTTTTACTAAGATCTGACTTATAATTACAATAAAAGACAATCTATTATTCATTAATCATCTCACATATATGATAGATTGTAAATGCATTCAGGAAGACACCTGCTTACAAATCATTTTTCTTTCAATTAGCAGCTAATTCATTAGCAGGGTGGGTATTGTTTAGGTGAGAAATGAGTTAGATTTATACAAACAACACCAAAAAAATAAATCATTAAGGAAAGAACAGCTTGTCAAAAACTTGGTAAAAGGATTTAATAATTTTATCACTCTTACAAACTTATGAGTGGTCAGGTCTAATTTGCAATTGTTACAGAAATGGTTAGCTGTTAAAATACAAAATTTTCAGATAGATTTTTGGATGGGATGGCTCTACCTTACTTCTGCATGAGCTTTGAATCAATGCATAAAAATTTAAAAACTTGAATTGGAACACTGTGGATTGTTCTTTATATGTGAGACATTTCCTTAAAAAGAATGAAATATTTCGACACATGCATATTACAGTAAAATGCATTACACTTGGTGATCTAATGAATCCTTTTTCAAGTCATTTCCACTTAAAGTACCATTTAAGCCATAATTCGGCATTCCAGATAAATGGAGATATGCTGCTGTGTAAAGAATCTTATTAACTGATTAAGAAGTAATATTTGAACTGTCACACAAAGTGGCAAATTTACATCTAATTCCACAAAATAAACCTCTTTCTTTCTTGTTTATAATACCAATCTAAAATGGAGTGAAAATAAAGAAGTCATTTCAAGTAAAGCTTCTTCATATGTAATTATAATCAAGTAGATCTGTTGTCAACATTGATAGACATTTACCTAAAGTCCATTGGGCTTTTTTCCAATGGTATATTTACCTGATTTTTCACAATAATAATAAACTTCTAAATATTTATGAGTTGTTGAACATGGATCTTTGAATACACGATTGGATGCCATGATGCTGCATTCTGATCTGCCATCACATCTGTAAGGAAAGGCCACATGCAGTTACATGGAAAGAAGTATTAGAGATGTGACTATACTATGGTATCTCATACAAAGATGGCAAGAACATATATATGGTATCTTAAAAGGAGGTTGCAGATGACAAGAACATTTAATAAAGCCATTCCAATACAATTCATTTTATCAGGAGACACAGTTTTTAATGCATTTCTGAATGTATTTTCCAAATGAAGAAATGTCTAGGCTAAAATATTTATTGATCGTTTCCAAGAAAAATGCCTTAGGAAACAAATTCAAGTAATGGTGCTTTTCTAAGGTACGAACATAATGTCAATTATGTAAGAGAATTTCAAAATAAATTTTCTAAAGGAATCTCTGTGTAAAAATTGTATATACATATTTGATTTAAGATATTGACAAATTTTAAAGAAAAAACAATGATGGGTCAGAAGTAAGGAAAACAGATGCTACAGTGTTGGTTATTTAATGAACATCATTAAAATGTTTTATAAAGCAATGAGAAAATCAAATTTGACTTGGATGTATTTAAAATACATTTTTTGTATTGTAAGAAATGCTGAATCATGATGTACAAACAGGAATGGGAAAATAATAAGTAAATTGTATTATCATATTACTTCAATGGGCAAGACAATCTGGATTTATTCCAAAAGTTAATACCAATTCTTTTGTGTCTTTGTAGACCTAAGAACTTAAAAACTCATATATTTTCACTTAAGTTATCAATGATGACTTGTAAAATTAAGCATCTAAAATTTCTTAAGAAAAATCAAGATGGTTCTACGACTAGAAAGTAGAAACTTTTAAAAGTCAGTAGAAACTTATAAAAGTCAAATCTATTTTTGGTGACAAAATCTTCTCAAGACCTTCAATGAAATTGTTAGCCTAAATGTCAAACAATCCTTTTATTTTCATGGACAAAAAAAAAACCAAGAGAATATTACCAATAAACTTCTTCTTGCTTTAAAAAACAAAATAAGATGCAGCAATTCATAAAAACATAATGCTATCTATGATCATACAAATGAAGTAAAATTAAAATCATTCTTGTAATTACATTTAAACTTGTCTACCATCATTCATACATTACCTGATTTTACTATTGACTGGGATTTTACTATTTGACTCCAGTAAGACTTACATGAACTAATGACCAAGATGACCTATAATTGGATTTTTATCTGTTGTGAATAGTTTTGTTAGATTTCTACCCATGATTAGAAATGACACTTTTCTGCAGTCTAATTCAATGGCAATGGCGGAAATGAACAAGTCTTATTGTTCAGAAATCGACAATTCATTTACAAGCCCTTGGACTTAAACAAAAGCCAAAAGACAACACCAGCTGAGTCCATATAAATAGATTCTAGTCAAATGCCTCTGGTCACAGTTAATAACCTTATAATTATTTTCTGTTGCTGCAGTAGGTCCCCCCAGGAAATGAGCAAAACAAAATATCTGATTTTGATTATAAATTTGTGCCCACACATACAAAAGGACATTTTTGTCAGCTGTCTGATGCTTATAATTAATAACAAATCACGTCTCAAGCCACTATCAAAGTGCTGAGCTAGCTGACTAGTATTTCATATTTTTTGCAATTTGAGATGCCCTTTTGTGGAGTTACATAAATATTAAACATGAAACTTAACACCACCATGATGGCATGCAGTTCTATTGTTTGATGAATAAATATATAAAGTACATGCATATATACACAGGTTTTATTGTATGATCGAGACATGTCAATAAATTTGGTTGTTCATCTTCTCGATTCATGCATGGCATACATGCCTGAACCTTACCTACACAACGCCACACCACCTCAAGATATTTATATGTAGTCGTACATGGATCACCAAACACCTTAGTTGATGCAACTAATGAGCACCGAGGTTTCCAATCACACCTATATATAACCAATACCACAGTGTTAAGTTTATATCCATTCAACATATACCACCAATTAGAACATTCAGCCTTTTCACAGGAGTTGTCTCCCATTTTATAAGTTGCTTTTTTCGACAATGATATTTCTCAAATCATAATTCTTTTGACCATGGCAAATTTTATCATGCAAAATAGTATTTCCCACAATTGCTAAATATGGGTTTAACAGTCAGCAGCACTCAACATTTTGTTGATATTTTTTACTATATTTGAAAAAAAGTTTTCTATGGTTTTTGAATGAGGTAGGCCAGTTGCAGATTTCAAGAGGTAGCAATTAATGAATATGATACATGTAGTTTGATCATAATATTTATTGTATTTCTGTAATCTGTAAAGCTACCCAAGACATCCTGGGAATCACTAATAAAAGTTATATATCTTCACCAAACAGTAAATGTTTAAATCATTATTTGTATAAACATCTGTACATATTACCAATAATGTCTCTGGGGGGATGGAGGGGAAACAATCATTTGTGAACAAAATGGTAAATGACTGTAACAATCCTTGCTTGCTACAGACACTAAACTCTCCCCCTTTTTATAAAAATAACTGCATAAAATATTATATGTCTTATTCTTTTTAATAACAAAAATATCCATAATCATGTATTGCTGCTTTCCGTATTGTCATATAAAACAATAGTCTTTTACAAGTAGCGTAATACATAGATATATGATACAAGATCAAGTGGAATCTAATTGGAGACTGACACTACACCCAATGAGTAATGATTGTATAAGTACTTAATAAGTCTCCAGAATATCTATTTTGACATGATAGTACTTGTGAATCATTTTTGTCCTTAAGAGATGAGTATTTCCTTGTCCAGAATCCAGGTCATTCACAGTTAAGTATATTCAGTAACATGTAACCAACACCTAACAATATAGGTAGTGATCACAATGATTCCAATAGTGTCGGGTTGGTTGATTTGTAAAAATGAATTACTGAACATTATATAACAGGAAATAATTTCAATGGTCTCCTAAACTGATATAATTTGGAAGCAATTATGAATGCTAGTCAGATCAAAAGTACGTTTGACATGTTTGATATTTTTCATCATTTTTTTTAGAAAATACACTTCAAAGCTTGCATTTCCAATACAATTTAAAATCATCATAGAGAAAATACCACAACACAAGAGTTTGAACTGAATCCACCAGAGGTTTAAGAGTACTAAATAATATCTTGTTTTCCCCCCATCAAAACACACTACAGATCTAGACTGTCCTATTCACCAATATATAAACTATTGCAAGCTTAACCAACCTTTAGTAAAATGCTGTTATTATAGATAATGTAACATCATTGAACCAAAACAATTCCAAGTATGTATATTAAATACTGTTTACAGAACTGGGTATAAATATATCAGGATGTTTACCATTGATTAGCATCTATAAAAAATAACTATGACATTATATTTGGGGTAGAGAATAAATACAATTATCTCTGTGGTTATAATACTTGAAAAACTTTTGGTAAGTGAAGTAGATATCTTCAACATAACAAACATAGATCCTTTTTATCTATGATATATACTTGTCTTGAAAGAGGAGCAGTGCTTACAAAAAAAGGGATTGATGCATAAATCAGGAAAACAAATTACTAAAAACAAAAAAGAAATCCCACTTCCAGGGACAACCTAGCACCTAAAGATATACTGTAAATTGTTTTTTGTAAATATCTGGTATGATTTTTCTAGACAAAATTGATGTGTAAAAATTTGTAATTGCAAGGAATGGGTTGCTAAAAATTGAACATTTGTGAACATCTGACCCTGAACAAACACCAATTAGACTCATCAATGGTTCAAGTTTACTGGTTAACTAACATATAGTTTCAATTCTAGGATTACCATCTCATATTCCATCATACTTTACCTTTCTGCCACTATTGTAAATGATTCCCTGGCTGAACATTGTAAATTCCATCCCGATGTCACTGACCAAGGATTACACGTAGATAGCACAAATCGTCCATAATTGGCACGAATTACTCTAATGACACCATTATATGTTGTACAGTTTAAATGCATAGTACTGTTCTCACAAGCATAAGCTATTCTGGTGTCCTTAGAATCATCACGGGCACCTCTCCTACTGTAACGATGACGGCTAAAACTTACACCTAAAAGTAGAAACCATTTGTCAAATTTTATTCTCATTTGAAAAAGTTTATCAAAATCAATAAAATTTATACATGTATTTCTTATTCCGTGTAAGCAAACTTCTTTGTCATTTCTTGGTTCAAGCAAAATTCTACATGCATGTACCATTACTAACTCTTTCGTTCAGAACTCAAGAGTTTTGAAATAAAACCTAGAGCCAACTGCATGCAACTGTGATGGATATATTTATACTCTCCCTTTTTTCAAACAAAAGGGGCATGCTTAAAGGAGTAGGTCCGGTAAGGGCCGATTTTGGCCTCAAAATTCCGGTTCATCTGATGAAAGATTTTGGACACTATTTAAACACTTAAGTGTCTACTTCAGTCAATTCAATCAGTTTAAGTGAAAGATTTGAACTGATTTAGTCATGAAAGACACTCAAATTCAAGCTTAAATATGAAAAATCTATCAAATATGCCATAATATGTCACTTTTTTGTCAAAAATGAAAGTGGCCGCATCCGTGTTCATTCTCAACCTTTATATATGTTATGTATTATCATCAAATACAACTTACATTTAAATATTAATGAACACAAATGCAGCCACTTCCATTTCAGACGGAAACCGTCTAAAAATTTACCAAAATGCTAAAATTTCGAAGATTTCAGTAATTTAGCATGCCTTAATGATGCTAATACCCGATACATGTGCATTGTATTGTCAAAAACAGCCCATATTTATGTTACAGAAGTAATCTTCTTTCCAATAAATAGCTAAAAATTTACATTTTAACAATTTTGTAAAACTGCTATATTTTGGGGCCAAAAAGGGGTCTTACTGGGCCTACTCCTTTCTCACCTGCTTTACTGATCATCATACAATTTATGTTTTAAGTCTTCAAGATAAAAATTTAACTACAGGTATCACTTATTACATTTCATACTATCAAATGTTCATGAAAATGAGGCCAAGATAAACCTTGCCATGCAAACTTGTACACCTTACAAGCATTACAAACACCAAATACAGCTTTTTCTTTAGATGTCTGAGAAAAAAAATTATTATGAGGTCATGGTCAGGTAAACTTTGTCTGAGGACATGTCAACCCTGCAATTATCATATATTCCGAATAGTTATCCTATTAGCCAAAATAAGTGAGAAAACCATTGGATAAAAAAACTATAGTTTTTATAAGCAGTCTCTTGGGTCAAGGACAAATGTCAGACAGAACCTTCTGAACAAAAGGCATATGCATACAAGATATGATGTATCCAGGTCTTCTACTTTCTGAAATATAAAGATTTATATAAAAAAAAAGTTTACGCTGTTGCAGCTGCTGGATATGTATCAGACATTCATAACTGACATGAGACTAAAATGGGTACTTAGAACCACACAACAGAAACCAAGACATATCTCAAACCTTCCATTTCCAATCATAAAAATTTTTGTGATTCTGTTAGTAATTATCAAAATCTTTCTTCAATCAACCAACAATACTGTTTAAAATGAAATGACTTCATAATCGAAAGTACACATTTCAGAGAAGAAAAAGAAAGGATTTTGCATAGATTTACATTAGACATGAAACCTATAAAATAATAGGAAACAACCATGAAATACAACTTATATCTCTGTGTTTCATCTGCACAAATGTTGGAAGGTCTTCAAATATGAGCTGAAGTATCTGTACCTGACAGCATTGTTATGCTGCACTCTTAGATAACTTAATCACCCAAGTTAAAGGTGTGCATGCAATAGTAATTTAGTAATATAACATAATATAAAACAACTTAGATCTTTCTGTTCATACTGTCTGTACCGCTTAAGTTCTATGGATACAAACAAATAAAAGTTTTAGGCAGGATTTTAGTATCATTTAGGGGAAAATTCAAAGATTCTGTATAATCAACAACATTTTATATGTTTCTAGCCACACAAATAACTTGTCTTGAAAGCAAAATGATTGAAATAGCATATAAAACTTCCTGTAAATCAGTTCATTCAAAGTTTTGGGTTTTGTAGGATGTTAATGACAGAAGGAAATGAAAGGACTTCAGATTATGTACCAACACCCCTAAGATCAAATAAAACACTTGATGATGTAACGTAACTTCATTGAGTGTTTACATTATAACTTTGCCAACGAGTTCTTAATTATTGATTTAAACATGCAAACTTGTTCAAACTTCATCAATTTTCTCTTGAAAATCTTCACAAGGATGTAATTTAGTTTTCTGTTGTATGTTAAGTATGCTGGAATTATAATTATCAAAGATTAAATATACAAAACATCTCATTTGTCTTTATATAAGCTCTTTTTCATTCACAAGAAGTATTTGAAATCAAGAGTACATGTCAGTTTCTGTACTTTTGGACTTTACTTTTGATTAAAATAATTTAAAAATCACTGTACAGCTAAAAAACACACACATGCTTCAACTGAAAGTCCATCCAACATTAGTTTGTTTTTACACGGTTTAATAATATTATAAGACTGACAAAATGTGGTATGATTGCCAATGGCACATAATCCACCAAAGACCAAAAGGATAAGATTGTATTAACTACAGGTCACAACAGGACCTTCAACAATGAGCAAAACACATACTGTATAGAGGACTTATTATTTCTGGTTGATCAGTTGTATTGGTGGAGGGTCTCGGAGTGTCTATGGTTAACCACCAACCTTCACAGTCTAACTGACATACTATATTGTGTAAAGGTAGTCAAAACACACCTAGCTATTCTGTACAAAATCTAATTATCATCCATATCATCCGAATATAGAAATAGAGAGAAAGACCCTGTGGATGTATGTTAATTAAGAAACGCAACTATGTATTGGAAACTTTTAATTGACAAATTATCTACACTGTAAATTCAGATATTATTGTGTGCATTTTTGATTGCTATATATATATTTTATATATATGTATATTGCAAAACATTCCCTGTCCCAATTTTTGCAATAATGAAAACATCACAGAAATTTCTGAATTAACAGTATTATACAGTTTTAAAAAAATTGTTCTCATCCAGAATTATTCTGTTTGCCTTTTTAATTCTGATCGGTTTTCTGTTAGTCTCACAATATCTAAATGTTTGCAGATATTGCCAAAATACTCAGGACTTTTATGCTTTTTCATATGATTACTTCACACATAAACTGGACTTGATCAGGAGTTTTTATTCCTTTTTCACACAATAATCTGTAATGTTTAACAAAGGACAGGAATAGAAGTATAATTTCTCCATTTAAAGTCAATATAAGTTTGTAAGGTGAAGAATTAAAGCCATTATGTCCTTTGGCTGCTTAAACTGTAGTGTAAAAATCTAAAGAAGGTGTTAAAACATTGAAATGTATTCTTATAAAGATGGGGTAAAAAGTAACACAATACTTTGATGTACACCTGTAGCTTCAGGTGAGAAAAATCTAATTAATGGAAGGACATACACAACATTCATATCTAGGACATAACTTTAGGGGTATTGTCTTCTTATAATAGTTTATATAGCAAAATATATATAAAAGAGTAAATTACAAAGCAGACAGTAAAATTAAAAAGATCAACAGCATGTACCAGATGATTGTAAATGGCAAATTATAATTAGATTAACTAAAGTATGTTGTCATAACGTAGAGACAACACTTGAAAATAAGTTTTTATAATTCACTCCTTTTAAATGAAAGGATTTTTTCTAAGATGGAAATTGGGAAAACTTAATTACAGAAGTGGCGTACAATTCAATGACAGCCTCAAAACATATTACAGTATTACATAATACCATGCAGTTTAATACAAACAAATATACATCATACAATTTAGGTGAAGTGAGTGTAAGTGGACAGATAGTGATCCATGTGTTTCTACAAATCTTAAAAGTAAACAACTTATACTTGTGTTCCATGGCAGCAATAAGTACTTTATTTAAGAATTGGATAAAAGTCAATTGTTTTCAGTGCCCATTTAATCCCTACTACTTCCCTTTGTCAATTTTTCAAATATTATATACTGATTTTGATAATGCCATAAAATGGTATGTTTGTTTATAGTTGATATAATTACGAAGGCTTTTGATGGGCAACCAATGATAGATTTTTTATGAGGGTTTCACCAGTCTGAATCATACAAATAATGGAATTTCTTTTTTGTACCTTCAAGGACATATGTGTCATGTATTGGTCTTATATTGTATTGGGTTATTAGATGTAATTTTCCACAAATATCAAACAAGTCAAAACTAGAGTCCATCTTGATCCTATTTAAAAGGGTTAGCTTTCAAGTTCATCTCTTTAGACCATCCAGCAAATATCATGATAAAAAAACAGCAATAAAACTGTTGTTCCTTTCATCTACTGGTTATTTACAGAATACTTCTTGACATTTTTGTCTCATGTCATAAACATTCTTTTCCCATGTAAATGGTATATTTCAACTTTCATGAGTAAACTATGTGTGCAATACAATGCATAAAATATTTCAATATTAATGCAACACAATTCTTCATTGGTCCCTTTAGATAGCAAAAAAGACATCTGGAGCAGACCGCATTTTTACCCTTTGTTACAGGCTTGGGCAACAGACAAAAATCCTGTGAAGCATCATAAAAAGGTATGATATTAGAATTTTATTAAATTAATCCTTTTTAATTTGTTGATTGATGGTGCAAGTGGTCAAGGGAATGGTTTTGTAAAAACAAGAACTTTCAAAGGAAACAACTAAAAGTAATAAATATTATTTTAAGTGCTCTAAACATAATGAACAAAGAAGTTATTTGTCTGAAATCATTGTACCTGGTCAGTTTATACACCTGTAAATTATGATTAATTCGCTGACAGGTGACTAGTGGACAATAGACCCCACGCCAGTGTGAAGATAACCTCCGATTTTATTATGCTTCTTCACTGGACTGAAGTACTCAAGTTAATAATCACTGTTGTGTCCGCTGACATGTTCAACATTGTAAATTCATTTTAAATTATCAAATTTGTATTTCTTGTGTCCAGTCTCAAT